AAGCCTTCGCTGACAACATGCCAGTATTCCTTAGATCTGAGCAAGTTCTCCATCAGCAAAGTCCAATGCTCATAATCCCCATCAAACTTGGGGATGCACACCTGTGCAAAGCTGCCATTTTCTCCCATTTCTGCAGCAGAAACCTCACGGACTCTCAACCAGAGAATATTCACTCACCCTTTGCAGAAAAAACGCCTCACAGATACACTCTCGTGTTTCCCTTTACCCAGAAACAACAATCGATTTCACACAATAACTCTCAAACCCTTTCCTGTCAATACTGGTTACAGCTTGCTTTTGAGGCTCTGATACCACTATGAAGACTCAAAATATTGCAAACTGACAATTCTCATTAGAATAATGAATCGAGAATAAAAGGAACTTGTTTCAGCCACAAAACATGGCCTCCACGACTCACACTGCAACTATACAGGTCCTGCAAATCAGCACCAGTAACCCAACTTCCCTGAAAACACTCGACAACTACTAACAAACTCCAGGACCTTACTGACACAAATAAACAACCAAGGACTGAACTAGAAAATAACCAAACGACATAGTTTTCTTTATTGAGACACAAGCTGAGAAGGATTCCCAGCTTCAGTTTCCTGCTCCAGCTTTGCTTCCAACAGCCTTCACCTCATAGAAGATCCAAAAAAATCGGATACTGTGCAGTAGAGGAGGTGGGGGAGTGGGGGAGTGGAGAAGGATCCGCCCAAGGTAGTGTAGGTTGGCCTTTTTTTTATGGGAATAGGTTGGCCATTTAGTTTCAACAAATCCGGCTGGGCATTCCCTCTCTAACTATATTTTATTTAACTGAACCATGCTTGGGTTGTTTTGTGGGCTGGGTTGTGGTGTTAATTTAGTTTAGTTCAGTTGCGACTATGGAAGTTCTTCTTCGTATTGCAATATAACGGTCACACTCGCATACCCTTCGGTAGAGTAAATTGAGGTACAATTAAATATAAAGTAGTGTGCATAAATCACATTTCATATAACTGGCTGTTAAAAACAGGAAAATAATTTGGACAAATTGAGAACTCAAGATTCAAATTGTAACGACCCGATAAATTTGACAGTCTTAGTCCTCAAATCGAATAAAATATAATACATCAATAAACCACTACTCAAAAATCTCAGTGAACACAATGTTCTGCATAGTCTTCACCGGTTTACCTTGAGAGTCACAACTAAGAATCTTGAGTCCCCTTTCCGACGTAACTCGAGACATAGCAACATACAACTGTCCATGAAAAAATACTTGTCTTTGCAAGCAGATGCCAACGTGATTTAATGTTTGACCTTGACTCTTGTTAATTGTCATTGCATATGATAGTGCAATTGGATATTGCCTTCGAACCAGAGTGAAATTTAAGCTCTTGTAGTGGACCGATAGACTTAGGCGTGGTAAGAAAACTGTATCACCAACATGTGTCCCGGTCAAAATTTGGACCTCAATAAACCACTTACCTAATCTCTTAACGATCATCCGAGTTCCATTGCAAAGCCCAGTACTCTGATCCAGATTTCAAAGCAGAATAACAGGGCACCCCAACTTCAATTTCAACTCATGTTCCGGAAAATTCCCAATCTTTAAAGAGTTCAAGAATTCAACTGTGTAGTCCCCTTCTTCAACATGCTGATTCTTGGCATCAATCTCTAGCGAATCCGAACTAAAATAAGAAACTTCTTCACCAGGAAATAGACCCAATACATAATTGTTAATGGCCGCAACAGTGTCATTATGAGGGGCTAAGATAGCTCGCTCAACCAAATAGGTTGACATATTTTCAGTGGAGAGTAATTGACCATATATTTCAGCAACAATATCAGGAATTGGATCACTGCGATGGGGAACACAAATGTGTAGAGGTATCGGGATAATTGATTCTCCAAAAATATTACTATTTGTACCATCACCAATTTCCAAAAGCCATTTGCTAAAATTTGAGATTGCTAACCTGGCCGATGCTTCAGAATGAGGCAATTTTAATCGCATGTTCTCGGTTAGCTTCAATACTGTCATAGACCGCCACAAATAAGATCTCTTTATGGAAGAATTAACAATTTCAGTCCGTGTACCCTTCGTGATGATAGGTAACGTCTGTCGGAAATCACCTCCAAACACAATAGTCATACCTCCAAAAGGCTTCAACTCAGAATCAACATGCTTAACTCGGAAAATATCCCTCAATGTCCTATCTAGGGCCTCTATGTTGTGTTTATGAGCCATCGGTGCCTCATCCCAGATAATAAGTGAAGCATTGAGAATCAATTCAGCTACCTCAGAACCTTGCTCAATATTGCAAGTTGATTTTGTATCACAATCTAGGGGAATGTGAAATCTTGAGTGTGCAGTTCTTCCACCGATCATGAGCAGTGCAGCAATACCAGATGAAGCAACACATAATACTATCCTCTTCTCAAATCTTAATTGCTCACAAATTGCTCGCCACAGAAATGTCTTACCAGTACCCCCAAATCCATCCACAAAAAAGCATTTACCCTCATTGGTATAAACAGAATGTAATACCATATCGTAAGCGATTTGTTGTTCTCCATTCAACGGTCTACTATGTCGATCCTCAGAACAGTCTAAGTCATCGGGTCCATAATTCATCTCCATATCTATCAGCCTGTTTACCGTATGTGAACGCAAACACTGATCGGGAACAGGCAACCCAGGGAAATCTGCTAATGACTTCGAAAATCTCTCCATCAATTTGTCAATATGAATAAGGCACAACTCCTTAATTTCATCCTCCGACAAATTCAACTGGGGTAAATTCAGCTCTCTACGTCGTGAATGCAAAATGCCTTCACTTAGTAATTCCCAATTCTTTAACCAAAAAGAAGTCACATCAGCCACCTGACAATGAATAAGAATTGTGACAAAAAGTTTTCTAAGTTTATAACCAGAAGCCCAGTGCGAAGCTTCTTGGACACAATCATTCCATTCAGAATCTCCTGATAACAGTCCCCGAGCATAACATGCTTTTTGGAATGTTTCATATACCACCCCATTCACTGTTCTAATATCATCATAAGAACAACAACCCCTAACAACATGCAATAGCATTCGCAAATAGTATCGCTCCTTTGCGGATGGGTAGCAGTAATATAATCTAGCAATGCAGGTACCTTTTTTGCGCTGCTGCCACTTCTTGTATTTTTTATTCCATACATAATATTGTGGCATCTCCGCAAAGGTACATTTCCGTCCATCCATTGACTGAAGATTGAGATCCATCCATGCTAACAACATTGAGGTTTGGGAACTGCTAGACTCAACCGCTTCCTCCACGTTAGAATCAACATTTGAATACACTGTATTATCACCAGGCAAATGACAGGACATACGCAGTACTGTTGGAGAGTGAGTGTATATATCAAACCTAAAAATTCTCCAACATGCTTCTCCCGATGTGATGTAACGGGCATCCATGAATGCCTTTATCTCATCGATTTGCACAACCGTAGTTCCACGATTCCGACCATCCATAGCCGAAGCTATTTTTTGTGCAGCTACAGTGACCATTGCACGATCCTCGGGTTTGTTGATGTACTTAAACAAATATTTCACAACCCTATAGAAACATCAAATAAAACCAAGTTGTAGATGTTAGATAGGGAAGTAGGAAAAAGTTGTATTGCATTTTTTTTTAAATGTGACTTGTATTAAATAAGAAATCAAAGTACAGAGAACAAAAGGCAACAAATGGATCACAATAGCTTATCCAAGGGGCAAAAAAAGAAGAAGGAAAACACACCAAAAAATATTACAAAAATTACAGAGTTGCGGCAAGAAGTCACACCAATAAGATAACACTGGGTTTATAAAATAACTAAAAAAAAAGAGAAATCGCACAAATATTGGTTTGGTTTTTATTCATCTTTGGAAATTAAATCATAATTCATATGCATGCATAAAGTTAATAATGAGTGTAGCATATAAATATACATATAGCCTGTCATTAAGAATCTGAGTTTGGTAATATAATAAAGGAGAAACAACAACGTCATATAGATAAATACGATTTATTTCAGCCATACCTTGTCTTGTTACAATATTCAATATTGATATGCGCTCCAAATCGTAGTAACAAATATCGATTGTAGGGTACAACCCATCGATTATCCAGATCAACGCGCCACAGTTGAAAACTCTACCATTGTTCCGCCGACTATATTTAGCAAACCCAGTTTCATCAATAGTTGTTTGAGAAGAGTATTCCTTGGGGTAATGCTTACTACATTTCCCATTCTTCATGCACACATTATTAGGACGTACTGTACCACACGGGCCATGCATCATTGAACTTGTGACAACTGCATACAGTTCAGGATCAAGATCAGGATCCGGAATTTCAGCACATATTATGGAATCAATAGCCGCAGGACCATGGAATTTATTCTCCGAGTCCAAAAAAAGCAATATGTGTGCATGAGGGAGACCCCGCTTTTTCCATTCAATTGCTTTGACATCTGTACAGCAAGATGCAAATAGTGGAAAAGGAATATTAGTTCAATGAGGTAAGAGAGTAATGGATGAACATTAATAGATAAATAACGAATGAATAAGCACACATACATGCATTGATTTTCCCAAATATTTGTTTCTCGCGAATCTCTAACATAAACTCATCAAGCTTGATTTTGAAAACTCTGGCGGTGATGTCAGCCCGGTCAGGATCTTTGCCACTGTACCTTCTAATCAAATCAACCATTAACTGTATCTCTGGCCAGTTAGAATTGCAAGTGAATGTTATAAACAAATCAGGATAACCAATCCACTTGCAAATAGCCATCGCATCCTGAAAATTCTCATACTTGTATCTTGGACTACCAGTGTGTGAGGCAGCTAAAATAACTGGCTTCCCAGAAAGCTTGATATCACTATCCCCTCGCAAATAAGAATTCAACAAATCCTTGTAGTAGTGTCCTCTTAGCTTCGACTGATGTGTACGCATCCAGTCTAAGCGTTCAGCCTCAATTAACGCAAATGCATTCACCATATATTGTTGAAACAATTTACCAGATAATAACAGAGAATTCGACTCCTGGAGACGGGTTTCAACAATACACTGGCGCAACGGATTCTTGGAAGGATCAGTGGAGTAAAAGTCCATACGATTCTGCACCTCGTTATCTGAATCGTGAATGTAAAGCTGTGCAAATTTCGGACTATCCCCATCACCAGGAACCAAACATCCTATTCGATGATAAATCTGACCACCGATTGAATATACATAAACTCCACGACCATCATTAATAGAGTGATTGACTTTACCTCCGAGAGAAATTAAGCAAAAAACCCCATTATAGGCTCTGATGTTGGTACGAAAGTGACGCGCTAATGGTGTATCCCCTTCAAGTAGAGTTTTAAGAAATTCGGGCACATCTCTGCGGGGAGGCAATTTCACTTTACCATGTTTGCAACATAAAGGAAATGCAGGCAACACATCATTCCGTGTAGATAAAGTACTCTCGAACCGCCACATAACTGCTCCACAATGTTGACACGTACATGAAGGTGGACCAATATCAAAAAATTCAACCAATGGAAGACCTAGTGAAATAGATAAGTAATATTAATAAATTTTTGTCACAGTAATTCATAAATTGAATGAGAATGAGAAACTGTGAAGCCGATTTAGGCGCGCTACAGTAAACACAATTATTAAAATAAATGTTCTCAAGGCAAGATAGATTGGTATACCGGGGGTCGGTTAGCATGCTAACCCCCCTTAGGGGTTGGAAAAATGACACCCCCTAGTATATTAAATACAACTATAGAATTTAATACACACATTAAATACACATTAGGAATTAAATGTACCATATTAATTAGGAATTTTCTCACTATTAAATACACATTAGGAATTAAATACACACATTAAATACACATTAGGAATTCTCTCACTATATTGGATTTTTCCTTTTTCAGCAGTTTCCGACCACCAGACTTCCTCCGACCGCCACACTTCTCCGGTGAAAATCCCATCGGCAGACTCCCTCCGACCACCTCCAAAAAATATACCACTGCACTGATACTGTGTACCACTGTACTGGTAGATATACCACTGCACTGATACGTTGTACCACTGTACTGGTAGATATACCACTGCACTGGTAGCGATATCAGTGCACTGGTAGCAATGTCATATCTGAGTATCAGTGCAGTGGTACAAATACCAGTAAAGTGGTAATTAATGCGGTGTATTTAATGCTTACTTTGTATTTAATAACAGAACATTATGTTTACTTTCATTAATACTTGTCAATAATTAATGAAAAATTGACCAATTAAAAGGGGGGTGTCAAAAAACCAACCCCTTAAGCATGCTAACCCGTCCCGGTATACCGCTCATTTTAAGTAAGAATAAGTCAAATTTCAGGAAACACCAAAGTTTGTTCATAACACACAAATTTGCCGTTGACACATCAACATCTAAAAACAATCCACTATTTGCATAAGGTGACATGAAGCGTACATCACTAAATTATATGCATGGCAGAAATGGGTACATTATATGTTCTAAAACCAAAATAGGAAACAAAATATGTTGACCAGAACACAAAAATATATATCCAATGTACAAAAACTAAACCAAAATAGAGATGAACCATTTCATGTATAATAGTGGCCATTAGAATCCACATACTTTGATTGACTTCTGTAGGAAAGAAACTTCGGCCACGTCTCTTTCTATGCAGATGAATACGTCGAAGTAATCGACTTTGCTTTTGTAATAGAAATCTAAACTACGGCTCCAAAACTATGAACAACACCAAAACACATACGATATTAAAGAAATAAATAAAGATTCAACAATCTAAAATAGCCTAATTTGTAAGACTTGCTACAAAATTTAGCAAACAACAACCTTGGTGTTCAAAAGGCAAGCCCCTCCTATGAACCTTCTGTTTCAAAATATGATGTCTTCTCTTACGGGCGACTTGGGATAGTATTCGCCGAAGTTGAGAGAGTTGGAATTGTAAGGCAGCTTCTTCTGCAGAATTTAAATATAAAACCATGTATTACTCATTGAATAGATGAACTAATTAGAAAAATTAAAACACAAATAACACACCTCTCTCAAATGCTTCTTCCTCTTCAGCAGATAAAACACAGCGTTGGTACTGATCTTCAGGATGAATAAACACTGCTCGACGTTTCCCTAAACAAATGAGATTCAAGGAAAATATTAATGTCAGTTTGCATTGAAGCAGTTGCGTGCTAAACCATGACACTCACATGGTACAGACGATCGATAAATCTGTGGTTGGGCAGATGGGATGACATTTGCACTATCCATATTAAATTCTCCAATAACCTTATGCAATCTGAAATAGAGGTCATGGTAAATGATGCACCCGTTCCAGTAAATTTTGCAGCTGCCATTCATATAAATTAATTAATTGTTACAACAGAAGTTGAACTCCTCACCAATTATAAGTTTGTGCGAGTTAATGACACATACAACACACCACACAAACATAACAGTCGAAGAAAAATATAACTATATAAGGCATAATTTAAATTGATGAACAAAACACATATAACAGAATGGCTTCCAAGCTTGGGGATGCAAAGGAAGAGCGAGAAGGACAACAATGTAATAGCCAACACAAATATAATTCAAAGGCATCCATAAAAACCATATCCAAAGAGAAGTTTGAAAAAGAAGCAAGCTGGCAATAAGAAAAGCACTATAAGTGCTTACCAATTCTAGTTCTTCTAACTATACCAAGCTTATCCCTTCTTTCAATTATGCAGTTTACGCTTTGTACTTTTAGCACAAATGGATTCCAACTCTAATGTCACAATACAAATACAATGCAAATGAAGTTGAAGAACAATAAAACAAACTAATGGAGTGAGATAAAACTGTCCAATGATCTTATGTAATAACAGGAAAAAAGCCTAGTAGAACCAATACAGTAACCAGTGGAGCATGCTTATCAATACCGCCTACTTTATACTTCTTTAGTGATTAGAGCTGAAAGTACATTATCATATCATAGCCAGTCCCATTAGATTAATTAACCTAGAAACATATGAGAGAAAACCTTACTGATCAAGTTGGATTTCGACATTTACCTGCAACAGAGTTAACATCAGAAAGTAAATTGATTATGTCTCATACGTGGTGGCGGGTGGGGGACGGCGCGCCAAATTTCGTCGGTGATGGGCTGGTTCTGGACTCAAGTAGGCTGGGCCTCTGAAGTATGGACTGGCGAGAGAAATGGATCCCCGAGGCCTTATGGTTTACGCTTTCCTTTTCCCCTGCCAGGCCAGCGGTAATTTATAGCCGGCCCTTCGGTTTACTGACCCGGAAAACGACCCGGACGAAGTACCTGGCCGCCGCCGCCAAACGTCTCTTTCTTTCCTCTTCTTTCTCTGCGGCCCGGAAAAACTCAGCTCAAAATCGGCAGTCGGCTGCTCTCTGGAAGACAGTCTAAGCGAAGTGGAATTTAAAGTAAGCAGCTTTGTTACTTTCAAGAGAAAGGGAAAAATCAAAAATCCCCTTTTGATCTCTAGAGAATCCAATCAACAGAATGAAGCGAGGAAGGTAAGAGAGAATAAAGAAAACGAAATGAACGAAAGGTAAGGGAGATGAATCTTTGCAACCGAATCCCTGGAAAAAAAACCCAGAACCCGAATCCCTAAAACTTAAAAGCAGCGACAACAACAAACAGAAATCTGAAAGAGGAAGAATAACTTACGGCAAAACCAATACCGATCTAACGCTTAGAGAACGAAAATCAAAGGTAGATGCAAGCACATAAAAGAACCAGATGATTGAGTCAAGGTTTGGTTTTCTGAAGGCCAAGAAACTTATTCGAATGAGGTGAAAGAGTGGAAGGAAGGGAAATCGGAAATAAAAAATACAAATTAATACAAATTAAATGAGAACGTGGGCCTGGAAGGAGAAAAAAGTGGGTAGTGGAGAGTTTTTTATACAAATTAAATGAGAACGTGGGCCTGGAAGGAGAAAAAAGTGGGTAGTGGAGAGTTTTTTTGTTCTGAAATCATGCGGGACTCTTTTTTCCCCGCTTAACACTCTGCCACATCAGCTTCCTAAAATCACTCTATGGGCAGGAAATTTTGAATGGGGGTTGCAGTTTTACTTTTCAGATATAAATTATACTGTTGGTGGTTGGAAGCAAAGGAGCTGTGAAAAACGTTGATATATAGTGGAAAGACTTGTGTACATTTTATGGTTTATTTGGCAAGTTGATTATTTTTTTTAATCATAATGTATTTATTATGTGAATATACCATACGGATGAATCAATATTAATTATTTTTACTTTTTACCATTTTGTATGAATGAAATTTATATATATGCATGGTGCATGGTATTATGATATTTCTTTAACTTTGAAAAAGACTTTTGGAAACAAATTTTAGAATATGTAATAACAAAATTGTAAAATATAAAATGTACTTTCTTATGTTCTAAAAATGGATGGACGTAGATGGAATGTAATGGAAAGAATTAGAGGGGGAATGTATGTTTTTGTCCGTGATTTTAGTCGGAATATTGGTTATAAGTGAATTTTTTTATTTAGTGATTTATCATATATTATGTCACTCCATTAGTGATTAGCTATTTTTACCCAAGATATCACCATATATTTCTTTTATTTTCAAATAAATACACGAATGTGTAATTAACAGATTAACGAGTGAATTGCCAACAAATTCTCCAACGATACTGTCATTGATTTTCAACATGAAAAATTCTAGATTCGAGTACAAATGTGCACTTCCCCCCTTCATCTCATCCCCTCACTACAACAGAAATTGTCTTTTGTGACGAAATTGAATGGTCGCTAAATGTCAATATTTGGTCGTAAAATCTATGTTGTGACCAAAAAAATTTGGTTGAACCCTTGGTCACATTCGCCCCGTTAGGAAAACCAATTTCTGACCAAAATTTTGATTTGGTCACAATACATTATCATTTTGTAACGAAATGCCAAATTGGTCACAAAACAAATATTTTTGCAACCAAAGTAATTGGTTATAACAACTCATCCGGAAAGGTCACGGAAAAGTACCTGATTGGTCACAAATAGTATAAAAATTAACCAATTAAAATATCTTTTACCAACCAAATGATTAAGTAACAAATGATTAAGTAACAAACCAATTAATGATGCTCCTATTACTACCATAAGAGTTAAACATACAGGTGGGTAGTAAACAGAATGGGAGATTGGCTTGAATAGACTTATCAAGTACTTCAATTAAAAATGAGTCAACATTATAATGAAACCCCAACTGGGAAATATGAGATTGAGGTGGAAACATTTCAAGGAGATCTAGATGTCTATTTTCCTTTGAGTTCAAAAGCTATAATATTAAGAATGCACGGGAAAGACAGGGCATAAGCAGGACAACCACTCATTGTCCAAAAATGAACCCTCAACTAAACTAATCAAGCCAAATACTACATAAGCCGAGGAATGATCAGGTGTCATATCTCTGTTAGCAATCATTCCCCCCAATATACACTCAAGTAAGAGACTAACCACAAAACCACAAGAATCCCTTACTTCCTATCCCATCAAAGCTCTTAAAAACAGTAAATTCCAAACAGCAGAGGAAACCAAAACCATGATCTAATCTAACTCATACATTACGTAAGAGGTATGACATTATATTAATGGAGAGGAACATGATCTGACCTAACTCATACATTAAATAAGAGGTATTAAATAACATTAATGGAGAGGAACTTACCTTCGCAGCTACCAGTTAAGGATATACCTTCAGCTTCACCAAAGCATAAACAAGCAAGATTACCTATTAACATAAAAAAGGCAGAGTCCTTTAGTCCATTGATACAGCTCATAAATGAAAACAAATGAGAGCTCTAGCAACAATAACATTAGGTGGAAATGGTTAAACTTCAAAGTAGACAACAAAGGATGCTAAAGATTGTGCCCAGTCCAACAGACAAGGACTTCACTGGACAAAAGTGAAATTACCTCTCAAAACAATCATTCTGGAACCAAAACAAGTTTCGTCTTTTGCTATAGAGCAAGCCTTCTATCAATCTCAACCAAGCCATCTCCCGTGTTCTCTCCACTATGTTCACCCTGCATATTTAAGAAAGTCACTGAAGTTCACTCGTGTAGGGTGCGTAGAATCAACACAAGTCCTCACTTAGTAGCTAGTCAAACCTAAATCTAAACAAGATTTATCATCGGCATAAATACTTTTATCTTAGATGACACCATCGACATCACAAAGAGTACCAATGCATTAATTGATTCATCCCCAAGACCAAGCGCCATAGAAAAGCACTGGAAGCTTAGAATCCCACACTAAGGGATGCTAATTGATCCTCAACTAAGGACAATAATAATCATTATAACAAAGGGGTAATAAGAAATTCCAAAAATTGCTAGAATTTTACATGAGTCAAGGAGAAGAATCAGCTGAAGTAAGAAGAAACAGAACTTACAAATTGTTTGCAATCATCATCTCTGGATATTTTGTATGTTCTCATATGCATCCAAACTGAAACAATCCAACCCGAGATCAATTAATTATGAAACATAAACTTATTGAAAAATCAATGACACTAGTTCTACATACTCATTGCAAGCCCCAAAACTAAAGAGTAATCACTAACAGTATCACACTAGTTCTACCAGCTGCAAGGCCCAAAAGCTGAAACATGAATGTGTGTACGTTGAATTTATTGCAAATAATAATTAAGAACTGTCAATGCTTCTAATTCCTTCTCTTTACAGAGTCAAAACACCCAAGTAACCTAGAGCAGCAAAACAAGCTAAATCAGAGAAACCAAATGAAACCATATCAATAAAGCACATGAAGGAACAGGAGAAAAAAGAGTCGAAATACCCTGCAAATGATTAGATCACCATCATCATCATACTTTAAAATCTCCCCAGCTTGCCCTTCGTCCTCCTCATCTCCTTCTCCTTCCTCTCCAGCTGCTGCTGGCTTCCTTTGCAGTTTGTTCTTCATAAAACTTGAGAAAACCGAAACCCCCTCCAGATGGAAAATGTAAGGCAGAGACATAGAGCGAGAGCGATGGAGAGATTTAGGAGCCGTAAGAGCTTACCAGTGAAAGGCTTGCATTTCAAAGAAGGACCAAGCTGGTTACACCATCTAAGCCTACAAGATTTACTGAACCGGCCTGGAATCCCCCGCAGATCAAGCTCTAATTCCTCGACCCGAAATTACTCACCAGTTTATCTAGCAAAGCATCTTCCTCCCGCGACCAAGGTTCCTTCACTCTACTGTTCGCAAATCCCCCGCTTACACCTCCGTCGCCAGAGTCCCCGCCACCAATCCCGACCTTCTAGAAAGCAATTGCAATTGCAAACTGACCAAACCACACCAGAAACGAGCAATAACTAGGAAAATCGAACAGTTAACCTCCCAGGGATGAGAATCTCACCTGAGATTCTGAACATCGCAGCACGAGTAATCGATCAATTGAACAACGAATCCCTTCTTGACGCGGTCGTTGAGCTGCCTGGCAAGCATCGCATGGTGAGTGGAGACTGAATCGGAGAGAAGAGGTGCCTATCTGTTTGATTTCCAGAACCTTAACGACCGGCTTCAATTTCAAATCGCCGCCATTGTGGTTCCACCTCCATAGCGCCTGAGAATCTTTCTCGAGTCCATTTTCGGCTTCGCGGGGACGCAGTTCCCGGCGGACTCGAAAGAGTCGGCAGCGATCTCTTGGACGAAGGAGTCAGCGGCCGCGATCTCACGGATTAGAAGAGTGAGCGACGAGGCTAGGGATTTGGAAGAGCTAGCGGAGCCAAAACTTAATTATTTCCCAGTTCCCAAATCCCGATTTTAGTTAGAAAAAATAGCGATGGCAGGGAAAAATATATAGACCATCATTAACTTTTATGAGCAAACATAACCAATAAATTTGGTGAGAAAATTATTTAATTGCTTTATTACCAATATTTTTAGTAATGTAAACTTTAGTATGGTCACAATTTTTTTTTCTTTGTAAGTGACTATTTTAGCATGTTTATGTGACCAAAACTATTAGTTACTTTAAAAAGCATTAAGGATAATAAACAGATAGTTTTGGTTAGGAAAAAAATTCAACATTTTATTACTAAATTTTTTCGGTCATATAAATTTTAATTTGGTTATAAGAACTCTTTTTTTAGCTAGTGACCAATTCATCAAACTTTTCATTACTAAACTATAATTGGTCATAAAAAATAAGCCTTTGCCGACCAAAAATAATTTAGTTGCATGGAGATGGTCATAAAAGGCCATATTTGTTGTAGTGCCTTTCAATGGCATGTCAAAAATCAAAATGTGGGCAAGGACGACAAGACTCCTCAATTCACAACAAAGCACCAAAATCAACCCGACATAATTATTATTAATTAACCCAAAAAAACTACAACATTACATCACTTCAATGCAACAAACTAATGATCCCAATGGCCACACCAGCCAAACGACTGACAAGCTTAGATCCACTAGTAAACGGCTGCTTCTCGGAAAAATGTTCGAAGCATAACTGCACATCGGACTGAACTAATCCAACCTGATTCTTCGCTTCCGCATAATTTTTCGAATTCAAAGCCGCGATTCCCTGTGGAATCCTGTTCACCACGATTCCGCCGAATGTGTCGACGCAGGACCCATAGGCTCGTAACATATACTCGTCCGTGGTATTGTTGAGCAATTGAATGATGGTGTCCACGGTGGCGTTGGTTTTGGTTGATATTGTGTCGAGCTCTATCAGAGCCAGTGTCTTGACGTCGCGGGCCGAGGGTGTCCTAGGGTTTGATGAAAGGGACGAGAGGCAGAGCGCGGCGTCGCTGGTTCTCTTGCAGGTTTGAACCAGCAACGATGTTTGGATCGCGGTTGCGAGTGAGAGGAAGATGGGAAGGAAGACGAGGAGAAGAGCGCGAGTGTGAGGAATATTGGGGTTGTTCATTTTCATGGTGTTTTGAGAAATAGTGTTGTGTAGTTTGGATGTGAAGGTGAAACTAGGTTGATTTATAGTGGAAGGATTTGGAGAGATAACGCATATATTTATTATTTTACCAAAATGTGTAAAAAGAAATTGTATAATCTTTTCCTTAACTTTCAAAAGACTTTTAGAACTAAATATAGAAAAGTATCCTATAAAAATATAGAAAAATATCAAGGAAAAGTAAATATCGTTATTTTTTTATTTTTTTATGTTGGAGAGATGGATGGAAGTGTTATAAGATGTAACACCCCGAACGTTTGGGTGTAGGTTCTATAAAAGAGTAACTCACTCTCCTGTGCTACCTCGTCCACCTCCATGATGTTGTTACAATCACCTTCCTTATTTCCCTCTCATCATTTCGTCGCACTTTGTTATGCGATAATCCACTCTTACGTTGTGTAAATCCGTATGATAAACATCAATAATAGAAGTTAAGTTTTTCCTCTCCCTTATATTTCGCTAGTTCTAGATTCAACCTGTAATTAATATATATACATGTTAAGAGTAATGGTCACTCACGAAACGAAAATAGAATGCGTTCATTAATTTCATCTGGATTGAAACTCAATTTCAGTGTATGTACGGAGGTTTTATAACTGCAAAACAAGACTACGACTATAAATATCATCAATACAATGACTATAATTATAATTGTGTCTTACAACTGCAACCTACAACAACCACAACTGTAAAAAATAATTACCACAACTGATGGTGGATGAGGGGAATTTGACACTTTGGAGAGAATGATAACGAGGGAGTTGGTGAATACATGGATGAACAAAAAGCCTAGTTGCTGATAAACTCGTGTGGGCTTTCTACAAAAAACTTACTCTAGAATCTCACAAAATTTGGGGTCTCAATCTATCAGATTAGCAAATTAATAGGTTTAATTTTGGCTTGTGTAATTAATTTATATAATTTCTATGATCTCCGAAATTTCAAGGGCGGAATTTAATTTGTGAAACTGGATCTCCAATATCAATTGTGAATTTCAACCATATAAAGGTGCTTGGTTCAAAGTGTACTAGTTAGATTATCAATCCATCTTCTCATTAATCCAAAACCACAAAACATAGTTTATAATTAACATTCAACTCATCAATGCAACAGCTTAATGATCCCAATATCCACGTCAGCCAGCCGGCCCACAAGCCGAGCCGCATCACTAAACGGCTGCGGCTCTCCTCCAAACTGGCCCAAGCACCACTCCACGTTTGACTTAATCCCACCAAGCTGACCCTCCGCTCCGGCGTAATCCCCCGACTCCAGCGCCTTAATCGCTCCGGACCACCTGTCGCCGGCGATCTCCTGGAACGCGCCGACGCAGACCCCATAGGAATGGACCAGGTTCGGGTCCGTGGCTTTCTGGAGGAGCGGGCCGACGATGTCCAGCGTGGCTTGGGTCTTGTCGTACACGTTGTAGAGCTCGATGTCGGCCAGGGTGCTGACGTAGCGCGCGGTGGCGGTTCGTGGGTCGCCGGAGAGGGACTCGATGCAGAGGGCGTAGTCGCTGGTTCGCTTGAGGTTTGGACTAGTAACGGCGTCAGGGCGGCGGTTGCGGAGTGGAGGAAGGAAAGGGAAATGGAGAGGAGAAGAGCGTAGGAAATGGAGGTTGAGGCTTTCATTTTTTTTTTTTTTTTAATGGTGGTTTGGGGGGAATGTAATTTTGAATGTGGAGGTGAAATGAGAGGGGTATAGAGATATAGACCTTGATATATGCATATTATTTATTACCATATTGTGTGTAAATCACTAGATACAACTTTTGCATGTATGGTGCGTACTACTATGATCTTTCCTTAAGTATCACGAGCCGGTGAATTAAATATGGTGAGAATATCTTAAAAATTGAAATTCTATGGTAATTTAATTTGGCGGGAATTTTATTTTTTACTTTTGATGTTATGGTACAATTTCAAATTGTACTTTAAAGTATAGTAGAAGTACTTCTTGACGTTATGCAAAACTAGGTTAGATATCTTTTTTTTCTTTTTTGTGTGTGGGGAAGTGGGAAACGAGCGTCGTTTCTTGGATCCGGACTTGGAGGCTCCTGATTGAAAACCAATGGTACGATCACTCGACCACAACCTCGTTCGCTAGATTAGATATGTTGATTTAAACTATTAGAGTGACTGAGCGAGTGATAATTAATTCAAAGAGTGGATTGAAAGAAAGGGGGGAGAACAATTAAAAAGAAGAGAGGAAATCGTACGTGGTCACCAGCGATTCCCGAAATCTACACAAATTCCCTTCCTTTTTCCCAAGCTCCAACAAGCCGTCTGCTAATTTAGGGGTTTATTTCATTTTTTAGCGGTTTATGGAAGAACGACAACGTTTACGGATTTACACATATGCAATGTTAGTTGTAAATGATGCAAGACAAATGGATAACTTTGACAAAGACGGTTTGAATTTGTTTCATTTGTGTCTGTAATCTGTATAGTGACTAGGGTCTAGGAGGGGTGTTAGACGGTTAGTAACTCTCCTTTTATGTCGTATATATTGAACGAATTAGTTATATTAGCGTACATGTGTATGTACGCTCTAACACGTATTAGTTATAATAGCGTACATGTGTCTGTACGCTTTAACACGCTTTAATAATGAAATAATACAATACTCGAGTTGTTGGGAGAAGTTTATACTGGATCTTATACCACACTCTAATACGCCCTCTCAAATGAAAGCCAACTCACGAGCTTGAAGTTTGCACAGACTCACCATACCTTGTGCTTTAATCAACTGTTAATATTGGGGGTCGTGAAAATTCGAACACACGACCAATTGGCCAAACCAGCTTTGATACCATGTCACAAACCAGTTGGTCCTAATAACTCGAGTTGTTGAGAGAAGGTTATGCTGAATTTTATACCACACTCTCAACATATATTCACAACCATGTGTGAGAACCATGTCACTAGAGGTGACAATTCTCAATCCAATCCACCAACCCATTAAAAATATCCACCTAATCCAATTCATTTAATTCCAATCCATTTGATCCAAATCCAATTGGATTGGTGGATTCATGGATTGATCCATGGATCCAAATGACAAATTACGGTTTGGTGCCTATAATTTTATATTTTACATTTTTGTACCCAAAATTTAATTTTTATACGAAAAATTACATTGGAAAATTACATTTTGGTATCTAAAACTTTTCATTATGACATTTTAGTACCTAAGCTTTTTACATTTTACATATTGGTCCTTGGTTGAGGATGTCATTTGGATTCATGGATAATCCACCAATCTACTTGATCGAATCCATTTGATCTATGAATCCACCAACCCAATGCACCAATTCATGGATCAATCCATTTGCCACCTCTACATGTCACAGTAGCTAGAAATCATTGAATTAAGTGCAGTCGCGTTGTTATCACGTATCACATTCTTCATCCACCCTGCGAAACGTATACGAGCAATCCAATAATTTCAAATACATACAAAATGATGCTCGTAGATGGACTATAAACACATGATTGGTTGTTTCGTATGGGTGAGATTATCTCCCAATTATTTTGTTTAGTCGTTTTATTTTTGTGAACCATGTTTCTTGTCTCTTAAATTCAAAAGGCCACGTTACAATCTTGAGACAGAAAATGGCCCGCCCTATAGTCCGATTGCTCATTTGCTTCTCAAATGCCACCCGTTAATGCCATACAGGGCTGAAAGAGTAGTCGGCTCGATTAAGACCTCTCCTTTTCGATGTGAAGACAAAACTAATGGGCTTCTGTGGCCCAAAATTAAGGCAATATTAACGATAGAGCTTCCCGCCTAATATAGGAGTGGCTATACGGTCAGATCTGGTTAAATTGACCCAAATTAATTCGGTCCAGTTCGGTATTTTTGAAAATATAAGGACCAAAGATTATATTGGAATTGGATACAATCCGGTCTTGATCCGGTCCGGTCCCAATTCGGTCTTGATTTTATATTGAGCTTGTGGGGATTTGAGTGGCCTAAGGTCTGAAAGGGTGAGGAGTTGGTTAAGTTTTTTACTAAGTGCAAAAGTTTGTGACTGTTTATGCAAATTACCCTTAATTATTTACGTTAATTATTTACACATAACTTTGTTATTGTATCTTAGGGGTCGTTTGGAAGTTGCGATTGTTAAATAGATGTATTGTTGAGAATGCATGTATAATATTATACGTGTATTGTCGAATTTGATGCATTGTAGAATACAACGTTTGGTATGTGTGATTGTGTATGTCGCATAAGCTAAAAGCTGAGACAAAACAATCTCAACTCAACTATCTCAACAATCACAACTAAAAGTTGAGATATAACAAATAACAATCACTCAAAATGAGTAATAGTTTCTGTCACATCATAAAAACAATCCATGTATTGTTGATTTGTTTCTACTAAAAAAACAAAAAAACGGTGCATTGTAAACTATACATGCATAATGACAATCTCAACAAAACAATCACAACTTCCAAACGATTCTTTATGTCTCCCATGAACGTAAAAGTTTGGTATTATGAAATTAAACAGCATAACCAAATAGTACTAGTGTATTTAGAGTTCGAAGTATTCTCCAACTTTCATATATTGGCCTATTTGATTGATCCAAAATTAGTCTAGATCAACACCCCCAAACCCCAATTGATTCGATATAACGTATCCTTTCCATAAAACCAATTTTCAATCAACACCTCAACCATGGCTGGTTGTCATAAATTTTGTTGGAGCTTACGTGTGGCAAAGAGAGATGTGAGTTCAAGACAGGCAGATGGATCTTTGAGTCCTACACTACAAAGTTAGCACAGTAAGTACTTCGTCGTCCCGATAACGCCATCCATCAATCATTCATCGATCATTATCCTCAACCACCGATATACATTTCATTTCCAATTGGGAAAAAAGGAAAGAAATGATGAAAAGAGAAGAAGAAGATATCTTTTTTTGTGTTAATATTCAATTCTATCCACTGCCTATAAAATTCCTCCACAAAGTAGCTTTAACACTTAACAGAATAAAAGCAGGCTCGAATGATATGATAGAAAGAAAAGCCAGCTAGTAGCTTCCTTGATCCATCCGCAGCTTTCTTTCAGCCTAACACTGTCCCAATTATTGAAGGCATATGTGATATGCTTTTACAATATATTGTTCATGAGACTAATCCGTAATCATTCAGAATTTAACCACCAAATACCATCACAATTCTGTGAATATTTTGTATTACAACTATCATTATTCATTTGATCTTTTTTCTTATCGTGAACTGATCACTTTTATGTAATTTCTCTTTTTTATTATTATTGATGAATACTAGAGAAAAATTTACCATAATATTACTTTAACAATTAATTATTCGTTGATTTTTAATTTGGAGATCTCATACTCTAATCTTAGTGAAGAGTTTTCACTAAATATTTCCAGTGTGAGTTAATTACTTTTTTTTTTGTAACATAATACTAAAGAAGATCGATGGTTTGCGAAAGGGAATTTTAACCCGAGATTCAAACCAGGAATCTTCGAGTTCAAAACTAAGAATAGTACCACTAAATCAAATTCTTATTCATACATATTTCCGAAACAGATAGTAGACTTAGTAGTACTAACTAATAATCATCCTTATTAAATCCTTGATTTTCAAAATACTTGCACACAAAAAATGAAGAGTCCGCAATCGTGTTTGTATAACCATACCGTACTGATAATTCGATTAAAAATCCTTATATCATAATCTAAATAGATAAAAACATTTTTACAATATATAACGATTGAACCACTATTAAATTATTGTTTAGCACAAAATATGAAGTGTGAACTTATAGCTAATCAATTATTGATAATCCAATCAAATTAAACTCACCATTACCTTTCCCCTTATAGTTATATATATATATCACCATCTCATCACTCTTTCTCCCTCCACAACTCGCCCAAACAATCAAAAATGGCACTAACAAAACTCGCCACCCTCGCCGCCGCCTTCTTCTCCCTCCTCCTCTTCCTAAACCCCTCTACCACCGCCGCCGCCGGCAGCGCCAACAGCCTCGTCATCCAGACCTGCAAGCAAACCCCAAACTACGACCTCTGCGTCTCCACCATCACCGCCGACCCCCGCGCCGCCACGGCCGCCGACGTCGACACCCTGGCCCTCGTCATGCTCGACGCCGTCAGGACCAAGGCCACGGCTGCCGAGGGCCGCATCAAGCAGCTGATGAAAGCGGCGCGGTCCTCCGCCATGCGGAAGCACCTCGGGGCCTGTGCCGAGATTTATGACGTCATAATTAACGACGAGATTCCCGAGGCCGTGCAGGCGGTGCGGTTGGGGGACCCGAAGTTCGGGGAGGAGGCGATGAACGACTCCGCCGCCGAGCCCGGCTCGTGTGACGACGAGTTCGGCGCCGGGAAGGCGTCGCCGCTGGCGGAGCAGAATCAGGCAGTTCGCGGGGCTGCCGCCGTCACGGCGGCGATCATTCGGCTGTTGCTTTGAGATTGGATTTTAGGGGAAGGGTGCTTTTTTTTTTTTTTTTACTTGCTTGAAATTAGCTGGTATTTGTGTTGCTTTCAATTTTGATATACGTACACGTGTACGATTTTTTGGTGTTTGGCATGGAGAAAGTATATATAATATGACTATTTTTGTTCGATTTACCGATTCGGTGTCGTCAAAAGTATGGTAATTTACTAATTTGGATCTTCTAATCTGTATCCGCAAAAATTGGGTTTATGAAATTTGAAAAATGGTGTTATTGGTTTATAATTTACGTGTCACATCATTACGTTCAATCAAGTGCGAGCCAAAAGCAAGAGTGTGACTACCATTAGCTAACGTAGTGGCCACTTGATTACATCTTCGATAAGTATGTGCAACTTTTCATGATAATAAAGATTAGTTTTGTATTATCATCAAAAAAATATTCAGTTTATAACTAAAGATATGCTAATCAAAAGTATATATAGCTCCGTCGATGATTTTTGTGGACCAAAACCAATAGAACCAAATCAGTTCTTACTAGGTCACTAAGTAACAGTAGAGGAAGTAATTTCAATGAGAGGATACTAAGTATATAAATCAAAAGTTGGAATCAAATGAGTTATGATTCCAATGATGATCAATTCTTTGAAAAACCGTCAATAATTAACTAGATTGTGGCCCGGCCAATTGGCCGGGTAGTTCTTTTTTCGAGAAATTTTATTTTATTTTTTCAAATAACATACATTTACAATTTCACATGAATGTTAAGATTTTTATTTTAATTAGGAAAAATTTATTAAAATGTTTAAAATTGTTACAATTGGATAAAACAGCGAAAATATCTAGAGACAAAACAAACTATGAAATTAACATTTGAAGATAAAAAATTATTTTCCATCTTAAAATTATAGGATCGTGTATTAAACTAAGCGGGGCTTCGAATATAAAAATAATATGATATATTACTTAATAGATGAAGCTAAAAAGAAAAATAAACAATTTTATATAGACTAAAGTGAAAAGGATATTCATGAATTAACTTCTATAAATAGATAAAAAAAAATTAGCTTGGACTTCCAAATCCATTGTTGGATAAATTCTTTTGTGACCATGTTATACGCCCTTAATTAATAATTCATTTTTGTCACCCTCTCTTGTTTTTTCGTAAAGGATTTCTTGTATCTCTTTAGCGTTTTTTAATATAAAAAAATCTAATATCATCTCACCCCTCTCGTACCATAATTCAACCACTATGGTAAGTTTGATAGCACCCTCGTACCTCTATAATACCACGATATTATCACTACAGTAATATAATGGTATGGCAGGGTTATGATGACGTAAATTTGTTTGTTCCAAAAGATATGAAACTTGATATCTTCTTGAATAGCAAAAAAATCTGATCTTTCTATGTAAATATTTTTTAAATTCGATATAAAACGAATGAAACATGGTCCGTTGAAATTTTGTAGGAGATTTGAAAAGTGTTTAACAACACGAAGTAAGCTGTCTTCCAGCACAAGACTGAAACGGCATATTAGGTATAGACCTAATCTTATATGAGGTCGACCTAAAAGTGCAAGTTACGGTGACATACATGTCACCATAACAAAGTCCTAAAATTTGATCTCAAAGAAGAGATTAGGAGTCTTTTAACATTGAAAATTTAGGATAGGATCAGAATGATTCTTTGAATATAAGATCATAATAAATGAAAAACAGGAAGTCTATAAAAAATAATTGAAAAAAATAGAATTTACTGTCCAGGTGTCTTCAAAAGATTGAATTTCCACAAATAGTGTAAGAAGTGGGTTAGTGGCCGTGGGCTTGTAGAAAATGAATAAGACTTTGTGGGCTGGTAGAAACTAAAATGTAAAAAGGAAGTAAAAGCAACAGTGAACGGTTTTACGCGAAAAGGCGGAGAGGAGAAGACCAATCAATCCCTCCGAATTATGTGGTATAAACAGCACGGGCTGATGTGGCAATAGTCTTATATTGACATTGCCTTATGGGGTGGTTTGGATGGATCATTCTCAAAACGAGTCAATTTGCATCAAAAGACTCGTTTTAGAAAATGAGTCAATATGATGAGGAAATTTGCCAAGAATGTGTCGTTTGGGATGGACTTTGAGATGGAGAAATGCAGATGAGCCATTTCCGAGGAAATACCAATATACCCTTCTGCAAGTTTTTGTTTCTGGGTTTGTTTTTGTTTAGTTCTTCATTTACAAAATGAACACTTTCTGGATTTCATAATACCCACAAATGAAATCGAAACATAATAAAAAAAGTGGTTTTTGCAACTAACCAAATGTCAAAACCAATCCAAAGAACCCTCCCAATCAAGCAATCGGATTTTTCCGAATCACACAACCAATATCCCTGTAAACCAGAACATCTAAAACCTTAACCCAAGCTGTAAGAGTAGAGGGAATCTGAAGAACTTTTTGAGAAACTTTAGCCGTTGCAATCCAAAACCTTAACCTTTCTGTTTCCCGTTTCTGGAATTTGACTCTAACCCCGTGAGAAATTAGGGGTCTAGGGCACAAATGAAATTGGGCGTTCAGAGCAGAGACGACCGGATTTGAAGTTGAAGGACGCAATTTGAAGGATTGAGACTTCTCGGTCCTTGAATCAGAGGCTGGACTGCCGGTGAGGAACTCCAACAAATCTCGCCGTCGTTTGAGCCTGGCGAGGATCGAGTCAATCGACCCACTACTTACACACATGCGTCAAAATCCCTTTGCGCGGAGTCAATCGACCCACCGGCTGGTCCCCGAGAACTCACTCCTTTGACTCTACGATGATGGCTGGACGGCGACAACCTCTTTGCAAATCCAGCAACAGAGTTTCTCTATTCCTCCCTTTGTCCGCCGGCGACCATCATAACCTTGATTCTTCTGCCCTCTGTCCGCCATAGATACACAAGAAAGAGAAGAAGAGGAGGAATGAGAGCGTAGTTGCAGAGAAAAAAAGAGGAATGACAACGCAGTTGTAGAGAAAAAGAAAGGAAAGAGAAAGGGAAGAGAAGAAGAATAGAGTGGTTTGTTTCTGGAGAGAGAGGGCAGAATTGGGAGGAGGAGACAAAAATTGCGTCAATTGAAATTCCCTCCCCCCACCCCAGGTTTTTTCAATTGACCCCTAACGGAGCAATTCTCATTTCCCCGGCCCAGATTGTTTCGTTTCCTTTTTTTTAGCCAAATGGGTCAATTTGGCCCAATTACCTCAAAATGAGCCAATTGAGTACAATTGATTCATCACAATGTTCCATCCAAACGACCCCTATATGTTTTTGTAGGTTTAATTGATCCAATTCAAGAAAGAAAAGAAGACAGGGGGAGAAGTGTTACTTACTGATGGGCCTCCATTTGTTGGATCCAGGTTTCGATCAGAGTCCGCGAGGCTGATCCCAATTCGATCAGGCCCAAAGCTCAACTATTCAAAGAAGTCTCAGAAACAATTTTGCTAAACTATTGGATGAAGGCAATAACTGGATTGAAGACAAAGACCTCCTACAGAATCATGTTGTACTTTTCTACAAGGATCTATTCAAGAAGAGTAACGAGAGGTTCAATATCAGCTTAATACATGAGATCCCTTGCCTGGTGGATGATCAAATCAACCAGTCGCTTTGTAAGCTAGTTGAAGACTTGGAGATCAAGGAGGCTGTCTTTGAGTTGGGATCGTGTAAGGCGCCAGGGCCCGATGGATTTCCGGGATTGTTCTACAAGCGCTATTGGGCCACGATTGGACAACAGTTGTGTGAAGAAGTCAAAAACTTCTTCCTGGAGGGGAAGATGGCTCAAGGTTGGAATGATACTCATATAATCCTTACCCCAAAGGTTCTTAACCCAGAAAGAATTTCACAGTTCAGACCGATTAGTTGCTGCAACTTCAGATATAAGGTGGTTTCTAAGATCATGACATCCCGTCTTAAGGAATGGATACCAAAACTTGTGTCTGAAATGCAATCGGCTTTCATGGGCGGTAGAGCTATCCAGGACAACATCATTATTGTCCATGAGGTGTTGCACCATTTCAAAACTCGCCCGAAAGGTGGGAAGTGGGATATGATGATGAAGCTAGACATGAAGAAAGCTTTCGATATGGTTGACTGGGACTGTCTTGATGAAATATTGAAAGCTATGGGCTTCTCTCACATTTGGTGCTCTTGGGTCAAGGAGTGCATCACCTCTGTGAGATTCTCGGTTATGTTCAATGGCAACCCTTCCCCTTTCTTCATGCCCTCCAGAGGCATTCGTCAGGGAGATCCCCTTTCCCCTCTCCTTTTCATTCTCTTAACTAATGCCTTATCCTTCCTCATTAACAAGAATGTTGATCGCGGTAATATTCAAGGTATTACCCTGTCTCCTTCTTGCCCTAAGCTCACCCATGTGTTGTTCGCAGATGATACCATTTTATTTGGGAAAGCCTCAATGTCGAAAGCTATCATTATCAAAAAAGTCATTGAAGACTACAGTAGTATGACGGGGCAGGTGATCAACAACGACAAATCCGCTATTACTTTCAGTTCCAATGTCCCTGAGGCCCTTAAGACTCTTATTTCCGAGTTCATGGGCATCCCTCGCGCTGATGGAATGGGAAAGTACCTTGGAGTCCCGACTGAATGGGGGAGGTCGAAAAAAGAAGTCTTTGCTGGCTTGATTGCTCGTATGGAAGGTCTGGGTCAATCATGGAAGAGCCTTGCCCTTTCTCAGGCAGGCAAAGAGACTCTCCTCAAGGCAGTGTATCAGAGCTATCCTACCTACCTAATGTCATGCTTTCTCGTCCCCAAAGGCACAACTAAAGTCATGGATGCTAGATTGAGGGCTTTTTTCTGGGGAGGAAATATGGACAAAGGATCAATTCACTGGAGAAAAGGGAGTGTCCTTACGGCGGCTAAACAAGAAGGAGGAATGGGATTCAAAGACTTCCACCAATTCAACCTTGCTCTCCTTGCCAAACAAGGATGGAGAATTATCAACGGTGGAGATGAAACCTGGGTACGCCTCCTCAAAGGGAAAAGGCAGGAAACCCTCTTGGATCTGGTCCAGCATTTGCGAAGCCAAAGAGATCCTTAAGCTTGGGGCTAGGAAAAACATGGGAAATGGGAGGAACATTGACATCGATAAGGACCCCTGGATTCCAAGCCTCCCAGGTTTTAGACTTCAACCCAATCAAAGACAACAACTAAAATTCTTCGAATGGGTTATGAATGATGGAAGTGAATGGAACCTGGACCTCGTGGAGCAATCTTGCCTCCCAGAAGAAGTGGAAGCTATTAAGAGAATACCTATTGGTTTGGCTAACTGTGAGGACAAGTGGGTCTGGCATCCTGAGAAGTCTGGTACTTTTTCAGTCAAGTCTGCCTATCACCTTTTCAGAATCAATGAACGCACCAGGACAGGCTCAGAGGACCCAAACCACCCTGATTGCACATCTAAAGCCTGGAAATGGCTCTGGAGCCTATTCTTGCCTCCTAAGATTCGGAGCTTTGTGTGGCGCATCACCAGAAATGCCATGGCTACTAATAGGAATCTTTGGTTCAGGAAGGTGATTGCCTCGCCTGTTTGCACCCTTTGTGAGGGGGAGATTGAAGATATGTGGCATAGCTTCTTTGGTTGCCCTCACTCTTCGCTCATCTGGCAAAGAAGCTTCGTCGGCCTCTCTCTTCCCTCTCCCTCTCAGCCTATCCTTATGTGGCTTTTCCATCTAAAAGATGTGATCGCCCTCAGCTCAGTGGTTGCTATTATTGCCAGCCTGTGGGCAATTTGGACCGCCCGCAATGGTTGGGTCTTCAGTGGTGTCCGACCTCTCCACCATTCCACTTTATCCAAGGCTCTCGCTGACTTCAATGATTGGAATGGTCGTCTCCCACCACTGCCCGCCTCCACCCTTACCCAGCCTCCCCCATCCCGTTCAAGCATTGATCCACCGCCTTCCCCTCTCCAACAGGAGATCCACTGTGATGGAGCTTTCGTCTCGGAATCACAGGTGGCGGCTTATGGTGTTGTCGTCCGCAATCACCATGGACAAGTAATTGACGGAAAGGCTGGGACTTTATTTTGTTCTTCAGCGATTGTGGCTGAAGCTCATGCCTTGTTGACTGCTCTTCGTATGGCCGAAGACTCGGGTCTACCGTCCGTGATCTTCTCTGATTGTCAGATCATCATCAACATCTTGCTAGGACAAAGTAGATCCTGGCCTTGGCAAGTGATGGCATGGATTCATTCTATGAAGCAGATCCTTGCGCTTAATGCCCGCATTACTGTGGCTTTTACTCATCGTAGATACAATAAATGTGCTGACTGGGTTGCTAAAGAAGCTAGGATTGGATCTCTCCCTCCAGAGTGGATTCAGATTCTAGACTTGATCTCACCTCTGTTGTAATAGGCCGAGCTTGTACCTCAATCGTTTTGGAATGAAATCTACCAATTGTCAAAAAAAAAAAAAAGCAAGAGTGTGACTACCATTAGCTAACGTAGTGGCCACTTGATTACATCTTCGATAAGTATGTGCAACTTTTCATGATAATAAAGATTATTTTTGTATTATCATCAAAAAAATATTCAGTTTATAACTAAAGATATGCTAATCAAAAGTATATATAGCTCCGTCGATGATTTTTGTGGACCAAAACCAATAGAACCAAATCAGTTCTTACTAGGTCACTAAGTAACAGTAGAGGAAGTAATTTCAATGAGAGGATACTAAGTATATAAATCAAAAGTTGGAATCAAATGAGTTATTATTCCAATGATGATCAATTCTTTGAAAAACCGTCAATAATTAACTAGATTGTGGCCCGGCCAATTGGCCGGGTAGTTCTTTTTTTGAGAAATTTTATTTTATTTTTTCAAATAACATACATTTACAATTTCACATGAATGTTAAGATTTTTATTTTAGTTAGGAAAAATTTATTAAAATGTTTAAAATTGTTACAATTGGATAAAACAGCGAAAATATCTAGAGACAAAACAAACTATGAAATTAACATTTGAAGATAAAAAAATATTTTCCATCTTAAAATTATAGGATCGTGTATTAAACTAAGCGGGGCTTCGAATATAAAAATAATATGATATATTACTTAATAGATGAAGCTAAAAAGAAAAATAAACAATTTTATATAGACTAAAGTGAAAAGGATATTCATGAATTAACTTCTATAAATAGATAAAAAAAAATTAGCTTGGACTTCCAAATCCATTGTTGGATAAATTCTTTTGTGACCATGTTATACGTCCTTAATTAATAATTCATTTTTGTCACCCTCTCTTGTTTTTTCGTAAAGGATTTCTTGTATCTCTTTATCGTTTTTTAATATAAAAAAATCTAATATCATCTCACCCCTCTCGTACCATAATTCAACCACTATGGTAAGTTTGATAGCACCCTCGTACCTTTATAATATCACGATATTATCACTACAGTAATATAATGGTATGGCAGGGTTATGATGACGTAAATTTGTTTGTTCCAAAAGATATGAAACTTGATATCTTCTTGAATAGCAAAAAAATCTGATCTTTCTATGTAAATATTTTTTAAATTCGATATAAAACGAATGAAACATGGTCCGTTGAAATTTTGTAGGAGATTTGAAAAGTTTTTAACAACACGTCTGAAAATTCGTGCCAAGAAAAAATAATCTGGTTAGTTGCCCCCAAAATCACTTATTTCCTTCCTTACCCTTTTATGATATGAACTATTCGATGTCTCCTTTTCCTAATTACAACCGTTCAATATAGTTTTGTAGATCTATATATACATGCAAAATTTTCTTTTGGTACCTAAGTCATTATTATTATTATTTATCTATAATGGTTCGAGTTTTTAAAAAAGAAAGTCTTAGTTCAATAATATACGATAAAATTTGGGGTGCGCCTATGGTGACATGCATGTCATCGTAACTTGCACTTTTCGGTCGACCTCAATTAGGATTAGGTCGACATAATATGTTGTTTCAGTGTAAAAACAGTTTCATGATGCCTACTTTGGAGATTCATATCTTACAATTGGCTCGATGGAAATTGGAGATTAATGGCTTGTTTTGAATTTGGAGTGTCCCTCTACACATTGAAGTGCTTGGGACCTCGATAGGAAGTCCCGAAGACCATTTTTGAACTTGATCAAAAGGCTATGTCAAAACTGGGAAACTGCCTGAAAATGGCCAAGTCTGGAAAAGTGTTTGTGAAGTCTACTTTGGAGCTCAATTAGAGAAGCATGGATGAGATTCGAGTCCAGGAGCCTCTACAACATGAAAGTATGTATGTTTGTCTACAAAGTCAAGGCATTGGATGAAATATTGGATATCTGGAAGGCTTCAAACAAAAGACTCGAAGTTGCTACGAAGTAAGCTGTCTTCCAGCACAAGACTGAAACGGCATATTAGGTAGACCTAATCTTATATGAGGTCGACCTAAAAGTGCAAGTTACGGTGACATACATGTCACCATAACAAAGTCCTAAAATTTGATCTCAAAGAAGAGATTAGGAGTCTTTTAACATTGAAAATTTAGGATAGGATCAGAATGATTCTTTGAATATAAGATCATAATAAATGAAAAACAGGAAGTCTATAAAAAATAATTGAAAAAAATAGAATTTACTGTCCAGGTGTCTTCAAAAGATTGAATTTCCACAAATAGTGTAAGAAGTGGGTTAGTGGCCGTGGGCTTGTAGAAAATGAATAAGACTTTGTGGGCTGGTAGAAACTAAAATGTAAAAAGGAAGTAACAGCAACAGTGAACGGTTTTACGCGAAAAGGCGGAGAGGAGAAGACCAATCAATCCCTCCGAATTATGTGGTATAAACAGCACGGGCTGATGTGGCAATAGTCTTATATTGACATTGCCTTATATGTTTTTGTAGATATGTTTTTGTAGATTTAATTGATCCAATTCAAGAAAGAAAAGAAGACAGGGGGAGAAGTGTTACTTACTGATGGGCCTCCATTTGTTGGATCCAGGTTTCGATCAGAGTCCGCGAGGCTGATCCCAATTCGATCAGGCCCAAAGCTCAAGGTAGAAAAAGAATGAAAGACCCAGAAGGTTATTTAGGCAAATTTGTTGAGTCGGGTATCAATCCAATCGACTCACTAATTATTCCTAATCCCCACTCACTAATTCTTCACTAAATGATGATAGACTAGCGATAAGTACTCCATTTTCTTATACTAATAATTGAAAACAATTTCAACTGCAATGGGACCTCAAGGGAACTAGCAACATCATGGTACGGTAACACACGATTCTCAGGTGCTCCTGCGGTAACTTTACTGTCAGATTACAAGTTAGTTAGCTATGTTATGGCACGACAACAAACAATTCAAGTTGCGTCTCGATTTGGACCAGATCGATTAAATTCAAAATATCATCTGACACGACAGATCATGAAAGTTGACATGTCATCATGTCAATTACGATAAGAGATAAATGGGTTGAGGTGAACCCTTGTTATACTGAACCAAGTACAACGGAGGATCAATCAATGTTTCAGAAACCGTAGCTTATATATCATCCGTTCATAGTGGTAATACTAGGTACAGGATTCCAACCGATAGGCAATTTTAACAACATTACATGATCGAATCACAATTTACAACAAAATACTACACCATTAACTTTTTTCCCGATATAACATCGGATAATATTTAACAATTTATTTTAGTTACAACCATAAATTACTCATGTATACCACCCAACATTTTCCTCATAATAAACCCCACCTTATAATTAACGACGCATTCTCTCACTCCGCAAAACAACAATTCCAACCGATGGCGCAAAAGCCAATACTCGCCACCTTCAACGCCTTCCTCCTCTTCTCCTCCACCGCCGCCGCCTCAATCCCCACCAACCTCATAAAGCAAACCTGCAACCAAACGCCGGACTACAACCTCTGCGCCTCCACCCTCACCGACGACCCACGCGGCCCCAACGCCGGCGACGTCCCTACGCACGCCCTCATCATGATCGACTCAGTCAAAGCCAAGGCCACGTCGACGCTGGAGGAGATCAAGCGGCTGATGAAACAAACGGCGCCGTCTCTCAACCGCTCAATGAAAAAGAGGAGATCGAGCATAACAAAACCGAACATGAGAAAAGGGTTGGGGTGACGCAATAGGGCTTCCTTGGTAGCATTCTCTTCGGGTATTAGCGGCCAAAAAGTTAGGCCCAAAAGCTACGAACCTGCAGTGACACGTCATGGGATTAGGGATTATGTTGCACTACTACTAGCACCGTGGGCTGGCTGGATCGTCGGAGTACTGTTTTGGTTTTTACGAAAACTCCCCAAGAACAAGTTTCCTACTCTAACCAAAACATGTGGCCGAGCACTGGACAGTAACAGATGATCATGTTTCCATGTTGGAAAGAAAAACGTTTCACCTAATGAGCAAAGCCTTGTTATACGTACGTTATATGGATCCTTTTCAAAACCCAAAATCTCGACGAGAGAGGGCAAAATATGAAGCTCGAGTGATTTGAATCATGATACTAGCTAAATATGAGGCAACTTGTATGCGGGGGAAAAAAGAATGATGATAGTAAAGCAAGGGACTATTGGTTTACCAGATTGTGCTATTTTCTTAATTCGTTACAAGTTCTGTGTATATTTTGTGTAGTTGACGTTGAAGTGGTGAATTATATACTGTATTTTTGTATTAAAAAACATGTTATGCTATAAACTAAATTCGTACGGTTAACGTTTTGGTACAAAAAATTTAGTTTTTACTTACATTTTTCAATAAATTTTTTATGGTACAAACTGAAAATATATTTTTCTTTTATAATAAAATTCAATTTGTATCCATATCTTTTCGTATATATCATTTTGATACAAACTAAATTCCTACATTTATTATTATTACTATGATACAAATTCAATATATATCTGAAAACACCAATACTTACAAGCTGCAAGCATTCTAAAATTCCTCATTATTAACATAGTTAGTAAAATACGGTATAGGAAAGTAACGTAAAAAATATGTACGGGTATTTTACTTTGTCTCTATGTTAGTGTTACGTTTAATATTATGTTAATAGTCGTAAATATATAAAATTAATTATGTTAGAAATGAAAAAATATATAAATAATAGTGAAGTTAATAATTTAATTCATTAAATACGGATATTAAACGTGTTATACGAATTTTATATGTGTTTAATACGGGAGCCATCAAATAAACGGACAAAAATGAAACGGCTTCACAATAATACTAATACAAAAATTTTAAATAAATAAAATACATACGGATACAGTATTAACTTAAGTATTTAGTAACTATGATTATTAATGAAACTGCACATCAGTTGTCCATATCGGACCACTCATGTGAGTCAGTCATGTCGACAGTCGACCACGCTGAGTAAGTTTTGGGTTGGAAATCTGATCAGCTAGAAATGGATGGCCCACTGGGCCCATTTGTGTATTAGGCTTAACTTGATCTTGCCCCCAGAAATAGCAATTGTAACTATACTTTTTCTGAAAAATATTTATAGTACAAACGAAACATGCATCTTTACTTTGAGGTATTAATTTATATCTTTCCGTACAAAATATTTTATAGTAAAAATTAAATTCGTGTTTTTACCGTTATCACACACAAATTCAACTTATAACTGTAAACACCAAATGCTTAACGAGCAATCTAAAGTTCCTAATTGGTAACAAAACTACACGTCAGTTGTCCATATCGGTCCACTCATGTCGACCACGCTGAGCTCAGTTTTGGGTTGGAAATCTGATCAGCTCGAAGTGGGAAGGCCCACTGGGCCCATTGGTGTATTAGGCCTTAACATGATCTTGCCCCCAGAAAACAGCGGAGGAAGAGTTCGGTCAAAATCACATGATCACATTCACATGGTTGGGTTCGTTTTGTTTGTGTGTGATTTCTTTTGGGCTTTCTCGTAATTTGCTGTTCCCGTTGGTTAAAATGAAAGAGTTACAAAGGTAAGAAGAAGAAAAATATTGCTATATAAGAATTATTTCACTCAAACACCGGTTCCAATGGGCTGACTGAGTGGTTTTGGCAGAGAAGTATAGGTGTGAATTATTCAATTGTACGCTTGCAAATCTAAACGTAGGTACACAAATTGGATTTTTTTGCACAAATGATTGGTTGGGGACAATGAACAATCTGTTCAACTTTTGGATCAGTATATGCCTATATGGGTAACAACAGTGGCGGAATTGGGTTGTTTTTGGTAAGAGACGTTATACCCCTCTCAACTCTCACAATGATGTAAATTTACCATGTTCTATGAAATTGTACCGGACACTGTATCGGAAAAGTCAGCGATAGGATAATAATGGTCCATGAAACTGTACCGTGCTGGCGGTTCACACACAAAATACCAGTATCGGAGGCTAAACCGTTTGGCGGTATTTAACGGTACTATCGGTTGACCTATGGTTAGACCACGATTTTGCCATAAAATACCCTAGCACTTACTTTCCGGTACGGTTTCATGGACCATAGAATTTTATGGCAAAACCGTGGTTTAACCGTAGTTCAACCGTTAGTACCGTTAAATACCCGTTTATCGGTTTAGCCTCCAATACTGGTATTTTGTGGTTGAACCGCCGGTACAGTACGGTTTCATAGACCATGAAATTTACGAGTAAATTTCATAACACAAACTTTGAAAATAGAGTTGGTATTGATAAGATTTTATTCCTCCCTTCCTAATTCAAATTTCTTGAGCGTAAATTTTTAAACTCCCCTCGTTCAGATTTGCGCAGCTCCGCCACTGAATAATAAGGGTCATAAATTGTACTATATGTTACTAAATTGTGTTTGTTTTCTTCCTTTTTTTTGTCTAGTATCATGTTGAGATATATTTAGTCAAGCAAACTAAACTCAACCACCTAAGTTGGTAGGACGTATATTTGATTGGTCTAGCCACAATAATTCAAGGGATCAGAATATTGATGATTATTAATAACTTATAAGTAGTTCACTCGCATGAGTTTGTTGAGTATACGTTAGAATGAAAATGCATGAAAATCCCTTGTCGTAAAAATTTAATTAGGAATATGCAAAATCCAGCACACATTTCCATTGTGAGGCCGAAATCATCAACTTGGAAAATTATAGAAAGTATCTTCTAATTCGATTTTCAGCCTGAACAATGGGCTTTAAATGTTTGTGCAAAAAAAAAAAAAAAAAAACCGCTTTCCCGCTGGAACAAAACAAGAGAAGGAAGGAAAGGGAGAGAATTCTAGAACTTCACGAGCCTGCCTAACGTAAGGTTAGTTTTGCTCATCTTTCTTTCTTTCTTTCTTTCTTTCTTTCTTTCCCACCTCTCTCTTTTTTCACTACCAAGCAAACCAGCCATGGCAAAAACCATCTCTCGGTCGAATAAATAAAACCACATGCACTACTAAACGCCACAAACTTGTCCACCACATAAGGTAAAATGTAAAAACCTATGGCCAAGAATCAAAGCTTGCTCTTTACAACCCCAATTAGAATACCCCAAATTATAAAATCAAAACAAACCACATGCTCGGTAGGTTAAAAATCAGTTGGTCAGATTAAAACACAAAATCAGTTGGACGTAACACACCCTCTTAAATATCTGGAATCGAACAAAAGACATGTCGGTTACAAAAAGCTCTCATACTTTGTTAATAACAAGTTGGTCTCGTGTTAACTCGAGTTATGAGAAAAGTTCAAGTATGAATATTGTAAAATTTTACTAACAGGGTACTTGCAAAAGAATACAAAGTACAAAACTTATGATGAGTTTCTCGTCTCGTCACAACTTTCGTGAATGGAACACGAAACCTTTAATAGTAAAATTTTAATAATTAATCTGTTGTTTAGTTAGTTATGTATTTTTTAAATTATAATTCGGTCGATAAGTACTCTTAACACTGTCAAATTGTCACATGACATGAGCGTCGCCTTTAAAGCCTCCATTTCCAAATGCCAACACTACGAACACACATTCCTCTCCACCCACCTGAAAAAAACAGAGTCCTCTGTTCTTCATTCTTCCCCCCATTCCCCCAAAATCAACCCCCTAAAAAAATCAAAATGAAACCCACAATTCCTCGTACGACATTCTCCATCCTCCTCCTCCTCCTCGCCGGCTTCCCCGCCGCCGTCCGCTCCGGCGACCTAATCGAGGAAGTGTGCAAGAAAACCCCGTTCTACGGCCTCTGCGCCGCCACCCTCCACTCCAATTCCTCCTCCTCCGCCGCAGCCGACGTCAAGTCACTCGCCTCCAGCGTCACCAGCTTCGTGCTCTCCAACGCCACGGACACGCTGTCGTTCATCCAGGCCCAGCTGAGGAAGGAGAAGGACCCCAAGGCCGAGAAAGCCCTGGCCAATTGCGCCGAGCTCTACATTCCCGTGGTGAAATACAACCTGCCGCAGGCGATCGAGGCCTTCTTCAGGGGTTACTACGGCTTCACCAGGTACGCGCTCTCCGACGCGGCCAAGCAAGCCGGCGCGTGCGAGGACAAGCTCTCCGGCTCCGGCGCCGACGGCGGGGAGCTGAGCGCGCGGAACAAGGTGGTCGGCGACCTGTGCGGCGTCGGGGCGGCGATTGTTGGCCTGCTGATGAAAGTCGGAGGCCGACGAGGTTTGAATGTTTGACCCGCTGGCTGTGTGTGAATTCGGGGTTTTGGGGTTTTGTCGAGGTGTCAGATTGTTAGTGGCTGGGAAGTTCTTTTCCGCCCTGTTTTTTTTTTATGTTTTTAGCTTTTTTGTTTTATTATCGTTTTGCTAGCGGCGTTTTTTCTGTTATTTTTAATGAATTGGAGGTAGTGTTGTGTATACGTGTCGTGCTCTGGGGACACGAAAGAGAAACGGTGGTTGATGTCGATAGTATGAGTTTCAGTTTCTACCAAAAAAAAGTATGAGTTTCAGTATTATTGTTGTGGTTTTGTGTAATATGTAGAATTAATTAATGATTGATCAGATTAATGAGTTTAATTTTCTGTTTTGTCTTTTAAATAATTAAATAATAATCAGAATAATTAATGAGTCCAGTAATTTTATTGAGACTGAAAGGACATAGTTTTTCGGGGGCCTTTCACAGTTTCACATATGGGCTTTCGCGCATGTCACACGTCGTTTCGTCTAATTATACATTGAGCTTCCGGCCCATTCGAGATTGAGCGCCGTTGGGCCGAATAAGGATGCAGCCTGTTCGATTCGATAAAAAAAAAAAAAAAAAAATTCTCTGCTAATCTTGGTTCGGCTATTCAGGATAGAGCTACTACTCGGTTCAGAATCAGATCAAATCGAGACAAACCCATTCCAAAGAAAAGAAAAAAATGAGATCAGAAATTCAGAATCATATCAAAAGTATGTATTTTTAGTTTGTTTTGGTCCGGTTCGAATTCAATAATTGTCAACAAAGTTTCATACTGAAAATGATTTATAGAATTCAAATCGAATTGAAATATATTTGATTCGATATTCGATATATTCCGTCCAAATATTGAATCGGTATAATTAAGTCCGACGTTGACCGAATAGTTGCCCGGCCCATGTTACTTTTTTCAATCCTTTGGATGAATAACAGTAATACCCGAACTTTTGTTCATTTCGATACTATGCTTTGTATGAACAAGCAAGCTTTAATAAGAAACGGCTATTCATGAGGGGAAAAAGATAATAGACCCAATTATTTGAAGTGACTGTCAGAAATTAAAGAAATGCACATGATTAGATATTCTACTGGGTTTCCATTGCTTTCTTCAACAATAAAAAAAAGAAGGGAGCGATCCAAGTAGATGAGTGAGCGTGAAGTTAGCATCTTGTTCAGTTTAAGGTGCCCGATGGTTGCTAACAGGGAGAACAGAAATTTGAATTCCCCCTCTAGATTAATCCTAAACAATAACGCGAATTTGAACTTTCCCCCTGTTTTAGGCTAATCCTGCACAAAAAGCTGCATGCAAAAGATGAACATGTGGAAGCACGTGTTCAATCAACATGCAGTTGCATTAAATGGACTACACGCTGGCTTAGCTAAGATTTGCCATTGCCTCCCCTGCCCTGAGGAAAATAATTGAAGTCAACCCACATAGAGTTCATAATCAACTTCTGAGGAGAAAGATGATTATAAAATGGAAAACAAATCTGTCCACTAACTTGCTTCCCGGCAGCAACACTAGAGCAGTAGACAGAGCAGCTGCATTCCAGCTTCCAGGCAGCAACACTATAGCAGTAGATAGAGCTGCTACTTTGTATCTTCCTGTTATAAGAACTGGGTTCATGTTTGACAGATTAGGATGTGACAGATGGGAAGCTTGGATGGATGGTCCAAAACATCAATGGTTCAAAATCCTACTTTGCAATTTGATCAGACAAATTGGAAGGATAATATATGCACAAGGTAACATTATGTTATTGAAATCAGTGTGGCCAAAACCCAGTTGACAAAAACTACTAAACTCATTTTGAACCTTCTCATTCAAATACACAGCACAAACCTACCATCTTCCCACTGCAAAAGACAGCCGCTTCCTTCTTTATCAAATGCATTAGCTCTGGCCTATCAAATGGCTCTGAGACTCGTATCTACATTACCCTCTTCCTGCTTCTTTCCTTGCTCCATTTAACCTCGGTGAATCCACCGAAGTCTACTAATCTATCACAGTTCTCATATGGAGAAGGGAAACAAAAAGGAAACGGGGGGAAACAAAAGGTTGACAACTTGCAGATAAATGGCAAGTTTATTCTTTCTCTAACATAAACCCTGACACTCATCCGAGTCGTCTTGCTGAATCCGGAGGATCAACACCCGAGCTGCAAAAGATGACACAGAATGACGAAACAGTTACTTGCTAGTTACTATGATTACTTCAGCTAGCTAACATGGAAGAACTGAAGAAGAGTATTAGATAAATCAATGATTTAACATACTTGTGAGAACCAGAGCTCAGACCGATAGGGCCATTTACAGAGGGAACACCGAAGTACTGAACCGCTATGAGATCATTGTCCATCATTCTAGCTGGCTCGGGGGCCGTCTGTAGGTCTATCGTTGTAATCCTCGACGACATTCCTGCAATAGCAACATCCAATGTTCGGGGGTTCAAAAAACATGGCTCACGGCACTGTAACTTCCATTGATTTCATCACAATAACTAACTCTCAGAGTTGTTACACAATTTCCTTGCTACACGATTTACCTTGGCAGAGTATGACCAGAAAGAACAGGACAGTGAAAATCATAGCAAACAGATTGCCCGTCGAAGAAACCGATGACTGTTTAGCAACTTTGGCCTTCTTCATGGCCTTGATCCTCTCGATCCTGGCGCGCTTCAACATGGCGAGCTCGGAGATCTCCTTGATGAGCTTGAGATCAGCTGCGTCCAGCGAGGGGCCTCGCGGTGGTCGAGGTGGCTTTGGAGACTTCTTGTGTGGGCTGCTGCTCTTCCTACGTTGCTGCTGCTGCTTCTCATCCGAATGATCACTCCCACTACTAGCAGTAGTCTCATTGTTGTCCTCCGTTTTCGCTTGCTGATCGCCTTCCGAATTCGATCCTCCTCCATTCCCACACAAGAGCTTCTGCCCTTCTTCTTCCCCTTTCGCCAAAACGCTGCATACTTTGTTGAACAATGATCTCACGCCATTTGGGGAAGAATGAGGAGAAGAGGAAGGATCCCCTGCTCTGCCATTATCATTGTTGTTTGGTCCGCTCTCCAGATCAACGTAGAAATCTCTGCTAGCATTATTATCCTCCATCTCCATAACCCAAAACCAGAAACCAAAAAAGGCAGAAATCTTTCCCTCGCTCTATCTAAAACAAGCTCAAAATGGGCATATATATTATAGGATCATCAACAACAAAAAGAAATTGCGACAATTTTGGGATTCCCCCCTATATTTCCCTCTCGGCTTTCCTCTACAAGAAATGAATTTCCTCCCCTAATCGACAACCTGCAATCCAGTCGCCGGAATCGCGCAATAATCCACCTTCTTCAGAGATCAGAAAAAAAAATCCTCCTCAAACCTAAAACCAAAAAAGAACCCATAACTGAATCAGAATAACAAACCTGCATAACCAACATTCAAAGCAACGAAACATAAAAAAAGCGGGGGAGGAAACGCGGCAATGTCCGAATCAAAACCCTAGGAAAAAACTTCGCCGGCGGAATCGGAATTACCTTGACAGAGCGTGAGAGGAGGGAATGGCGGATCCGACGAAAGAGGCAGCAATTGAGGAGAAAGGCTATCAAACATGAAAATTTTGATAGCCCGAGGAAAGAAAGAAAGGGAAGAAGAAAAACCAGGAGGCTTCTCGATTTGTTGTTGTTAATTGCAAAAAATTGAAACTGAAAAAAAAAATTACGAGAAAAATAGATATAATGCGAGAGAGAGAGAGAGAGAGGAATGGGAAGCGAAAGAAGAGGAATGGGCACGATGGAATCGGGTCGGGTTTTCAGTTGCAGAGATCATACAGCTCAAGTTTGCAGACGAAATTGGCACGGGAAGTCTGAAGTCAATTTGTTGGGAGTAGCGAAGGAGTCAGGGAGTGGGGACTCACCGGAATTGCGCCAGAGGTGACCGGAGAGAAAGGACGGCGGCGGCGGCGGCGGGAGGAGGAGGGACACGTGGAGTGGTGTTGAATAGTTTGCGTGGATGGTGTTGGCCGTCGGTGACCGACAGTTGGCAACTGGCGCGTTAGGTTTGTTATTTATAGGAGAAGGAAGGAAGGGATTTTAATGATTCCGTTCTCGAGATACCAAATGGTAGTTTTAGTTCCCTCCGGAATTAAAATTATTCAAATTAAAATAAATTTTGGATTAGAGTTTGTTAATTTTTGCGATTAAAGGCGGCAATACCAGATGGTGTCAAGTTAACGGATCAATGGGTGTGGGGACGCAATTTGCTTCGTAACTAATTTGTTCATATAATTGGACCGTTCTCACATATAATCAGGTCGTTTGGATGGATTGATTGGAAATTAAGACAATTTGGTTAATTATTTTTTTTACAAGATGAGTTAAGTTGAATTCACACCTTAGAATAAGTCAATTCGAAATTTTGCAGATCAAATTGCCCCATCTAATCAGCTGCTTAAGAGTAAGTGGTCAATTTGGCCTATAATTGTGTCAAAACGAGACAATTTGATAAATTTGTTCCGTTAAAATTTCTCATCCAATTGACCGTTTAATTCTCTTATGTGTGAATTAGTTTAGTCTTGTTTGTGCCCAACTATAATATATATAAAGATTTAAAGAACAAAAACAACTAAAAATAAAGAAATACAGAAGGGTGTTTGTGTAAAGACTTATCTATTAGATCATTTGAGAAACAATAACTCTTATATAGTGAATATTAAGTCGCGAAATCATATCAAATCATAAATCAAACGATAAATGATTAATAAACGAATGCCTCCCGAATCAAAAATGAATTTAAGGACCAATCTGAAATAGATGAGATCGATGCATTGGATCTACATTTCTCCACTTGTAGTAATAGTACTCTCTTTTCTCAATTCATCGTTACAATTGATGATTGGATTGGATTTAGTGTGATGATAGGGACAAAATGGTGACTTTTCTTTAATTAAGGGAGGGACAAAAGAGGTTACGGATTAGGTTAGGACTTAGGACTGTCATATGTCCACCTAAAAAAAAGGTTAGAATTAAGTATCCTAATGCCAACGGGCACTGCCAAATTTGCTGCAGCTGGCCGGAGCCATGGGAAAAGAAAATAGGAGGTAGGTTAGCCAATAGGGAATACTAATACATATGTTAATCCATCATTAGTACCCTGTGATTAAAACAGAAAAAGGGACACTAAGAGGATTAATTTAATTGGTAATTACACTTAGTGGAGGAATATGTGTAAGTGTGCAGGCCCCACTGATCACCAACTACAGTGATTAGTAGTGCTCTTCCAAAACAAAGGCTAGAGAGAAGAAGAAGAAGAGGCATTCACGTCCTTCCCTTCTTTTGTTTTCTATCCTTTCGTTCTTCTTCTTCTTCTTCTTTGTTGAATTCAATTCATTAATTACCCACGACGAGAAAACGTTGCTCTGTTTAGTTGGTGAGGCGCACCATTTGGCCCTACAAACCCAACACATCACTCTCCCTTTTATTTTCTGTAATGGTACCATTCTCATTAATATGTCAATTCCAAGTGTCTTTATAAGAACATTGAATTGGGGGCATTGTCAAAGACTAACATATCAAATTGTCTATCTTGTTAGGTCATTCCTTGTTTTTCTTTTTCGGGTATTCGTAGGAACATCATCGAGTTTGATATCGTAGCGGGAAAGACCAGAGAAAATTTGTAAGATCGTATCGAAAAAGGTTTCTTTTATGATCTTTTATGTTCAACTCGTGGTTCAAACTCTCTTACCGCCAAAAACTGTCTACCGATTTAGTGTTCGGTATGAGGTTATCTGGTCGAAGTGCCGGTACGGTACTGTCACACAAACAATGGTGAACCACCCCATTAATAATGCACACATTATACTTCTCGGGGGATCACTTCTAAATTGGAATAACTGCCTATGTTATCTTCCTTCCTTGAGGACTTACTATAGGAATAAATGAGATTATGAGTTGGGAGACCGTATTTGATTTTTAATTTATTGTATGTGTGCATAATGCGAACTAACCCATCACGAGCTATCTTATTACAGATAGAGTTCAAGATAGGCCGAACGAGGGTGTATTGGATCAAATTGTTTATAGATAACCACAATCACCAATTAAGAACCGGTCTCAATGATAATCGCCCTATAAATTGTTTGACCATCTAAGTCCATCCCCTTCTTTAAGATATAACCCAAAGTATATTATACACATACACATGACAAGTCAATCTTAAACCAACCGGCTACAATTTAACTTTTTGCGATCCAGGCGATGAAATTAGGTATTTGATTATTGTTCCACAACAAAGCAAATCCTACTACGGGCTACAACAAGTCTTCAGTTGGTCCTGTAAATCCTCCGTTGATTGTGTCGGTGGAAACGGGGGAGTTTAAAAGACAAGATCATGTGTGATAGGATTCCGCAAATCCGGCTAGCTAAGCTACGGCCTAATTGCCCAAATTATTTTGTGGTTATGGGTAATGGGCCAATGCTGCCGGCCCTTCAGCTAGTTGACCCATCAACAGGCCTCTCGCTACCTCCCGGCCCACTAATCGGTGCCAGGGGCCCACAGCAAAATCCCACTCGTCCAAATCTTTTTCAAGGATGAAGGGACCTACACCAACCCAACACAAGTACAATACGTTTGGTGCGCCATCATTTGTGTCCTTATGAGACTCAAATTTGATTTACATCGATGATTAAACTGATACAATGACAAATTAAGGTCAGAAGATGAGGTGTGCGAAATGAAGGGTAAACCGATTCATAATTATTTTTATGATTCATAATGAGATAGGGTTATAGGTATAATATGTTACTCTAATAGGTTGTTTTGTTAAACATGCTCCTCTACTATTTTTTACACCAAACATGCCCCTGTCTTTAGAAAAATGATCAAACATGCACTTTTGTTAATATTTTCACCCAAAAACAGTCAACCACGGTCGTACCTTGGTTTGGGCGACACAAATGTCTTAAACATCCCTGGTAATTTTAGAATTTTTTGGGTTCTTTTATAGAGCCAATTACCTCTAATAATTTCACTTTAACGAGACCTAGAAAAATAAAATGGGGGACAAAACTAACATTTTTCCTCTCATTTGTCGATGTCGGGTCGTCTACATCTCGGTTCAACCATGGTTGACGATTTTTTAATGGAAATTTTAACAGAAGGGCACGTTTGATAATTTTTCCAAAGTACAAAGGCATATTTGATGTAAAAAATAGTAAAGGGGCATGTTTGCTAAAACTACATAGTAGAGGGGCATATTATACCTATAACCCAATGAGATAAAAAAAAAAGGTTAATACTCTAGTTTGGCCCGAAGTTTGGCATAAGTGACAGTTGCAACCCGATTTTTTGAATAAGACATTTGTGGGCTACTTTTCAAAATTATGGACAAATTTTGCCCAAAACTTATGTTGACTGTTAATATTAACGGTCAAACATATATTCCGTCAATGAGTCAGCATCCAGTGTTGAGTTGACATCAATGTCAGTTATAAATTAAGAATGTAAATAAGAGAACAAATTTAAAAAACAAAATCCTAAAAACACCTAGGGTATCCTTATCTTCTGCTTCTTCTAAGTTCTAACCTCACCTCCGATTCATCCATCGCAACTCCCTCCCTCCAACATCCAACCTTACCTCCGATTCCCCACATCTCTGATTCCCTCTCCTTATCGAAAGCTAGCCTTATCGTCAAACTATGCAGTGGGAGATGAAGCAGGTGCGACGGTGGTCGTGGTGGCTTCCGGTGGTTGGCTGCCGCCAATTTGATATAGGAGAAAAGAGAGGACATGGGGGAAACCGGTGTTGTGGTGTGATGATTCCTGGCGGAGATCTGGAGGAGAGACGATGGTGACTGACAACGACGGTCGATGGCGTATCTACAGAGGATGGCGTTGATCTCTGCAACTGTGGCATCGAGAGTGGCGAAGCAGAACAAGGGTTGCGGTCGCGAGGAATGGCATCGATCTTGTCGATGATGGCTTCGAGGGCGGCGATGTAGATCTCGAAAACGACGACGAGCAAGGCGACATCATCGAGGTAGTGGGAGATTGAACGGAGGAGGTGATAGAGGGCGCGACGGCGGAGGGTTAAGGAAGATGGAGTGGCGACAAATTTAATGGGGACGAGTTGGTGTTGCGGTGGAACGCGGGGTGGGTTGTTTGCCGAGAGTGAAGAGAAGAAGTAGGGATTTTGACTTTGTGGTACTTCTTTAAAATTGTTGTTTTTTTTAATAAAATCAAATACATAATTATTTAATGATGTGGAGACAAACATCAGCCACATCAGCAATATTTTGCTGAGTCATTAACGTTAAGAATGTTTGACCGTCAATTTTAACGGTCAACATAAGTTTTAGACCAAATTTGTCCATTATTTTGAAAAGTAGGCCATAAATATCTTATTGAAAAAGTCGGGCCACAACCGGCATTTGCGCTAAATTTCGGGCCAAATTAGGGTCTTAACCCTAAAAAAAAGTTTCAACTACATAAAAAAGTGAAATGTTATTTCGAGACTTCCCACCGCATTGTGATCAGGAAATACAGAGCACAAGTGCACAAGTGCGCTTGTCAATGAAGTATACATCACAGTACAACACTAATAATGTCAATGGATCAACAAGGAAACACAATACCGAATTTAATGAAAAATTACAATACAAGAACATGTTCGTTTGTTGAAACAACAGATCGCACCATATGGATTCAGGAGCTCGACGTGAGCAGGACAATGACAAAAGCTGCCTATACTAGTTCAGAAGCAGTTCACTACTACAAAACGCCAGCAAAGTATCTGAGAGACGAAAATTATTTATATTTCACCACCCAACAATAACACTGTACTGATAATCATGTTTGGTTTTGTGCATAAACAAAGGTAAAAAAACCTAACTTCTTACAAGTTACGGGTTTTAGATAATATGACTGAACAGGCCTAGAACTTGAAGATAGCAGCACCACTGGAAGGCTTCGAAGCAAACACATAGAGTCCGAGATCGCTCTTGTTGATCACCCCTTTCTCTATTCTTGACTGGTAGAACTTGTCCTGGACGAAGAACAAAGCAAACACCAAGCAACCACCAAAGTTAAAAATATTTATCTTTACTTTGAACTTCGGTCGGGAAATCATTTATATACCTTCAAGTTAAGGATGAACTGTGGGACAATGGCTTCCTTCACCAATGCAACTGCACAACCGCCCCATCCGGCTCCAGTTAGTCTGGCCCCCAAGGCTCCATGATCGCGACAGACTTTAACGAGTTCTTCCAACTCCGGACAGCTGGTGAGTGAAGTTTGAAGAGAAGAACATCACAGAATCAGAGGAGTGAAAGTAATACGTAAATTAATTGAGCTTATAGAACATTTGGAGTTCTGTTGAAAAGTCAGATGCATAGTGATTTGTAATAATGATCAGACTGTCGAAGTTTGCTAACATATGAAGACAACAGTGTATAAAAACCATGTACCTGCATTCATATAGAACGCTGCAACTGTGGTGGCTGTCGTTCATTAGCTCACCTAGCTTCTTTAACTTGTCCTCATCCCTGCAAAAAAATGTTCTTCGTAAGGTACATACTCAACATTTACAATGACCTCACAAGGATTTTAATTACAAACTCCAAAACGAAAAAATGTGCTGGCTAAATCGAGTCTGCAATTAGACATATTGTGGGTGGGACAACTGCCTACTTGAGATTTGCTACCACGGTATCCTTGAAAGTGTGCACCCGCTTGGCTTCAGAGTAAACATGGGCTGCCCTCTGTGATACAAGGACGACTCAACGTGTAAGACTTGATAAGTTATTAAACAGGAAAATAGATGAAGCAGAAGTCGCACAGGTTAAATGAAAATTCCTGGTCGGGAGTTCACAACAGTTTACTCAGGAGGATGCAAGAGTTCAAGCAGAACAAGATAGTTCATTAAGCAGAAAGTGTTCAGCCCAGATGAATGATAATTCTAACAAATGGATTTAGGAATTTATGCATACCTGATGCAACTTGAAGTTCTTGGCTGCCTTTAACACCTCCAATGAGGATGCAGAACTGCCAAACGTAGTTGTAAGCTTCTCTCCAGTTATTTTTTCAATTTCTTCAGTTGTATATGGTTCCTCTTTCAAGAATTCCTGCAGCAATAGTGGGAGGAAATGATTCACAGTAACTAGCAGGCTAGAAGTGGAAAGGGGCTGATAGTGATACCTTAACGGTAATAACAGGATCTGAAGAACCACGTTTGCCAGCAAACGATACACACAACCCTTCTACATCAGAAAGGGTTTTAACTTTTGACCTAGCCTCCTCTGGTTTCATTCCGAGCTTTATCCCAAGTATGATCTGAAGGAAATGTAAACCAAACAGCAAAGTGGTGATGGATTATGGATAAGTATGGATTCCTGTGGCTCAAATGTATAATTCTGACAGACCTAAATATGGATAGAGAAAAGAAGGAAATATGCTTACAGAAGCTAGGCGGCATTCAACAACTCTGTTATTGTAATTAGTTGCAGCAGTGACAGCCTTTTCAGACTCTGCCAAAGAATGTGCAATCACAAAAGTCCCACCATCAGGAAGATGCACATCAGTTGCTCGAACAGGATTGAAATCGATAAGTTCAGCAAATCCAGCCTTAGCCATTACAGAGATCGCCTGCCAAGTAACTCATTGTCATATAGATAGTCCCCAAAACAGAGTGGCTAAGCCAGTATCTAGTTGTTTCCGATATGGAAATCACAGGCAGAAGATAAATGCAACCAGAAATGCCGATTGATATAGTGTACACACTTAACGAACCTGATCCATTCCTCCAGATTGAGTCCCTATATGCCTTTCGCAATCGCATGTCAGCTGAGCAACTTCTTTCTACACAAGAGGAAACAAATTGAACTGTTGAATACAAAATGTTCACAAAAGCCCCCAAAATCTTCTTCTTGTTAGTTACCTTTGGAATGCTGACACCAAAAGCAGCCATAATTGCAATGGTAGCCGAACAAACAAATGCAGCAGAGCTCGAAAGTCCAGACCCTGAAGCAATTCGTACAAAATCTAATCTAAGTTCCCAAAAATGGAGATCAACCCACAAAGAACTAAACCCCCAGTGCCCACTTAATTAACATACCAGTTGGAACAGTTCCATCAATCATAACATCCAGCCCAACTGGAACACCAACATCTATCCCTTTAGTTTTGGCGTATTCATGATAACCTTTGTATCTGTAAAGCACAGTGGGAAATCATAAACATAATCACAAAGAAGACACCATAATTAGGAAGAGAAACAACCTTAAGGTTCTAATCCTTACAGTCTCACTCACCCACAGATGAAATAATGGCCCCATCTGTGATGTTTCAAGTCAATTTCCTGCACCAAATCGAAATCATGATTCCATTTTTTTCCCCCCCTTGAAGTCAATTTCTCTAATCATTATTCTCCAATCCCTTTAAAAGAAGATTGAACCTACCTGGTTAGGATCCGCAGGGTAAGTGCACGTTGCGTACTTCTCCTCGTTGACATTCGCAATCCGAAGAAGCTTTTCCGCCTCCGATGGAGACCGCTTGCGAATCGCCACGATCGTGTCCTGTCGAATCGCCATTGGCAGCACCGAGTAGCCTTCATAATCGATGTGCTCCCCGATCAAATTCACTCGTCCTGCCGAACAAAACAACCAAAACCGTAAACCAACTCGTCAGTGATTGGACCACCGAGTTCACTCACTCCGAATAGCAGTTATTTCCATTTCCCCCCTCTCTTTCTCAGCGGCCAGACGAGGAATTACGGAGAGGAGAATTTCAATGGACCTGGAGCGCGGGCGTAGAGGTCAGGCGGATGGCCGAAGACTTGGAGAAACTTGGACTTCAACTTGTCGAACCGGAACTGGGCCTCTTCCAGTTGAGAATCGCCGCCGTAGACAGGATCGAGGGAGGAGAAAATCGGGACCGGCAGTTCGTCGTGCTTCGCCGCCATTATTGGAGTTCAATCTCCGAGCGATTTTTTCTCTCCTCTGGAGCAGAGACGAATTGAACTGATTACTTCGACAAAGATTTTGTTGGGAGCAGATATGGGAATCAAAAACAAAGCGCCGCTGAGAACTATAAAACATGGAATTCGAGAAACTGCTCGTCCAGATTTTTTCTTTTCCTTTTTTTATTATTTCTTTCTTTTTTTCTTTCATCCTCAGTTTGTAGCCAAATAATTATCAGATTGGACGGTGATTAGTGCATGATTTTATTTTTCAAATTGAGATGTTTTATTATCTAGTTAGGTGATTTAAGTTTATCTAATTTGTAATTAGATTTGATTTGACGTTGATTTGAAATGGGTAAAGGGGAAAACGAAGGATCTGGATGGAACCTGATTTTCATAACTGTAAAGACTCCTTGTCAGTCTGGAACTCTTTCTAATGTCAATCAATTCATAATCATAAGCGGCTTTATTTCTCGCTTTCCTTACGAACGTGGGCGGTTGGGCCCGTTTTTAGCTGCGAACTTTTCGGCCCAATCCCTCCAACTGCTCAATTATTTAAATTAATTGATCCACTAACTTCCAGTCCACGTTTACTACTAGGATAACTGGATAAGGATCCAAGGGTTGACAGTTTATAATTTTGGTATCTATACTTTGACTTGGTTGCTAAATGGTCATCATTTTGTTTTTGTTTCATTTTGTTCATCACAATTGTATTTATAGGCTGGCGATCTACCAATCAGTTCCATTTATTTGTTTGTTCTGTTTAATTGTGAAGTATAAATTGAGTGGGTGTGGAGGGGTACATGATAATTCTCGTGTCTACGCCGCCCGGGATTGAAGTGGAAAGTTGGGAGAATTGATGGATGTATGGGGTGTGTAATGGTTTGGTTAGGTTTCCTTTGTTCTTTGGCGAAGGAGCGCGCAAGAAAGCGAAAATGCAGGGGAAATTGGTTAAGAGTTGAATATATCAACCAGTTTATATCATTGAACCGGTTTAGTAAGTTCAATGGTTTGATCGATGGTATAATCAATTTGTATTGGTCTATACGGGTTACAAAATACGTAGAAATATGAAATTCCATGAACATCAAATGAATTTAATCATATATAAACCATATTTGAAGACAATTTACTTACAATTCATGTTGATATTTAAATAAAATGTGACACTAGCTATATGTAGCTTAACCCTACTGCTCATGCAAGACGGTGAATTACCAAAATTTAATATTCAGAGGTGTTCAAAATTGCAGTTCTCGTACCTAACCTCACAATGGTCGCTCTTGATATAAACACCGTAGGAGCCCTTGCAGTATTGTTTCATCGTGGAAGCAGCATCTCTGCTACCGGTGTCTCAGACATGCTGCTTCCACCGAAACTGCATTACTTCATATGGAGATGTGCTAAAGACCTCATTGCTACGAAAAGCAATTTGAGAAGAAGGAAATGCTCTCCAAATACCATTTGTCCTTGTTGTGAAAGCCCAGATGAGTCTCTCCTTCACTGTCTTTTCCTGTGTGACCATGCGGCTAATACTTGGAACAAATTCTTTCCTTCACTTCCATTCCCTTCGAGTTCTTCCTCTTTCTTTGGTTGGTTTTGCAGTTTGAAGGACAACCTCGCGCCCTCGAGCATCCTCCAAGTTGTGTTTTTGTGCTGGAATATTTGGAAAGCGAGGAATGAGCTTGTGTTTTAGGGAATGCACTCCATCACCGTACAATACGTGCATCAAAGCTTACCATGAGTGCCAGGAGTGGTCTATGTGTCCCAAGAGGCCAGTTGTGGGTCATCTTGTTCAGAGTCAGCCCAGAGGGCCCCGCTCTCATCCTTGTTCACCGCCAGACAATCCCGTTTTGGAGATTCACTGTGACGGATCATTTTTACATGATTCTCAGGAGGCGGCTTATGGTATCGTTGTCATCAATGACCACAGACAGGTTTGTGACGGACGAGCTGACTCAGTACTTTGCTCTTCACCGATGGAGGCTGAAGCTTGTGCTCTTTTGGAAGGTTTGAAGCTAGCTCAAGAATACAATATCCGGTGTGTGGTCAAGTCCGATCGTGAGGTCTTAGTGAAAGCCCTCTCCTCTTCCCCTCAACATGGCCATGGCGTTGCTCGACAAAGCTTGCAATGATGTGTGGGATTCTGAGAACATCTATTCTTATCAAGGTGGTGGCCATTCCGCGCCGCCTTAACGTTCGAGCTGATTGGGTAGCCCGTGGACAGGCACACTCCACTCTTCCACAAAATTGGATAACTATTCTTGATCTTATCTCAAACTCCATCACTTGAGTGTAACGCTTTATCTTTGTTCGGTTAAGAAATGAAAGTATCTTATTGTAAAAAAAAAAACCCAAAGATAACTCTAGTAGCTCCATCGAACAGAGGCTATGGCGGCAGCGGCGGCGAAGAAGAGGGTGCAGATCCCGACGGACCTGACCACCGACATCCTGTGGAGGCTTCCGGCCAATGCGTGCACCTTCCGATTCCGCTGCGTCAGCAAATCATGGCGTGATTTCCTCTCCAATCCCTATTACATCTCACAACAACTATCCGGATGCGCCGACGATTCTTCTTCTTCCGACCACAAAACCATGATCAAGAGCGGCAGCTTCCTCTCAATGTCATCGGTTTCCATTATGCACTCGGACAACACCTTCGAGCCGCTCCTTCCGAAAAACTATCGCGACGCGAAAAGGATTTGATCCTCTGGAATCCGGCCACCTCGGAAATCAAGCTCGCCCCCCGGCCCGCCCTCCTAATGTGTACCACAAGCCCACGGACGTGCCCCGGTCTGGGCTCAATTCACAAATAGATGCCATCATATGCCAGGCCCAAATCCTCGACCAAAATGGGCCCTGGCTCGGTTACGATCCGGAATTGGATGATTATAAAATCCTATGGCGGGCCAGGATCGTTGCCCAAACGGGGCAAACTGACAACTTCGTCAACGTATACAGTCTAAGAAACGACTCATGGACGAAGCTCTACGCCGTCACGACGTACCCTGCGGTTTTTATGGGATTCTCGAGAAATTTGAACTGTTTCTTCGTACCGTTGCTGACGCACCAAGGCGTCACGTGGGATGAAGTGAATCGCTGTGTTGTTTTCCATCCCTGCACCAGAGAGTTCAGTTATCCCGACATTCAGGGAAAAGAGATCATAAATTATGTGCCTTCTAGAATTCATCTACGAAATTACGACGACAATAAGGGAATGATTGCAAGAGAAAGAAGCATGCTCGTTTGGAGAATTGAAGTCTAAAAATTTACTAGATGGTAAACCATCCAGAAATTCTAGCTCTGCCATATTGCTGAACTTTATTTTATTATTTTTTTTTGGTAACTGCAATTGTAAAAATTAAATAAAAACATATTCTTATTTTTTTTTTTAATAAAATGACCTGTGTATCTTTAACTAAACAAATCAACGTGATTGAACCTTACCTTACGCTATAATAATCTAAACTTGTAGGTTGTGTGTGAATACTTAGTAATGATTATTTATATATTTGCTTATTTGTAATAAGTTTGAGTTTAACAAATAAAATAATAAAAATGAAGTGGAAAATTTGAAATGGTGAAATGTAATATGAGAAAGTACATAGTGTTTGCATTGGATGATTGTTTTAGATACGCAAACTAAAAAATATGATACTAAATTCGAAAGTGTTACAATTTGAGTAAAAATGTGAATTAAATATTAGAAAGTAAAAATGTAAAGATATTACTTTTAGTAGTGATGGGCTGATGGCTGGAAGGATGACAACGGGTTCGAGTGGTGTTGGTTTTCCCATATTCCATCCATGAATTACGGTTTTAAAATCATAACCATTCTCCTAATCAAAACTATGTGAAGATGTAATATGACATATAAAACCAACTAGTATTTGGTTAGGTGAAAACCCACTCGCATCATCCCTGAAAAAAAGTTCTTTATATAATCTAAATTGTTTCTTAGAATGCCAATGTCAATTTAAGTTTATTTATCCTGTCGTTTGTAAAACTGATAGAAAAGAACAATATTTGTAAAACTGATAGAGTCAGCGAATCGCAACACCAGCAAAATTTGCAGAACCCACTGTCCTTCCACCTCTGCATCTGGTACGAAGACATCGTCGATGAGTTTAGATTTTACGGGGTGAACATGAGCGTGGGGAGATGCTATGCCATCTCGATGAGCACAGCGAATCACCACAAACACAGACCGAACGATTTCAGTATTTGGGTTTCTCAGAAGCTTTAAAAGAGGCGAAGATGAGAAGGAAGCGACGACGGCTGGTCAAGAAGAATATCTACCGCAAAATCTTCCACCGCCGTTGGTGAATCGTTAGAAGATCGCCTCTTTGGATCCTTATTCTCATACCAGATCCCCAATCGTGGTATGCTATGTTCCTGATTCTCCCCCCCTCCCAACAGCTCCCAATCGTTGGTGAATCGTTACAAAACCTCAACAGCTCCCAATCGTGGTCCACTCTGGTCTTTTGGCCAAAAGTGCAAAAATTGTCTTTTTCGCTCAATTCAAGATGGGTTTGGTTGTTCATATTGTCATAAGGAGAAGTGGGTTGAGAGAAATTTCTTAAATCTAGGCGAGACCGAGTCTGATTCCTCATCCAATAGAAATTTCCATGATGATGATTGACGAGGCATCAATGAAAGGAGAAGAAGCAACTGAGATGGAGAATTAAATGTGGAAGAAAAAGAAGAGGAGAGGCAGGGGTCGGGTTATGTGGTTTGGTTGAATTATATGGAGTTTTCTTATGTGTCGGTTTTTCTTACGTGGCTGGTCAAATTAGATGACGTGGCATGCTTAAATTGGGTGAATCAGCACTGTTGTTAGCCACGTCAGCAAAATACTAACGGTGTTAACGGAGATGGATGGAGACTAACGGAGAGTGACCAATCGTGAAACGTTAAGCACTTCTAGTGACCACGAATGGAATAAAATTCTTTTAGTGACCAAACGTGAATATTTTAACACTTCTAGCAACCAAAATTTGGGATTCCAGCCCTGCGCCTAAATTTGGGCCCTCAAAAGCCCAAAGGCAAGTAATTCATCTACTTTCCGACCCATGTGGTATCGGCCCAGAAAGCTATGGTGCAACCCTGCGCCTGCGGCATAGCTCGCCTCGACTGCCTTCGGTTTGTGAGCGTTTTTTCTTTTCTGTTTCCCCACCAATCTCTTCCAGTCTTCCCTCCTTCCCTTCTCTTAGCACAATCAAAAGCCAGTGCGCGAATTCTTCAATTCTCGTCTTCCCAAAGCATCCCCCAATCCTAGGTTTTAGGGTTTTACCGCGCCATGGAAAGGCACAGAGGAGACCGGTACGGCGGTGGCGGAGGCAACGGCTACCGGAACAACTACAACCAGGATTCTCAAGACCAAGACGACACCTCCTACCACAGTCGACGTCCCTCTCGTTTCTCCGACGGTCCTCCCTCTCGATTCTCCGACGGCCCTCCTTCTCGCTTCTCCGACGGACCCCCGCCCGGGAATCGTTTCTCCAATAACGGCGCCAACGGTGATGGCAACTTCAATCGACGTAGTCCCAACAGCTATCGCGGCGGCGGAGGTGGTGTGGGACGGCGTGGTTTCGAGAGCCCTCCGCGTCATCCTCCTGGTGGCTTTGGCGGAGGCAGTGGTGGTGGAGATGGATTTCCGCCGGTAGGAGGCGGTGGTGGGCCTGGAGGATATGGTGGTGGTGGCGGAGGTGGAGGCGGAGGGTTTGTTCCCAATTACCAGGGTCCGCCTCCACCATTGTCAGGGCACAAGAGGAGTCATCCTATGTCTGGTAGAGGAGGTTCTCCTAGGAGTGGTAAGTTTTTGTGCATCTCGAGAGATTGAATTCATTAACTTTCTTCGGTGCCTCCCACTGATAAACCTGCAATTGTTTTGTTGTCTTCTAAATATGGGTGTTCTCCATGCTCTCCAGGTTCTGATGGAGGTAGCTTTGCCAAACTTTTCGTGGGATCTGTTCCAAGGACAGCTACTGAGGAGGAGGTGAGACCGTGAGAGTTGCTTCATCAGTTTAAAAGCTTAAAACTTTACTGTTTAAAGGGCTCCAAACAATATGTTAGATATTCCGTAGAGCTGGGTGAATTTTCGATTCCCTTCGTTGTAATTTTTTCATATCTGGCATTTTCTTAGACCAATGACTTCCTGCCTTATTGATTGGTCTAGCAGGCGAAAACATTAGGGGTTGGGGTTATGTGCTTAGATGCGTTGATTTTTCTTATGACTCGTTTGTTTGGTTACAGATTCGGCCTCTCTTTGAAAAAGAAGGGAATGTCCTGGAGGTTGCCTTGATCAAAGACAAGAGGACTGGACAGCAGCAAGGTATTTTCTGATTCTGTTCCTAATGATTATCTATATTCATAGCTGACTTCTTTCAGGTTCTCGAAGAGGCTGATGGGTGCAAAGCACGCTCATCTTGGTCTCGAATTTGTGTTTGCCACGAGTATCAGTTGCAACGCTCTTTCTTTTTTGTCTGCTTCTCTGTCTAAACAAGAAGGCAACTCGTGTAAGCATGCTAAAACCACAATATAGCTCTGTGAACCTGAAGACGGTTAGAACCTCCTCTTTTCATAGTGGCTGCAGCAGCGGGCATTACCCAACAAGTGTTTCATTTTTTGTCATAGGAGTGTCCAATGCCAAACTGTAGCATTCCTTTTCAGGATTTGAGAAATTTTAGTTTTGTATTATAGTGACACGGACAAGAACATGATCAGTTTTCCTCATCTTTCATGTGGAATGAGAGTTAAAAACGTTGTAAGTGGTGGGATTCTTGTGGATTGTTGATATTCTTGGTCAGCATGGGAATGATTATGCTAATGGCTTGGAATTTCACACTTGTTCACATTTCGAAGTAGATTGACAGGCACTAGGCCACTGTCAGTATGGATGGTTATCGATGGATGAGTTGAGATGTTGGTTTTGTCCCTATATGTTATCTTGAGAATGGTGGGGACCTCCTATGGAGTATGGATGTGTTGTCGGTGAATGCTGTCTTCTCTCGTTAGAGGCTGGTTGGGTTAGTTTAGAAATCTTTCAAGGCAGTGCTGCCATGATTAGCTGAGATGCAGGCTGGGTTGTGCTCATTATTGCTGTTTTGAGAATGGTAGTTGCCCGCTCATTGATTGGATGTGATGTATGGTGAGTGTGTGGGTGTTGTATTCTTCCGCTGGTTGGATTAGTTTTGTGTTGCTGGAGGATGTGCTTTTTTATGGATTGAATGATGGATGTGCTTTCTTTGTGTGCCATGGATCATCTTGTGTGTTCCCTGCAGACTGATGGATGTGCCTTTTTATGGATTGAATGATGGATTGTTTCTTTTATGGACTGGATGATGTATGTGTTTAAATGGGTAGTCACTACAGATCTGGTGCAGTATGTTGGGGTGTGAAATGCAAGTGTATTACTTTTGCCATGGTACACTGAAGACGATTCTCTTAATTTCATTTAGTCAAATGTTTGTGGTAATGCTAAAGCAGGATGGTTGGAACTTTTGGTTTTGGCCCACACTATGTGGAATATGAATCGGATGTCTCAATCCGTCGGATAATTAGTCTGCTGTGTGGATTTGGCAATGGGAATGTTTTTATACCTTGCATATTTCAGTGAAAAAATACTGATTTCGAGGAGAAGTTGATAGTTTGAATGCAAGATCTGAATCATTCTGTGGGGAACCCTGTTGCGTATGAGTTGCATGAATGGTGATGACAGATTCTATGCGACATTGCTGTGAGTGTGGTATAGTTACAGCGGGCTTTTGTGATGTTCTCTGGTTAGTTCTTCCACAGGACCTGTATATTTTTGTAGTGTTTTCCCCATCCCTTAGAAACAAGGCTACATTGAGCATGTCTGGGTGTTGCCAACGTCGAGCTTGGTTACCCAATACCATCCCTCAGCAGTTTGACAGAAACAGCTTTCCTGGAGACTGACCTAAGACACGGTTTTGTTATCGGTTTTGATGTTGCAATTAAGTATATGTGGCTCTTTCTTACACGATTAGAAGATGGAAGTTTGGGTTTCATGGACTGTGTACCAAATTTAGTCTTAATGGCAGTATGTTAACAATTTTTTGTTACTGCTCTCCAAGCTTTCAGGATTTGTCAGCTTCTTTTCCGTTTTGTTCTGTACATGGATTTTGTGTGGTATTCTGAGAAATAGGTCTCGGGTTTGAAGTACGGTTCGGTAGGTTCAGTAATTTCCTTAATTGTTTCACAAACCGCTTGTGATCCATCTATGTCGGTAGTTAGGTTTTGATGTGATGCCTTTTGATTGTTAAGATATCCAGTGCGTTTTCAGCATAATGGACATGGTGCTTATTTTTGCGAGATACAGTTATTCAATATAATTTTGGCAATGATACATATGTAGTTTGAAAAATTATGAAATTGTGCAGGTTGCTGTTTTGTGAAATATGCGACATCAGAAGAGGCTGATAGGGCCATAAGAGCTTTGCACAATCAGCATACTCTGACTGGAGTGAGTTCTATACTTCTATCCATGCTTTTGTTTCTCATTAGTGTGTGGTAATTATTGTGTTTTCAATTGCTGTACTTCTTTTCCCAGGGAGTGGGCCCAATCCAAGTGAGATATGCTGATGGAGAACGTGAGCGCCTAGGTATTGATCTCTAGACATTTAGGTTTTCTGATGTCATTTTCTTTGGTTCATACATTTCTATGTAATTCTTTGACCATATAGTTTGTGAAGGTTGCTTCATACGAGACACCTGTGCTTACTGCAAGACATTTATTCAATATTATGAATTGGACATTGCAAATCTCATTTTGTATTGGGTGTTGGGCATTTGGAGTGGGTATTATTTGCTCCAGTCTTTGAACCAATTTTATCCTTGAAGCATTTCTCATGTTCTGAATTCTAACTACTAATTGTAGAATTAGATGTTTGAAATGGGTAAAAACATTTTGCTTTTTGAGAATTGTACATGAATGTTGACTTTTCTCAGAATTTCGGGTTGATTAGTATGTGGTACCTACTTTTCCGATGTATAATTCTTGATATTAGCTTCTTGTCCTGTAGGTGCAGTTGAGTACAAGTTGTTTGTTGGGTCACTAAACAAGCAGGCTATAGAGAAGGAAGTTGAGGAAGTATGTAATCTATCATCTGTGCTAGACGGCCATCTTCTGACATCATTATTGCATGTCTGTCTGAATTGCAGTGTTTTCCTTTACTATTCTTCAACAATGATGGATTTTTACTCGTAACAGATTTTTGCACCATATGGTCGGGTTGAAGATGTTTATCTAATGCGCGATGAAATGAAGCAGAGCCGTGGTATGTTCTATGTTTCTGGTCAATTCAAAGCAGGTGTTGTAGAACCGAAATGTTTTAGCTGAGATTGTTTATAAATCGGATCCAGTGCCTTATTGATATGCTATCTGCTGTCTTGCTCCTAAGCGCCCACTATGCCCCTGTGCCTTACTGTGCGTTGATTGGGATTTAATATTTAAACTAATAGAGTTGGTCCCTGTGATGTTTTGCACTTACCTCAAAGGTTTACATGATTTTTCTTTCTTGCTAAATTGATGTTACTATTCAATTGCCAGCCACCTGAAGTGTTTATGTTACCTGAATATCGATGTATGTGATGTCATTTTGTTCTCGACGTACCTGACTGTTTGTGCTATTTGAATTATTGTGAAGGATGTGGATTTGTTAAATACGCTCATAGAGATATGGCAATGGCAGCTATAAATGCTCTTAATGGAATTTATACCATGAGAGTAAGTGTTATTAGTTACTTCTGTTATGCTCCATACTCAATACATATGGTCTAAAAAGCTCTCTAATCTCTATATCATTTGAAGGAGTAGGTATATCATGGCTTTACAATTGCTGAATATTCTATATTTTTTTTCTTCCTTTTGTGATTCTAGGGCTGCAATCAACCTCTAACTGTTCGGTTTGCTGACCCAAAGAGGCCAAAGCCGGGAGAATCCAGGTCTGGCGATAAAGTGTTACCTTCATATATACAGTGAATTTCAACTCCAATCCTTCCTTCCTCCCTACATTTAAATTCCATATCTTGTTATAATTGACAAATACTGGATTGTGGAATTTCGGTATTTGGATTGGGAGGAAAGGATAAACATATGAGCTCTAATGATTGGTGTTTCTTTTCGCCGAGGACTATATTTGGGGTATTTTTAAACTAATGCTGGAAATTTTCAGTTTCCCAAGGGGTGGTGGTCCTGCTTTTGAAGCCCCGGGGTTTGGGTCTCGATTTCAAGTGCCAATGCCAAGGTAGTTTCTGCGTGTACTTTGCAACTGATCATCGTCCTCTGCATCATAATTACTTTTCCTACATCTTAATTGCTTTTCTTGCTTTGGGTTGTTAGACCTGACCATAACTATGGTGAACCAATGGCTGATCGTCCTCCACCTAATCCCTGGAACCCAATTAGTGCCCACAATATGGGGCCTAATCCTAATCCAGGTGTTCATGCCCTCGGGAATCAGTTACCTCCTAGGCCTGGCGACATGCCAGGACCTTTCAATCAGGTTAGTTTGAACCTCTATATTGTGTTCATCAGTCCCTCTAGGGAGTTTTAGAGTTTAGCAAAATGTTCATTTAGCTAAAACTGTGCAAGCTTTTTGAACAAATTTTAGGGTGGCTTTGGTGGTCCTCCTCCCGATGCTCCCTTTCAAGGAAGTTTTGGCTCTTCTACTGGACAGCCGGTATGAGCATATGTACTTACATTATTTAACCTCTAGCTGTCCTGCTATTTCTTACATTATACATGGAGAAAATGTCACTGATTGCAACCTCTTGTTCAGAACTTTAACCAGCCATTGCAGCAGCAAGGGCCACCGTCAGGCCAGCAAATACCACCGCCAATGCAGAAACCGCTTCAATCTCCTCAGAATTTGCAACCACCTTCAGTTCCATCAAATCACCCTCATGCTGCATCATCTTACCCGCATCCTGGTCAGCAGAACATGCCACCTGTACCTGGTCAACCATCGTACAGTCAACCAATGCCATCACAACATGGTTTCCCAACTGTCTCTATGGCTGCACCTCAAAATCCTTTGACAATTAATCTGCAGTCTCATCCGGGGACGACTGTGCCAAATCAGCCGCAGCAGCAGTCTGGTCAACCTCAATCGCTGCAGCAGTCTCCTTCCCCGTTAGCTCAGATGTTGTCTCAGCAGAAGCAAACTCTGCAAGCGAGCTTTCAATCTTCGCAGCAGGCATTCTCCCAGTTGCAGCAGCAGGTGCAGATGATGCAGCCACATCAGAGTTCCCAGGCTGGCAGACCTCAGGTATAGATGGTCATTAACCACAGAAATGCTCTGCTTTATGTTTGGTTTTTCTCCTTTTATACTCAACTTTGTTAAAATACGTACCTATTTCTTAAAGTGGATGGTCCATAATTATTTTGTTTTTGTTTTTTTCATAATTATGAATTCATTATACTGAATATTTTGAAATAACGTTATATATGTTACTTCTAGTTGTTCATATTAATTTTTTATAGAACTGTTCAATTATTGTAACATTTTTTCAGTGCAATTGGTTGGACCGTGAGCTATCACTGTTTTTTTTTTTTTTTTTTGTTTTGTTCATGATCTCTTACAATTTCATGATTCAATCTTCCGTTTATGATTTTACTGTGTTTTTTCAATTTTCTGAAAGTCTCGCTTTTGACAACCATTGTTGTGATTTTGATTTTATATGTTTCTTTTTGGTATTCTAGTGGACCGGAATGCCACCACAATTGGGTGCTGCTACTGCTCCAGCTTCTACACTCCCTACAGATGTACCTTCATCAAATAAATCTGCGCCAGTAGTACAGACTACAGCTCTCCAGCAGCAGAGTAACTGGACGGAGCATACCTCTCCTGAAGGATTCAAGTACTATTACAACAGTGTGACCGGGGAGAGCCGGGTATATAGACTATCTTTGAAGCACGAAAACATTCTCCTGTCATTATTACTCGGTTGCAAGTTTACTGAATGATGATTTGTTGGCAAAAATTGGCAGTGGGAGAAGCCAGAGGAGTTGGCTTCTTCTGAACAACAAACAAAGCCTTCAGCTCAACCTCCTCAAGCTCAGCCGAATCTTCAAGCTCCAACCAATCCGCAAGCGTCGCATGGACAGCAGATGCAGTACCCTCCACAACAGTATCGACACCAGCAGCAGCCTATGCAACAACCTTCTTTTCCTTCAGGGGTAAATTTCTTCTATTACTAACTCCAGTGTGCACATTATAGTATCCCAGTTCTTTCAAGAATCCATCAAGATGCTCAACTGAAATCTATCTTCACTTTGAATATCCCTTTTGTTTGCATTACTCTGAGAGTAATTCGCCTCTGAAGCATGTTTCATTGGTGTTGCCATCTCCGTTTCTTCAAAAGGATTAGAGCACAACCTTGTGGTTTCTGAATGTACCGCTATCTTCTAGTCGTATGATGACGTGACATCCTTCCTCTTTCGGTTGTTGCAGGAGCATGGCTATGCACAAATGCCAGCACCCGGTGGACCAGTTAACGATCCGACAAGGCACCAGGTATCCATCATTTCTTTTGTCTTCGCTATCTGTCACCCCATCACACAGCTCAAATCCTAATGCAACTGTCATCTCCAATATTGCAGGCAGCTCAAGATTGGATGTGGAAGAACAAGCCAACAGGTAGTCCCTAACCACGAACTGCGGAATTTGCTTTTTCTCTCAATGAACTAGTCATTGAAATCACATTCTTGTGACTGCTACTGAAAACTTATCATCACTTTTTGCTGCCTTCTCCAGGAACCTGAGCCATTTCAACACATTTCATTGTCCAAGGAGGACATGTCAAGGGCAGCATTCGCGGCCCCAATCGGTCGCGGCAACCAGGGCCGGTTCTAGTCCACAACCCTCAATTTACAGAACTGACAATCTGACTGCTCTCTCTCTCTCTCTCTCTGTCTCATCCTCTCTACACTAAACTGGTTGGCTTAACATCTTAAATGCGTTAACCCTTATCCTTTTCAAGCCAGATTATGTACCAATAGCATGCCCTCGCCCTCGCCGGCGCCGGCGCTTGTAATATTTACGTAGTCATATTGTACTGTAGCATAGTCTCTTAGTCAATAGTCACTAGTGTCCTGAACAAAAACTCTCCCTTGTTAAGATAGTTCGCGACCAATCTTACCCGACGTAACATGCATAACACCCAAGGTTGATTCTCCTGTCCCGTACACTTGCTTTCAATTGGGCTTAAAGTTCGTTCAAGTTACGGGCCAGACCAGGCCCATGGGCTCCTTCAACTTACACACACAAACTACACGCGTGCATGCTTTCACTTAAATGACAACCGAAATCAAATTACAGACATACATAATGAAAACGAAAATCCAATTACCACCTTAATTAATCCACTCCCTTTCAGTTAACAAACCTACAGTTCCTCCTGATCTCCCCCGTGTTACCGACAACTCCGACCAAGCTCCCCATTCTCACCATCGAAGCCATGAAATCCTCGAAGAACCTGTCCGAATCCTCGACGTACGTCTCGACGATCATCCTCGTCTCCTCGTCCTGCCCCGCCAGCGCCTGGTCCGACGGCAGCAGCCCTTCCCCCGACAACAGGTTCGTGTAGTACTGGTTGTCGAACGTGAACGGCGTCCCCTTGTCCAGCTCAGCAGCCGCCACCGTGGTCGCCGTCGTAGAGAGTTCTGGAGATGAGCACAGCTGCTGTAGGGACTGGACAAAATCCAAATTGATGTCCGGACCGCCGCCACCGCCGCCGGAGATTCGTGAGCTGAACGATGAGCACCTGGCTTTCCCGATCGTGTGGGCCCCTGCCAAATAAGATACCGTGAGCATGTGTTAATTAATAACCGAATACAAACAAACACGGACCGAAAAAAAATCAACTATAGAATATTTTATTTATGTATGTTTTAACTGTAGTTCAAGGCTTTTAGATTTGATAAATTCCACTTATAGGTTATGCTACGTTTTTTCAAACACACCAAAAAAATAATACGATTCAAGTAGGCACGTTTTACCGGATAGAGCGACGACGTCGTTTAGACCGAGCCCGACGTTCTGAAAATTGGCAAGTAGAACCGCCACCGTGGAATTCGGCCCCGGAAGGCTGGCCGTTGCCGCCGCTTTGCTCGCCGATACGCCGTCCTTCCTCCCCATTTGAACTTCCCAACTGGGCCCCCCTGTCTGCAGAAATAGTAAACCCGATTTGTAACTTCTTTCTCAAAACATTTTAGATTTAGAAAGCAAAACAGGGGAAAGAAAACAGAGTATGGTTACGAGGAAAACAGAGTCACGGGCAGCAATGGCGAGAACGTCAGCGCAAGAGACGGTTTCAGGGCAAACCGATTCCAGCTCCGATTTGATTGCATCGATCACTTCAAACCCTCTCAGCGAATTCAAGTTCGGCGGCGCCGTCTTCTCCCCTTGAAACGTCGCCGTATCGTCCAGCAAAACAGAGGCGTCGCACCCCTGCAGTGGAAGAAAATGAAAAGTTCGTTAATTGAGATAATGAGTTTCTTAATTACATTGAAGAAAGTTTTGTAAAGTGCTTGCATTGACGAAGCAGTCGTGGAAGTGGAGGCGGAGGAGAGAAGCGGCCATTCTGGGGTCGACGGCGACGGCGGATTCAACCCAGGAGAAGACTATCGATTCGGCTTCAGGGCAGCTGTTCTGGTACAGATTGAACTGGAGCTGGAAGCTGATGTCAGCTCCAAGGCATGTCTCGTTCAATGTAGCAGCAGAAGTAGTAATTCCCAGCTCCAGCGTGATTATGATCAGGAAAGCAGCTACCCACTTGGCCATTTTTGTTTCTGTCTTGATTGTGGCAATTGAGTAACTTTGAGCTGCCATTGGCGGTATATATAGATGAGGTAAAAAGGGATTTCCTGGCCTTGGAAATGTGCAGTTACAGTCTTTCGTCATAAGTCGAACTTGGAGAGATTTTGCAGAAGAAAATAGTGGTTGGAGGAATGACAGAGGGATCGATTCGACGAAAGGGTCCAAAAGTTCATGAAGTTATACCTAATTCCTCCCTCCTCCATCCCTAGCTCCCATCTGGTTTGTTTGGAGAGTTGGTAATAGATAGTCCTTCCCTTATACGGATTCCAACTCTCACTTTTCACAGACTTGAGCCTCATTCATAACGAGTAACCTCCAAGGCAGGACCACTTCACTTTCCGGCTTGGCCAGGGAAACTTTGAACTCTTCAATATGCTTCAATTCACTCACCCAATCGGGAAGTTATTGCCTGCCCATTATTGGATTGGTGTGTGATCATAACCTTTCTTTCTCCTTTGAGAAGCATGGCCTTGAGAGAAGAGTACAGAAGTTTCAGATTTGCATTGGAGGAAATGAATTGGTAAACTCGACCTAACTCGTTTTACTCGATCTGTTTGACACGTTTTAGTAGGGTAATATTTGCATCGTAGGTGATGAGAGACGGGTATGTGTACTATCCTTGACGTGTTCTTCCACGATTCACCTCATTCTGAACTCATTTTTGCTTAAATTACATGTAATTTTACACAAAATACTTCTGATTTTGGTTTATTACTTCACATTTTAGCTATAATAAAGTCATAAATATGGGAGAATCTCAAATTTCTCGAATAATTTAACTACATTAATGTCATTATAATTTGTTTTCTGATTTTTAGTAAACAATGAAATTTCATTTAAATTACATATTTATAAATGCCGATCTGTCCCAACCAAAACACTTACTCAACCTGAACCAAACCTATCACAAGACATAAATAGATATCGAGTTACCCATCCAAACCTCGCCATTGCAATTCCTACTGACACTGTCTCAAGGGATTGAACAGAGATGATAGCGCAGGAACTATCCTTATTGTTCGTCAAGCTATCAATGTCTGAATTCCTACTGACACTGTCTCAAGGGATTGAACAGAGATGATAGCGCAGGAACTATCCTTATTGTTCGTCAAGCTATCAATGTCTGAAGGTTGTCTGAATGTACTTGAGTACCTGAGGGCCGTGGTGGCGGTGGATTTTCCGAAAAGGTGCGGTGGTGGGCACATAAGGTGAGGCGGCGGGGTAGATGCATATTAAGTTACGTGGTCAGAGTCATCTTACATCTTTGGTTCGTAGAAAACATCTATAACTACAACATTGAAGAGCTGATCAAGACATATGATACAGAGCAAGATATGGAAGCCCATGATTCTGAACAAAATTGGAGAGCTACAGCTCAGTCTAACCAGTAGTTGAGTCTGAATCGAGGGTCGAGTATCAACAATTTACTACACCTTCCAATAACTACAGCAAATTGGAGCGAAGAATCGAATCGAAAGAGTTCAGTAGCATTCTTTTTCGTAACTGCAAACACTTCCAGCAGGGAAGCGTATTAGCTTTCTTCGTATGATCCTTGTTGTTCCTAAACGAAGAAGTCGATCCATCTCATTCCTGCTTATCACGAGCAAGTCTGGCTCGGTGTTTAAGCTCCGCCCTTTTCCACCTCACGATCATGTAGCAGAGGTTGAAGAGTGAGTTTACCTGCAAGAAAAGATCATCAAAACATTGTCAATAAACATTGGCATGGACTAACAAACGTGAAAGTAGGCGAATGAAAGGCGAGGAAGAAATAGCTGACCAAGATTAGACATGCAATGACGAGCAGAGGCCCTGACCAGACAGCTGAAAGAAATAGGCCATGCGGATCGAAGTAGTTCTGGGTTGCAAAGTTCCTCCAGTTGTTTCTAAGTATTCTGTTCAGGATCTCAGCAAATCGTACACCGGCCACTACAATACATCCATACCGCCCCAAAACCAGTCCCATATCTATCAGAAGAACTTAATGTAACAACTAACAAGCAGCTGCAGGTTGCAGCACAGACCAAACCTAGTCATATCTAAGATTAAAAATACGAAATTGAAGCACAACAGATTCTACCACCAACATATCAGCCATTTTACAGGAGTCACTTGCTTAGCAAATCAGGGACAGTAAAAAGTGTTGAACTTTAGTTCTAAGAACCCTAGTCATAGCTCCATTTCAATGATACTCTAGCAGCAGTTGTCTTTCCTAGCCGCAGAATCCAAAGTTCACTACGAATCTAAATTTAGGTCTATCACTGTTTTGTATATTTTGTTCCCTACCCGTTCTTGCAGAAAGGGCCAAGAAGAACAAGTAAATCAACCTAAAGCTGCGTATTTTACTTACCAAGAAACCAAATTACGAGCAAAGAGACACATTTTCAACAGAATCCAAACACCTCAAATCCCTAGATATTCAATTCAAGCCAGAATCTATATGGGAATTCAAGAGAAAAGTAGGAACTCACAGGTGAGAAGGAACAGCCCCATCTGGAAATTAGTGCTCTTCCTAGAGAATATAACTACTAGCAGTAGAAATACATGGAATCCCATCATCCCCATTAACCAAGGCTCCTGTAACAATAATTCAAACAACGAAATTCGACGCAACTCCATTAACGACAAAACCCAGAAGCTTTATGAACTGAGCTTCAGAGATAGAGATTAATAGAGTACCGTCCAGTCAATGGCGTGAAAGAAACCCATGAAATTCTCGTAAGCGGGTTGGAGGCCGGATCGGAGCTCGGAAGAGAGCTTCTGAACCAGATCCGCCATTTGGTCCAAGTGCTGGTCCATGGCCGATTTCAGAGCTTCCATTCTGCTTGCAGCCAGTAATTCCCCGCTGAACTGAATTGAAAAAAGCAACTCGAGATCGTTATCCACTGAAGGGTTAGGCTTCCTACAAGAAGGACAGCTTGGGATCTAGTAATGCAGAGCAGAGATATGCTTATTCGCGATTTGCTTCTTCGTTCCTCTTTTGATTCGACGGCGGTAGCGAAGTCGAAGTACGCCAGAATTCTAGAGTAGGCCACGCTTCGATTAGAATTCAGAACTACTGTATTATTAGCCCAAAACCGGGAAAAAAAAAAATCCTAAAATACACATGTTTTAAAAACAAATTCTCAAAATACACCCGTTATAAAATTTTCTCTCAAAATACACATGTTTGGGTATCACCGCTGTTGTCAACTGCAGTGAATGCATTCACCGCGGCAGACCAAAGCGGTGAATGCATCACCGCGGTTGACGGCCGCGTAACTTTGCTCTCGGTTATCCGATTGTAGCGAATTTTGTTTTGATTCCACATAACTTTTCAAGATCTTTCAATCTGAAACAAGTCTTCATCCCAAAAAAATTTCGTTTGCTACCCCGAACGAGCAATTTGTGAAGGACTACAACTTTGTGAAGGACAAACTTTGGAAGACCATAACTTTGTGCTCCACAATCCGAATGTCATAAAACTTTTTTTGATTTCGCATAAATTTCGAAGGACTACAACTTTGATTATAACCATAATTTTGGAAAGTATGTGAATTTGTGAAAAGTAAAGGCAAAGTTATTGCCAAAATCCCGTATACCCAAAAATATTTATTTTTTAAAAAATTCTTTCCTAGTAAAATTTGTATTTCTTAAAAAGTTATGCGCAATCAAAAAAAACTTTACGACGTTCGGATTGAGGAGCTAAAAGTTATGGCCTTTCAAAGTTTGGCAAAATCAAAAAATTGCTCGTTCGGAGTAACAAACTACTTTATTTTAGATTAAGTCTTATTACATCCCCAAAACCGAGGTCTAAATTAGATTGGGCCTGGTCAGGAATGATATAATTTTGGGCTCAATTCTCAATTTGGGTTCTTCTCTCTTGGTGGTGATGCCAAAGTAGTCATTGATTAATGCTTGAATTCGATCGTCAACAACTGGTAAGGTAGGGGAAGAGCAATCCTTTGTAAACTCCGGTCCTTAATTAGAGTCTTTTCTGGCATATGGTCGCATGTTTGTTGGTCAAAATGTTAATAGGATAGCTCATTTGGTATCTAGTTGTTTTTTGGTTACATCGTCGCTTGCCTTGCGTCATAATACTTGATGCTTTATTAACAATTCTATGTGATGCTATGATAAATTTCAAATCATTACCTATTGATATGTATATGAAATTCACATTTAATATATTAGATATAATTTGAAATTTACCCCAAGTATAAATTTGGACATTTAATATATTAGATATATATGTGAAATTTACCCCAAGTATAAATTTGGACAATCCAAATAGTCAAATTCCACATCGAAACAAATATTTTTTTTATCACGACTATAATCCAAACAAATAATTTAGTATTTGAAATTCCAAATACCTGGGCCAAAAACACATACTCATATAGTTGTGCGTACATTAAAGAATATTCACCCAACCAAACACAGCTGTAAGCTTTTTGCCTGAGGACATATAGACTATAGTTAGGGATGGCAATGGGTCGGGTTGGGGCGGGTTTTGCCAAACCCGAACCCAAACCCATGGGTTTATCCGTCAAAAAAACCCGGGGTAAAACCTGCTGGGTTTGAAAAACTCAAACCCAACCCAACCCGCTGGGTATCCACGGGTTCATGGGTACCCGTGGATTTTTGTGGTAAAAAATTTACAATAACAAATTTCTTTCAAAATAAAAATCTAACATCAATTTTCTCATAAAAATTATCCTTACAAAAAACACTAATCTAGAGCATACAAGCAAACCCGAAATTATCAATACAAATTGTTCAAATTAAAGATAAACATCTATAAACAACATGATTAATTGAAAGCTCCTTCCTCCTTGTCAACTAAACTTCTTCACTCTCCACTCCATAATATCAACTTCATTGTACACAATTTGAAAGAATAAATTAGACATGTCTCCACAAACATAAAGAAGATTAGTTATTTAAGAAAGATATATTGCAAATAACCCGGAAAAATTAATTATATGGGTGTGGGCGGGTACCCATGGGTCGGGTTTACCTAAACCCAAACCCAACCTAATGAATAGTGTAGCGGGTTTAAACCCAAACCCGATCCAAAACCCGTCAACACGGGTAAAACCCGTGTTGACCGGGTTGGGTCGGGTGGGTACCCGTGGGTTCGGATTTTGTTGCTATCCCTAGTGTTCCCTATTCAGAAATGTTGCCAGCATATAGTTTTTTTTATTTTTTTTAGTATCAGTTTTTATTTATTTTTATTTTTTATGAATGATGATAAGAAATTTTTATTGCAAAAATGAATGGAGACTGCCAAAAAAATGGCATTGAAACTTACAGACAAAGACAAAGACAAAGGAAAAAAAGGAAGGGGGTCCAACGTGAGAACAATAAAAAGAAAAGAAAACAAAACCCAAAATCAAAACCCTCAAAACGAGCAAATCCGAACAAGTCTCGAGGAAAAAAAAAACACGAAGAAGCAAAAGAAAAAGAACAAACTGTTAGCCAGCTCCAATCCTCGCCCATTCCTGAAAGAACTGATCTGAGATAAGGTTGAAAGCTCGAAGCCATCTCCCAATCGCATGACGAATCTTGTGGCAAACCTCAACTGAGGATGATTCGGTATTCCTAAAAATTCGGTTGTTTCTCTCTTTCCAAATATACCAAAACACCGCATGAGATAGAACTTTCATACAATCACTAAGCTTTGTGTCATACCCTAATTCTCTCCAAGCCGGAAGAAATGATGGTATCGTTGATGGAAAGAGGGCCATGGAGCTGAAGTTCATTAACCTTAGAAGCAACAACTTCAATTCATGCCTAAATTATCAGAATGTGCACAATCAAAATGAAACTTTTTGTTTTTGTAGCAAAACTACTTATATAATTACCTTGATGTGAAATCACAGACAGCTGTCAAACATGTGGGGTTAAACGACGATCGAGACAAAGGGTCCTCGTCCTCGTACGAGGTTATTACTAATTATTGGCATTATTAATATTGTTCCATGTCACAATCACAGGGCAATTAATCAAGTAAATAGTTGTATTATGATTCACTTCGATGCCACGCATTTCTACAACTTGATTAATTAGTGCTTCCTTTATTTAGTAAGACGAGTTTCCCAACAACCACTTACACAGTGGGCTCAGCTAACGGAACTAACTCGACATTAATGATGCCCGCCCCAACTACTTGTTCCTGATCTCGTGCTTCTACTTCCTCCACCTTCTTGCCCATCAGCAGATCGATTTCTTCGAGAGACTGATTGTTTGTTTCTTTGATACATTTCAAACACACCAATATCCCAATCGTAGATATACCAAAGATAATGGCGAAAAACAGATTCGGAACTCCCTTCACCTTTGTGTCCAGGACGACTCTAGTCTTGCTTAGCCCAAGGCTGACCATCTGGTCGAACGTCATCATCACCCCAAAAAGCTGGGCTCTGATCTTAAAAGGGAAGCCCTCGGACGTGTGGACCCAAGTCATGGGCCCCAGGCCCATCGAAAACGACGCTAGAAACAACACCGAGCTCCACTTGTACAGTGTGGCGGTGGCAGTCGTCCGGCCGATGAGGATTTTGGAGTTCCCGGCCACCAGAGCACGTTCATCGCGAGCAACGACACTCCCACCGCAGCCATGCTGCAGAGAATGAGCGTTTTGCGGCCCACCACGTCGGACACGACCAATGGGACGAAAAGCGGAAGCAGGCTCCCGCAGATGAAAGGGATCTGGCCCAGTAGGTACGCCCTTGGGCCGAACGGGTCCGAGATGCCGAACTTCAAAATTGTGTCGTAGGTGATGACGTCTACACCGACGGCCTGCTGGAAGAAATGGAGAGCGAGGATGGACGCGAAGATTGGTTTGAGGAGTTTGAGGTTGTTAGGGTTGCGGAACGTTTTCCCGCACGTGTCTGTGTCATCGGGAATTGGGGAATAGACCACATTCCTGCGGATCGCCCTGCCTGGGATCTCCGCGGCCTTTGCTAGGAATTTCATTCTTTTCTTGACCTCGAGTGGTGAAGAGGTTATTTTGAGGACGTACGCGGTATCGGCGACCCATCCGTTCACGATTAGCCAGCTTGGGGAATCCGGCAGCAGTAGCATGCCGATTCCCATGACGAACGGCGGGACACTGCCCACCCCGAAGATAATTCGCCACCGCGAGCTGGGCCCCACGGCGGCGCGTGCTACGACAGCCATCCACACTCCCATGATCCGGAATATCTGCGCCAGAACAAAAACAGAAAATCCAGTTTTAGCGACACATGACATAATATATTTGCCTCTTAAAATGTGAACGGCTATTTGCCGCCAAGCAAATTGCTATTTGCCGCCAACCAAAAAAAAAAAAAAAATTTGAATTCAAATTTTGAATTTTCCCTCCCTTCCCTTCCTTTCATTCTATAAATTCGGATACCCATGAACATTTGACTCATTCCAACAAAAACTTCTGTTGACGAGCCCAGTGCCTCCGTCGCCGGCACCGTTCTTCCATCGTCGGCTAACCTCTCGTCGCCCTCAATCGTCGGAAAACAAGTAAGTTTATTTTTTCCGGCCAGTTTTCCAGTTTTCCGGCAAGTTTCCAGTTTTCCGGCGAAAAACAGGGCGGGCCGAAAAAAAACTGCGGCCTATACGCCGCCGAGCCGAAAAAATTTTTTCGGCCGGTGCGACGGCCAGCCGAAAAATTCTTTCGGCCCGGCGACGCCGCGGCCGCAAATTTTTTTCGGCCGGTCGCCGACCTCGCCGCCCAAAAAATTTCCGGCGGCGTGTTCGTCGGCCGGCCGAAAAAAATTTGCGGCGGCGGCGTCGCGGGGCCGAAAGAATTTTTCGGCTGGCGCAAATTTTTTTCGGCCGGTCGCCGACCTCGCCGCCCAAAAAATTTCCGGCGGCGTGTTCGTCGGCCGGCCGAAAAAAATTTGCGGCCGTGGCGTCGCCGGGCCGAAAGAATTTTTCGGCCGGTGGAAATTTTTTGGGCGGCGAGGTCGGCGACCGGCCGAAAAAAATTTGCGGCGGCGGCGTCGCCGGGCCGAAAGAATTTTTCGGCTGGTGCGACGGCCGGCCGAAAATTTCTTTCGGCCCGGCGACGCCACGGCCGCAAATTTTTTTCGGCCCGGCGGCGCACCGGCCGCAAAATTCTTTCGGCCCGGCCAGTTTTTGTATTTAATTTAATTTAATACGATAATTAATAAATAAATAAATAAATACTTAATTAGTTAGTAGAAATTAGCAATTAGTGTTAATATTTATTTCAGTTGGTTTATAAATGTTTTTTTTGTAATAGGCGTTTGAATGTTTAATTACTTAGATTAGTTAATGGAATTTTAATTAATTAAGAATTGATTTAACAATTAATGTTAATATTCAGTACATTAGTTAATAGAAATTTAATTAATTTGTGATTAATTAACAATTGATGTTAATATTACATTAGTTAATAGAAAATTAATTAATTAGTGCGCATCTAAGTATGATATTTTGTAAATTTGTAGATAATTAGATATGGATGATGCGGGTCATGCGGGTGGGGATGAGTTGAATAGATTCAATGGTAGGGTTGTTGATGTATCAGCACGAAGGAAGAATAAGGAGAATAAGCGCTCTCGAGATATTGGACATCAGTCACAGGCAAATTTAGGGGAGGATGAGTTAGAGGCTCCTACTGTAGTTGCTCGTTCGGCATCACGGGCGTCTGGTTCCCATGGGAGGAACCAGGGTGCTGCATCCAGAGTGGTCTCGGCTGAGTTTGATGAGGACGATAGTGATGAGGATATCGAGGTCCCTCCACCTACGCGTGGACATGGACGAGTGTCGTCTCGTACGGCAACATCACGTCCTGCTATGTATAGGGACCGAGCTGGGCGCTTCATACCACCTGCTCGTCAGGAGACAGAGAGCTCGGGGACTGGACGGAGTAGGGGAGGACGTTCGAGTGGTCCTCCACCGTGGGAGCTTGTTGGTGAGTGTCCTGGTGGACCTACGGATCCTAGCCTCATTAGGAGCTTTCGTGGACACGTTGCCTATGCGCTTTGGACAGGGGCTGGAGATCGAGGGGTCATCAGTTGCTACAGCCGTACATCGGCAGTTGCTTATTTGAGTAGCTACGTGTTTAGTCATGTTGAGGCGGAGAATCTGGTTCAGCAGTCAGGTCTCCAGCACCTGATGTACTCTATGTTCCGCAGGATAGCGATTGACGATGCTTTGATCTCAGCTTTTGTGGAGAGGTGGCAGCCAGACATGAACACCTTCCACTTGCCTTTTGGAGAGATGACGATCCTCCTCCACGATGTTCAGTACTTACTGCAGATTCCTGTTGAGGGACGACTGATGAGTAGGAGTTCTGCGCAGCTTGACCATCCGGAGGCGGGTTTGTGTGCGCTTCTTGGGATGAACTCGGAGCAGTTGAGTGGTCGTACGGAGGTCCCTGGATATAATAATAGGGGTAAGTGGTACGAGAAGGGTGGTTTTCTTGCAGAGATGGCGTCCAGATACTTGCAGAGCCACGGGACACATGTGACAGAGGCGCAGTCGTACTTGTTGTTGTTGGGGTCCACTTTGTTTGTGGACAAGAGTAGAGACAGGGTTCGGTCGGTGGTGAACCTATTTTTGGACGAGTTGGAGGAGTTAGATCAGTATAGTTGGGCGTCAGGTACACTTGCTTGGTTGTACAGATACCTTGGTCAGGCGTCTCGTGCTGGTGCCAGGGGGATGGCTGGTTGTCTCACACTTCTGCAGTGTTGGATCTACGAGTACTTTCCGGGTTTCAGGCCATCTCACTTCGAGCCTGCCGCCGTTGGACCTGATGATGCTTGGGCTTCACGATGGATTGGGCAGCCGGCACCTGGTTCTGTGGCGGATCCCAGTGTGAGGTTGGCGTTCTACTGTCGAGCTCTTGACAGCTTGACCCCTTCTGATGTGTTTTGGACACCTTTCCATCAGAGGCCTCATCAGGCAGTGCGTCGCTCTTTGTACACTGGAGTCATCCGGTTCGCTGACATAGGCGAGTTCTATGATCCAGCCCGTTGCCTCCGACAGTTTGGATATGTTCAGATGGTACCGCCTGCCCCTTCGCGTCCTCAGCGAGCAGACCGACCAAAGGCACCTGGTGGATATGTCATTCGGATTCCTGAGAGTTTTGATGCTGCATGGGATGCTCTGCTATCCCACATGGTTCATATAGACATGTACTCTCAGCCGTGGACGACGTATCCATATGAGACTACGAGAGACTATCTTGACTGGTTCGTGGCGCACTCTCATTGTAGAGTCCTACGGGATGATGGAGAAGCAGATCGACTTATTGACTCCGCAGCGGTAAGATTTGACCATTATATCGTTACTCTATTATAAATATACTTAGCATGAAACTAAAAATTGTTCTTGTTTCTTTTTTATGCAGCGTGGTCGCGACCTTTTGTACACGTTTGCACCTGCGGTTCGAGCAGCAGCAGGGACCGAGGAGGAGTTTCTTGAGCATTATCGACGAGCCTACAGGGCACTGCACGGAGTGCAGGATGTGTGGACTGAGTATTGGGCTTCTCAGGGACTCCCCCCTCCTCCAGGGGATTTTTAGTTGTTTTGATGTTTCCATGTTTGACTACTTATGTATGTTTGGATCGGATGTTTATGTTTAGACTGCATGTTTCCATGTTTGTGTGTTAGATCGGATGTTTGACTACTTATGTATGTTTGGATCGGATGTTTATGTTTAGACTGCATGTTTAGGGTCATTAAAGATACAACTAGAACATAATGAAATCCATAAGTTCATAATGACACTATGCATTGCTCCTACCCCTACCCCTTCCCCTAGCTCTTCGGGGGTCTCTCTGCCGTGCTCGCTGCCGACCACCAAGGCTCGCAAACAAATTCTGTCCAACCTCGAGAATAGCTCCCCACTCCGCCACATTAGGATTTGTGATCCCATGCCAAAGTGGATGCAAAGGGGGTATAGGAAACTGATTCTGGTTGAAGTACAATCGAATGTAGTGGTTGTTCACATAGTGCAGTGATAAGAACATGGTTGGTGGCAAAGTACCTGGGTCCGCATCAATAGGAAATACAGTATAGGCATCATCGTAGCGGTTGGGTAGTGGACGGTTTCCATTATTGACATCAAACACCTGGTATGTGAAGACCATGACTGCGATGTTGTAGATGGTGGCAAACACGAACAAGTCCTCAGAATCCATCCATCGCCCCGGTGGTGCGTGACCCGCCTCGAGCCAATTGATGCGGTCAATGTGAGCTAGTGGACCACCATTATACAAGTTCTCGTACTTCCAAAAATGTTGTTGGATTTCTTGGACAATCGTCGATCTCATGAGCAGATAGTGACTATCATCCCCATAAATACAATGAGAAAGTGCCCTAAAACCACAATGGCCGTCTGGACTAGGGTTGAAATCGCCTACCAGCAAAGGTCGAACAAACTCTAGAAAAAGCTCATCGATGTAAGGGTAAGAATATTGCCCTGGGGGGCTCTGGGATGAGTAATCTACAAAAATATACCAAACGGTCAAAATTACATGGAAAAAATTTACAAACATAAACCAATTACTACTAGATATTAAACCAATTACTCACCTGTATCATGCTCGTCGGATTCACCTCCACTCGATCGAGATCTGCCTCCACTCGATCGGGATCTGCCTCCACTCGATCGGGATCTGCCTCCACTCGATCGCCCCCTACCTCCACTCGAACCAGGCCCAGTACTCCTCGAACGAGACCGCTCATAATATGAACGAATGCGACTGGTGCTTGTTCTAGGGCGTCCTCTCGGATTCTCATTCACTTCCGGTTCCCTCACATTGTCCTCTGCTGGATGAAGCCCATAGAATAGGGCATCTCTTGCTTGTCTCACTGCTTCAGGACCTCTTTCTTCCACCTCAACAGTAAGACGCCTAAAGTGTTCTCGTTGAAGCTCAATTTCATCACTGACTTGTTGTTGACGTGGGGGGTTTTTATAATCCAAAGTCCGCCAAAATACATGCAACTCTTGAGCATAGAATTGACGTCCTTCTTCCTTAGCTTGAACAATCTGGCAAGCACACTTGAGCCCATGTGTCATCTGAGAATGACACGCACAACTGTCCTTCAACTCCGCCGCCCCATCTAACATCAGTTTGATTGCCTCAGAACTAACGACCCTCCTCAAAAACGTGCACGGAGCCTCAATTGCCCTACTCAGATTGCGGTTCAGTGACTTGTGCAGTTCATTCACCACTTCCAGAAACTGATGTTCCATGTAGTTGTGGTTCTTCGCAAAACAAGTGTCGATCGCTCCTCTACCAGACACAAGGAAAGTCTTGAATGAAGAGTGAGATGACTCAACTCTATTCGAGCTCGTGTTACCAAGATGAAACACATGGTTCGTGTAGCACATTGCCCACATTGTCTGATGAGGCAACCACTCACCTCGCACGTAGTCGACCATTTTTTTGTTCTTCACTGTCCAGACCCTCTCAAACTCATTAATCTTTTGAAGAAAACCCTCCTGAGTCCAACTCCATGCAGCTTTGTCGAAATATTTCTTCCATACCGCATGTGCTACCTCTCTTTTTGTAATTCCACCAAGTAACACTTCAAACTTTTGCTTCACACAGTTGTTGACGTGCCATAAACATAGTAGGTGGACAGTATGTGGGAGAGGGAAGACCACAGGAATAGAAGCAAGCAAACCACCTTCTTTGTCTGTCACAATGACATTCGGAACCGTATCACCGAGCAACCCTTTAATACATCGCAGCAGCCACTCATATGTTTCCTTTGTTTCCTGCTTAATAATTGCACATGCAATGTTGAAATTCTTCTTCACTGGAGTAACCCCAATAATCTCAACCCATGGCCAGCCGTACCTGTTGGTCTTGTAGGTCGAGTCAATGAGGATGACGTACGGCCATGCATGCAACATCTGAATGGACGTCGGGTGCGCAAAAAACAGATTAGTGAGCACATTATTAGAATCCTTTTGCAAACAGATATGGTACCCACGATGTTCAGCTCCGTGAAGCGCAAACTATATCGCATCCATTTCACCCATCTCATCCAATCTTGTCTTGGAATTTATGTTGTACATCTGTTTGATATCATGATGCACACCCCCTTCAGTATTGAGTGTCGTCTTCTGCTGATTTGGTCTCACCCCCGCCTTCCTCATTAATCTTAACCTCTCTTTTTCAGCCTCACTAAACTGTTTGTTGTGTCGGTGATGTTCTGGATACAACACCTTTTCATGGTTGTGAAACCCTCTATTAGCTCCGGTTTCACGACTTGTCACTCCCACCATGACCCATGTGTTTGGACCATCCTTTTGCCATACTTCCTTTATACATATCTGAAACTGGCAACCAGTACCCTTCGAACTAATATTCTCACGCGTCTCCTTCGTAGGGTCTGGTTTATAAGACTTAACGATCCTACTACTTCTGTCGCAATACATACAGAGGGCAGTAACAGGATTCTGTCCAGCAGTATTCGGTTTCCATGATCCTCTAACAATAAAGAACCCACACTGCTGAGCGATTGTTCTTGCAGCTAACTCAGCTAACTCCACACTTGCATAATGGATCCCATTCTCAAATTCATGTGTGTAATCATGATCGGCCGGTAACAACTCTGACATTTTTCCTACAATTACAATATAATATATCAATATTCCTGTGAACCTAAACGCTAATTTCAATTCTTAACCGCTAAATTCAACTCCTAAACTCTAAATTCAATTCTTACACGCTAAATTCAACTCCTAAACTCTAAATTCAACTCCTAAAATCGAATTTTTCCGAAAAATTGCAAAAACAGACTATGGGCCGAAAATTTCCGGTGGCCGGAACCTGGCCGGGCCGAAAATTTCCGGCGGCCGGAACCTGGCCGGGCCGAAAATTTCCGGTGGCTGGAACCTGGCCGGGCCGAAAATATCTTGCGGCTGGAACCTGGCCGGGCCGAAAATATCTTGCGGCTCAGCCTGGTTCCGGCCGCCGGAATTTTTCGGCTCGGCCAGGTTCCGGCCACCGGAAATTTTCGGCCCGGCCAGGTTCCGGCCGCCGGAAATTTTCTGCCCACCGTCTGTTCGTTTCAAATCGTCGGAAAAATTGTTCGAAACTACAAAAAAATTACGCACCTGCTTAGTGATGATTCATTGATGCGTGTACGCAGTATATGTCGAGGATAGGCTTTCCCGATGATTTTCCGGCGACTTTTCCGGCGAGCGTTGAATTTTTCTGATTCAATATGTTCTCTGAAAGTTGGATATGTTGTAGATTGTGAAACTCCTTACCCTACTATGTATATATATATACTTTTTTTTTTTTTTTTAGTTGGCGGCAAATAGCAATTTGGTTGGCGGCAAATAGCAAGCCCCCTTAAAATATGCTATAACGCGAGTGATACATTATTATTTGCCTCTATATGAATTATTAATTGCCTCTAAACCCCTTACTACTTTATATTTAATTTTAATTGAAATGATATATCATTTTTAGCAACACGTGCATTTGTATAACTGTCCTCTAAACTTTTGCCTTCGTATACCTATTTGCGAATAACATCATCAATTTTTATAACTATTTCCAATGGACAGAGACTCGCCTATTTGCTGAAAGAGGAATAAGATAAGATTAGTTCTAAAAATGGCTTCTGATACTAATATATAATTGATATAAAAAAGGAAGTGCTTGATTTGTATAAGAAATTCCTAAAGCAATATAATAATCACCTAAATTTACTATTACAAGCCAAAATATCTGTCACTGATAATAACATTAGTGGTAAATACTTATCACTTTAGAATGGAAATTTAATTAAAATATAATCTTTAAAAAGTGAAATTAGGAACTAAAAATTTATGCCTTCAATTCCCTAATTAGTAACAAATTTCATTTGCCACTATAAATATTGTATGTGCCTCTATAGATAATTAGTGATGTGAGGCAAATAAAATAAATTACCACCATAGCTAGTTTTTTAATTGGGGAAAAAATTAAAGCACAAATGATCAATCGGTCGAGTTTAGATAGTTAATTCTCACTCACTTCTGGGATGGTGTTGAGGAACCCTCGATGGCTCGGATAAGCGACTTCGCCGATGTAGAGCGGAGCCACGAGGACACCCACTCCGATCCCAAAGAGGGAGACGTTCCGGCCGACTAGGAAGGTGGTATAGGAAAAGGAATGCGTCATGACGATGAACCCCGTGAAAGACAATATCGCCGACGCAATAAGCGTCGGACGCCGGCCGAAAGTGTCGGCTGCTAGTCCGGAAATGAAGCACGCAACGCAAAAATGAATGTTGATGAGTAACTTGTTGAAAAGGTCCGCCTCGGACAGGTGCAGCTCCTGCATCATAGGGGTGGTCGCGGCCGTAACCAATATGCAACTTTCTGGATGCATGAACATGCAAATAACGATAAGAAATGTCAGCAAAAGGGATTTAGGACATAATGTAACACAAACATTTGTGAGAGTTGCAAGAGGTTTTTTTCTTCTCGTAGTGAAGCTTGCTAGAATGTGTATAATTAATATAATATAATAGTTAGGGCACAACTTACGGTATCCAAAACCGAACGTAAAGCTCGCGAGGGATGCAATGATCGTCACAAGGATGGCGAACGCCTTCGGAATGGTGGCCATTCTTGATACCTTGGTCAATTAATTAAGGGAGAGAGGGACCTTAATAATTATGGTCAGAAAGAACTCATGTGTTTTGTTTGTTTGGGGCAGCATCGAGTGAAGTTTATATAGTGGTGGGTAGAACTACAGAGAAAAGGGCATATTGGCAATTTCCACAAATCAGCCGTCTTCTTCTTCCCTTTCTCACAAACCCTAACTACAATCCTTTGCTAGGTTACAATGTGGGACACCCCTATCCTTGGGGGGTCCGTCAGTGGGTGCCTAATAATTCAGTGCCAAGCGAGTGGTGACAAGTCCATTTCAGTGAATTAACTGATTATAATTCGATTACCAAAAAAACTTATTATAATTCAGTGATTATATCTAGACACTATTATAAATGGATACAACATGATTAGTGGGTTAAAACAAAAAGGGCAAAATTTGGCCGCTACCCAGCCACGTGGCGTGATTGATTCTTTTTTGTTAATGAATTATTAGATGGATGTTGGATTTGAACGCAACGGAAATTGGGTTTGGATATGTTTATTTTGATGGGAAATGGACGGAGGAGCTGCCAGACGTCAGGTTAATTCCTTTCATCTATGTTTTGTTTTATTTATATTTTTGTTATAAATTATTATCAATTAAAGGGGGGAAATTATTAAAAAGGTATTTTTCCTTTAGTTTTTTTTGCCTGCGCCCTCAAGTCAATCGCCGACATCTGCGATTAGGAAAAGCAATTTAAGAGAACCGTCTCTTCTACTACTCCGGCTGCCTCATCGTCGACGCTAGCTTCTTCGTGCTCCGGCGACCTTGCAAATTAAGTTATAAAGGTAATATCGATTCCCACCACAGTATCGTTTGAGTCTAGGATTTCAGCTAAAACTAATCTAACCAAAACAATTTCTCTTTCCTTTGATATGAGCTGTGTAACACCCCGAATTTTGGGTTCAGGTTCGACCAGAATACGTGAACGGTTGGGTTAACAGTTACGTACGAAGGATTACAATCGCGGGATAGGAATAATAATAATAATAACATAATTGTTATTATTATTATTAATTTTTTTTAAAGTAATGGGACGGGAGGGCCGAGCCGCCACAATCCTAAACCCCTCCCCATTATTTCTTTTCCCCAACCCTTTTCCGAGAAGAAATGGGCTACGACGAACCCAAAAACCCTAGCAAATGGCGGTTCACATGGGAAGCTCAATCTCACGCCCCGAACCTAAAGCTGTTCGTCCTCGATTTGGGAGATTGGGGCTTTGCAGAATTGTTTGACGGAGAGTCTGAATTCGGCCACCATTTGGAGGAGCCCTTCCACCATTGCTTCGTCGGTCACTGGGAGAATGGATGGATGATGATTCGAGTTGTTGTTTTGTGAGTACCCATCGATTGATTTGGCCGGCATCGAGTACTGACTCCCTGGAAATGGCTCATCCTCGTAGCTCTGTGCATTGAAAGTTAAATTCGGGAGTAAAACTGCTTTTTGTAAGTAGACGAAGATGATCTAGACAAGAGCGACACCACAAAGGATAGAGCATATATCGACTCGAAGTTAAGGTGAGTGTAAAGGGGGTAAATTCTATGCCTTACGGTTTTTCAAGTATTTGCTTTGGGTATTTTTAAGTATTGATGTACGTGACGTGCGTGCCGTATTTGATTCATGTTTGATATTACATGATTATGTTTGATTATTTGTGCTTTGCTTGAGCTATGATACGAGGTGATTTTGTGCTATTTACCTTAAAGCGTTATGTTTGAGTTATTGTTAAAGTTTAAGAAACAAGTTCTTTTTAAGAAGTAACTCATCTTCAAGAAGGTGAGGTCGTTTTAAGTGTTTTTAGTCACTAGCGCCAGTTCGTTGCTGACTCGACTCTACTGTCACTCCAGGAATTGGCCAAGTGAAACCACTTCCTAAAGCGTAGTATAGCGGGTTTGGGTTTAATTATCAACTCGGGTCCTAGATCTGATGACTACTCAGTGAATTCTTGTTATCTAGCAATGAAACTGGCATGCAAGTCTAAACTATCAAACTAACAAAGCAAGTAAACTGTTGTATTCAGGTTAAGAGAGGTCACCCGGATATGGTTCCCCCTAGACTGCAGTTAAGCCGGATTGTAATTACCAAGTTCAGTTTCTATGACAGTTATACTGCGGAAGGTTTTTGAACAGCCTGAAGTCTCGACTAAAAGTCTTCAGACCCTCTCAATCTGAATCTCTAGCGGGCGACTAACCTCCACCGGAGTAGACAAATTGAGGCCTTAAGAACAAAACCTCCACTACCGGAGTAAATCCGGTACAGAATAGTGAGTTGGTTCCTCGACTAAAGTCACCAACTCCCTACCTTCAATCAAGGATACTCTATTAACCTAGGCAGATATTCTCATTCTAGGTTAAAGCAGAAACAACAGGAATTTGATCAGGATTCATGCCATTCAATCATTCAAACCTCAATCGAATATAATCAAATCATAGAATCAGTACTTGGGTTCATACAATCAAAGCCTAACATACAAATCTAGGGTTCTCCATACCCAGAAGAATGGGAGAACTACTCCATGGAGAAGAAAGCAAAAGCAGAATCAGACGCAGAATTCATACTGTGAAGGATGGATTCCTGCTCCTGGATGTTGATCGGCACTTCTCCAAGCTCAAACTGGCCTCCAATGGTGTTGAAGATCAATCTAGGGCGCTTGGGAACTCTTGCTCGTCACTTTCTCTCTCTAGGAATCGTTCTATCTCTCAAAAACTCGAATCCCCTTGACTTGTGGCTGAAAATCTGCTTAAAAGCATCAGTGGCCAAAGCACGGTCGTGCCCTCGACCGTGCTTTGCCTCAGCCCGCCCGTGCTTTGGCTAGTGTTAATTACACGGCCAGTGCATTGGGAGAAACACGGCCGTGCTTTGGTGGAACACGGCCGTGCTTTGGTGGAACACGGCCGTGCTTTGGTGGAACACGCCCGTGCTTTGGTAGAACACGCCCGTGCTTTGGTGAAGCACGCCCGTGTTCTATCTCAGCCCTGCCCGTGTAATCAGCTCAGCTCTCGGCATAAAAAGCACGGCCACCAGAACACGGCCGTGTAATGATTTAGGTGTGCCCGTGTTTTGGCTCCAGCTCACCGAAATGACTTCCGAATGCCCCGAAACTCGCGCTTAGCCTTCCCTTTGACACCTGGGACCTGAAACATGACAAAATAGCACAACCCGGCGTAAAATAGGCCACAATACACGACTATGCCCCTCAAACGGATAAGAACTAGGGGCGCAAATATGTGCAATTACATCGTTATCAAACTCCCCCACACTTAACCGTTTGCTTGTCCCCAAGCAAACCTAACTCAAACCAATGCAACTCTCCAGACCTCTATAGCAACAAACAACCCAAATCTTAGGTAGAGGACTTCCTAGATCATTTAGCAACTTACGAGGTCAACCGACGCACAAGTCATCTCATAGCTTCTTCGGCGAGAGCACTAGTATCGAGTCGGCATCATGGCAAACAGTGAACAGAGGACAAATGAATTGTGGATGAAGAGATTCTCAAAAACAAAGGATCATGGACTCACATTTTTCAAGGTGCTCTATTTTCTTTTTGAAGATGGTTGGAACCCCTTTTCTTTCTGTTTTGCTCGTTTTCTGTTATTATTATTTTTTTCTTCTCTTTTTTTTCAAGGGTCCCAACCTGCTCTTACCGGCCATGCCAGGAGCGGATGTCTCGAGCCTCGTGCGGGGGAAAGATATGTAAGGGGGCTGGAGGTAGTAGGTGGAAATTGGGAACGGATTCCCGTCTCCCCTTACACACTTTCGCCCTATTCGCACGGGAGACGTTATTTTGAAGCACATTTTCGAGCACCTGTTAAACTCAAAACATGATACAAGAGTCCATGACAGGTAGAGAATCCACAACACCACACAATTCAAGGGTCCTAAGATCACTAATTCACTCAATCAACCAACACAATATGAAGAAGAAATGAGACTTCTTAAATGCATCAACATCCTCCATAGTGCTACACTACCTCCCTAGGTTGCACATTACTATAAAGACTGTCAATTCAAAGCATACTGAGCAGGCAATTGCAAGGAACACGTACTTGGAGCCCTCAAATTTAAAAATTTGGACAGTGGACTAGGCTCCAAGCACACAAACAGATCTAATGCAGTCAAAAGATAAACATTCCCCCACACTTAAGATCGACATTGCCCTCAATGGAGAAGAGGGAAGGAAAAGGGAACGATGTTACCAGTATGCACGGACTGCAGGAGACTGGAAGCGGCCAGTCAAGCCAAGCACAGCCAAAGGGGAACAGAAGAGCTCAAACACAATATGTTAGGTTCAATGGTCATCCCAATAAAATATCATCCAAACCAAACGAAAACAAACCAAACCCAAACCGGGTTACAATCCGACTCAAAACACAAAAAAGAAAATCAAGCCGTGGTGGGCCTCCCCACAAGCGCTTCTTTACCGTCATTTTAGCTGGACGCCCATGGTGGATACTCAGGGCGGTGCAGGAACAGGTGCCTCCAAGAGCGGATCCACGTCGCTCTTGAGGTACAGCTTCAGGTTGTGGCCATGCACCCGACGAATGAGACCACCATCATCAGTCAGCTCGACCTGCCCATCTGGCAAGATGCAGGCGAGTGAGTACCCAGACGGCCAGGGTGGTCGTGGTGCAGGAGGTGGGACCAGCTCGTAGTGGTCTCCACTCTTCTTCCGTGCAGGCTTAGCAACCTGCTGCTTCGGCCGCCACTCCTCCTTGGTCTTTTTGTTCGGAGGCGAGGCTGGATGGAGTGGCGGCGAAGGAATGATAGGAGGGTCCTGCAAAATGAGAGGAGCAGAAGGATACACGACAGGCTCGTGTACCTGATCAGACATAGCATGCACAGGCGTGACAGCAATCATAGCACAGTGATCAAACTCAGTCACGGAAAAAGTAGCCTGTTCATCCCCAGCACGCAAGATCAGTTTACCATCATGCACATCAATTAGTGCCTTGGCAGTGGCAAGAAATGGCCGACCTAGAATCAAAGGTACATCCACATCCTCATGTATATCAAGAATAACAAAATCAACAGGATATGTGAATGCACCGACACTGACAAGCAGATCCTCTATGATTCCCCTAGGATGCACGATAGAACGATCAGCTAGCTGAATGCTCATTCTAGTAGGGCTAAGTTCACCTAGGTCTAGCTTTTTATACAACTTATATGGCATGACGTTTATGCTAGCGCCTAGGTCCGCCAAGGACTTGCCTACATGCATGCTGCCAATAGTAAGAGGGATAGTAAAACTCCCTGGATCCTTGCGCTTCTCGGGCAGCTTGTTCTGCAGGATAGCAGAACACTCCTCGCTCAGCATCACTGTCGAAAGATCCCCAAGTTTCTTCTTCTTGGTGCAGAGATCTTTCATGAACTTCGCGTACTTGGGCATCTTCGACAGTGCCTCCATGAACGGTATGCTGATGTTGAGCTGCTTCAACATTGCCATGAACTTGGCAAACTCAGTCTCCAGCTTGTCTTTGTGTAGGCGAGTATGGAAGGGAAGCTGGGGTACATGCTCCTTAACCACTAGTTGTGGCTTGGGAGCAGGGGCTTCCTTCTCCACCCGCACTTCTGCATCGTCGGCTGGAAGTGCTGAAGCAGGTAGTGGTTCCTCCTGTCTGGCCGGGACAGGATAAGCAGATATGACCTTACCGCTCCTGGTAAAAATGGCATCCAGCTGCTGATGCTGGTGAGGATCTCGAGGGTTCGGGACAGTGGTGGCAGGCAGAGTCCCCGGTGCCCTGGTAGTGCTTTGGCGGGCCAAGATGCCCACCTGGGTCTGCAGATCCTGCAAAATGGCACCCTGGTTCCGCTGACCTGCCTCCAGTGACGTGATAGCAGCCTGAGTTCTCGTCATGAATGAAGCTAGAATATTCTCCAGCTTTGTCATCCTGTCATCTGGGGCCGGAGCTGCTGCTGGCTCGGCAAACTGGCGCTGGGGCTGCTGGAATGGCTGCCCCTGCCTAGGCTGGTAGGACTGCTGCTGTGGGTCTGGCCCCTGGCGAGCCTGGAAGGGCTGCCTCTGCTGAAAACCACCTGCTGGTGCTGGAAAACCAGGTGGTTTAGTGGTGTTGCTGCTCCAGGCGAAGTTGGGATGCTGGCGCCACCCCTCATTATATGTAGTGCTGTATGGATCAAGGCGCCGCGCATTGGCGATGAAGGCCAACTGCTCCTGGGGTGTGGTAGACTCCCTCATAGCCTGGCAGTCCTCCACTAGGTGATTGGAGCTCTCACACCACTGACACTGAGCAACTGGAGGTGTAGCCATACCTCTGCCCGGAATAAGACTGTTGGGTTGCTTCAGTGTCTGCACCAGCTCAGCTACCTGCTGCTCGAGCACGGATCTGGTCTCCATGGCGTGCACACCACGGTCCCGGGACTGTCTGCCTCGGCTACCCTGTCCCCAAGAATGATCTCTGGCAGCCAAAGTACTGATCATCTGGTTCAGCTCGGGTGGAGTCTTAGTGAGAATATCCCCTCCTGGGCATAGAGACTCAATCACCCTCTGGCTATCTGGAGAGAGGGCACTGTAAAAGTTCCCCACTGTGAATGCATCACTGAAGCCATGATGGGGACACTGCCAGAAATAGCCCATGTACCGCTCCCACGCATCACGAAGTGACTCATCTGGCTCTTGGCGGAAGTGAGTGATCTCCCGCTAAATCTCTGTAGTCTTCGATGCTGGATAATACCTATGCACGAACTTGTCAGCCAGATCGTCCCAAGAGGTGATGGACAATGGGGGCTGGGTCTCCAACCACCTCTTGGCATTCCCCGCCAGAGAATGGGGGAAGAGATGAAGGCGGATTGCATCATCCGGGACACCATTCAGCTTGAACCCGTTCGTCAGCTGCAGAAAACGGGAAAGATGCACCCTGGCCTCCTCATCCTTCAAGCCATGGAACTGGATAGAGGATGTAATGAGCTGAATCCAGCATGGCTTGATCTCGAAGTTGTTTGCTGGAATAAGCGGGTAGAGGATGACCGGGCGGATGTCAGCAATCCGAGGAGTGTAGTAGTACTCCAAGGTGGGACCCGGCTGCGGTGGATGATGAACCCCATGATCCTGAGGTATGGGGTTGTTCCTCAGGACCTGATTCACCGGGGGAGCCTGCTGAGGATTCCCCTGGTGTTGATTGTAGTCTTTCATCTCGTACTCCTCCTCAGAATCACTGCTCACGTGGCCGTCTATGCGCTCTTCCGTAGCCAGTCTAGCTCGCTGTTGTCTCCTGAGCTGGCGACAGGTGCGGTCAATCTCTGGATTCAACGGCAGTAAACCTCCGGACTGGCTACGGGTCATGCACTACCTGCACACACTCAAGCAAGCAAACCCGTGAAGGCACAAGTGGGACAAAGCAAACAAAGCAAAAAGAAAAGCTAAATTAACAGAAATCACTTTTCTTCAACAACCTAGCCGTCCCCGGCAACGGCGCCAAAAACTTGACTCGACTCTACTGTCACTCCAGGAATTGGCCAAGTGAAACCACTTCCTAAAGCGTAGTATAGCGGGTTTGGGTTTAATTATCAACTCGGGTCCTAGATCTGATGAATACTCAGTGAATTCTTGTTATCTAGCAATGAAACTGGCATGCAAGTCTAAACTATCAAACTAACAAAGCAAGTAAACTGTTGTATTCAGGTTAAGAGAGGTCACCCGGATATGGTTCCCCCTAGACTGCAGTTAAGCCGGATTGTAATTACCAAGTTCAGTTTCTATGACAGTTATACTGCGGAAGGTTCTTGAACAGCCTGAAGTCTCGACTAAAGGTCTTCAGACCCTCTCAATCTGAATCTCTAGCGGGCGACTAACCTCCACCGGAGTAGACAGATTGAGGCCTTAAGAACAAAACCTCCACTACCGGAGTAAATCCGGTACAGAATAGTGAGTTGGTTCCTCGACTAAAGTCACCAACTCCCTACCTTCAATCAAGGATACTCTATTAACCTAGGCAGATATTCTCATTCTAGGTTAAAGCAGAAACAACAGGATTTTGATCAGGATTCATGCCATTCAATCATTCAAACCTCAATCGAATATAATCAAATCATAGAATCAGTACTTGGGTTCATACAATCAAAGCCTAACATACAAATCTAGGGTTCTCCATACCCAGAAGAATGGGAGAACTACTCCATGGAGAAGAAAGCAAAAGCAGAATCAGACACGGAATTCATACTGTGAAGGATGGATTCCTGCTCCTGGATGTTGATCGGCACTTCTCCAAGCTCAAACAAGCCTCCAATGGTGTTGAAGATCAATCTAGGGCGCTTGGAGACTCTTGTTCGTCGCTTTCTCTCTCTAGGAACTGATCTATCTCTCAAAAACTCGAATCCCCTTGACTTGTGGCTGAAAATCTGCTTAAAAGCATCAGTGGCCAAAGCACGGTCGAGGACACGGCCGTGCTTTGCCTGAGTCCGCCCGTGCCTCGGCCAGGGTTAATTACACGGCCAGCAGTTGGGAGAAACACGGCCGTGCTTCGCGTTGGACACGGCCGTGCTTTGGTGGAACACGACCGTGCTTTGTCTCGGCCCTGCCCGTGTAATCAGCTCAGCTCTCGGCATAAAAAGCATGGCCATAGGAACACGGCCGTGTAATGCCTTAGGTGTGCCCGTGTTTTGGCCCCAGCTTGACGAAATGACCTCCGAATGCCCCGAAACTCGTGGTTAACCTCCCCTTTGACGCCTGGGACCTGAAATATGACAAAATAGCACAACCCGGCGTAAAATAGGCCAAAACACACGACTATGCCCCTCAAACGGATAAGAACTAGGGGCGCAAACATGTGCAATTACATCGTTATCAAACTCCCCCACACTTAACCGTTTGCTTGTCCCCAAGCAAACCAAGTCAGACACAAGGTAAGCTCAAAACAACAAGGCATGACATATCGGCACAAAACACGTGGATCATACTGGCTTTCGATCATTAACACATGGACAACCTCACTGACAACCTAGACAACCACCACAGATGACATTCGAATGCAGTAAAATCGAGCAAAGGAAGAGTCTCCCTTCTGTTCACCAACCAACATCGACTTGACTCAACCACTTGTTCAAAACAGTCACATCATGCACAAAGTTCAAGATATCAGAATTAAGACCGAGCAATCTAGGTCCTCACCGGGATACAGAGTATAGAGAATAAGAGAAAATGAATCGCTCACTCTCGACCAGTGGGGTCAGGACAATATGATGCGAAAAATGCGCATGCTTAATCTCTCAATCCCTAACATCTCTTCACCATGAATGCAGCCTCTAAGTGCTAGAGTTCACATATGGGGTGTCATCACTAACTAATCCGGAGGTCTTAGACACAGGTTCAGATGACTGGCTATGGTCGTGGACATGGGGAAAAGGCCTTTTAGGTGGTGGAAGTATTCATACAGCACAAGGTTCCACATTTCCAGACCCAACAGATTCACAATCAATCGAACCAATAACTTTCTTTCTGCTATTCTGCATTACTCAAGTTCAAAGCACAAGAGCGAAGGAGGTTACATAAATGCTAGTATTTCTAAGCCAGACTGCTAAGAAACACTACTACATGGGCATTATTCAGATTTTTGGTGGTGGCTCTCTTTTGCTTTCATTTTTTTCTTGGATTTTCTTTAATTTTTTTTTTCTTAAGAAACCACCACCTCTGCACAATTTCAAACACCTGCCCAACTTTTGAGTATTACCTCCAACCCTCATATTACATTTAGCAGAAACAGCAGAGAACAAGTAAAAATCACTCCGTGGAACCATCTAAAAGATGCAAAAGGGTGACTTTTCATTGAAGACCGAAAGAAAGGAAAACACACGGCTCAAAGGGGCTGACTAGGGGTATGACACACTAGGATAGACAATTTGGTCGTGGGCTAATCCTATGCCTCCATCATCTTAGCTAATGACAACGTGAATGCTGCACATCATGGAAGAGGAAACTATCGCACAAGAAAGAAACGAGTAGGCTCAAATCTCACATGGCTACCTATATGCTCTATCTCTCATTCTGATTCCCTGTACTAGATGCATAAATGATTGTCAAAAGCAAGTGATCAAACCAAGTCACATTTGGTGAGCAGACAGTTAAAAAAACTGAACCCCTACACAATTCTACTGTACATCTCAGTCATCACAATCAGTTGTCTAAGCCACACTCAAGTTGTCATGTATCAAGTCAAAAGCCATTCAATTCACTAATCACATCCACAGTGCCAATATGATCAATCATCAAGCAAACAGCCGTGCTTGGAGCCCTCAAATCTCAAGATTTGGACAGTGGACTAGGCTCCAAGCACACATATATATACGTTCCAATTCATACAAAGAACCCCCCCACACTTAAACGCGACAATGTCCTCAATGGAGCAGAGGGAAGGGGAACGATGTTACCGTGAAACAGTGGTCAGGAACGCTGACTGGATGGCGGATCAGTCAAAAGAAGGGGCACAGAGCTAGAGACAACAAAAACACACACCGGGTGATAGGAGTCAGAGTACCAAGTCTACAATCCGAGATAAAACAAAACAAAACGAAACCACAAAACACGGAGTCTCAGTCTGGAAAACAGATAAAGCATAAAACCCGCTCTAGAAGGCATCACCACCATCGCCGGTGGGTGGAGGGTACTCATCCTCAAACCCCGGGGACAGCACGAACGGGTAGTGGACCGCGCTCGGGTCCAAGCCCAAGTAGGACATGATGTAGTGCTGCCCGGATAGGATAATACGCCCTCGGTCCCGCTCACGATCAAGGCGGGTGTGGAGGAGCTCCTGGCCGGCTAGGAGGCGCTCATTCTGCTGCGAGATCGCCGCCAACTGGTCGGAGATGGGCACCACCACTGGAGGAGGTGACCCTGGAGAAGGAGACCGGGGAGCAGGAGAGGGGCTCGCGGGAGCCTGGCCACGGCGGGGAACGCGACGTCGACCTCGGCATCCACCAGCGGCGCTCGACTCGGCCTGGTCACCCTCTGCAGGAGGAGGTGGCTGAGGAAGGCCCTCGATCCAGCGCTGACGCCCGTGGCGAGCAAGCAAGTGCTGGTGGCGGAGAGTAGCCTCGCTGAGTGGGGACGGCCCGCGCACCATAGTCATCCCCGTGTAATCCACCCCATAGTTGCGGGCCAGGGCGGTGATCACCGGGCCACAAACGAGGGCGCGAGTCGTGCTGATGGCTGGTTTAGTGAATGTCCTCGCCAGTACAGAGCCCAGCTGGATGGTGTCCTCTGAACGACCCATCGCATGCATCAACCAGAGTGTGCGGAGCGTGACCCGGTTGGCCGAGCCTGCGCTGGGTGTGTAGGAAGTGCACATCAGGTGGTTGAGGATCCGCCACTCCGGACGGAGGAGAGAAGCCCGCGTCTGGCTGGCCACGTACTGTTCATCCACACTGTCGGGCAGGCAGATGCTCTGAAAGTACGCCTGAGAAGCGAAGTCCGTGGGATCAGCGAGATCTAGGCGGAGAGGTGGCCCACGAGCTTCCCGGGAGTTGAGACGAAGTGCATTGGCGAACTCCCAGTAGCTGAGGGAGTGTTCCACCCCGCCGAGTGTGAATTGGACTGCATTAGAATGATCGGAGTTCCCCTTCTGATTGTGGGTGAAGGTGGCGTAGAACTCCAAGACCAACTCCTTGTAGGTCGGCTCAGCAAGGGTGAGAAGACGCCGCCAAGCAGGGGAGCGGACCGCGGCCTCCATCTGTGGCCTGGCATGAAGCTCTTCGAACACCTCCCAATCGAGGTGATGGTGCTCGGCGATGCTGCGGGTACGGAGGTTCCGCAGCTTGTGGCGCTGGATGATGTTCAGCTGGTCGAGAAAATCCTCCATGATCCTGTAAAACACAATGAAGGACAAATTGTACACAAGCAAACGGGGTCAATGTTAGACCAAAACCACACCGGGGGTCCTCATATCGAAAGATATGGACAGTGGACTAGACTCCCGGCGACACAAGCATACCCATCATACGAGAAATACCAGCTGAATACACCGGGGACCCTCAAATCAAGCGATTTGGACAGTGGACTAGGCCCCCGGTGAAACAAGCATACCACAACTTCCCTAAATAGCACCAATCGAGGCATCACAGAAAAATCACAATTCACGCAGGCCATTCAACATGCAATCAGCCCAATCATCCCCCAAACCCAAAATATTCCCCAAACCATGCATTCCACAATCAAAAGTTCTTCAACTAACTCTAGGTATCGATTCTCCAAAAATAGAAGAAAAGACAAGGAGAACACACCTGGAGACTCAAGAAGATACCACGAGAGAGAGGAAGAAAGTGGAGAGAAGCACCCAAAGTCGCCGGAAAACACACCGGAGACTCGCCGAAAAACTCGCCGCCGGCGACCCAACCTCAGCCAAACCAGCCCAAATCGTTGGGGAATGTGCTCCTCGACGCCAGGAGCGTGGGGGCACTCGCGGTTTGTGATTTGGAGGTCGGGAGAGGGAGTTATGGCCGGAAAATCGAGGGAGAAGGTGAAAGGGGCGATTTTCCGGCGAGGGGGGGGGGGGGGCTGGGGGTTTTTGAAAAAATGACTGATCTGAGTTTGGGGGTGAAAAAATTCGATTTTATAGGGGGGAGGCCGAAACACGGGCGGGCCATTACACGGCCGTGTTTCGGGTGCTCCGCGCACGTGTTTTCCCCCAGCAAAGCACGGCCGGGCTCTGATTAAAACACGACCGTGTTTTCAGAGCCCAGTGCCCGTGTTTTTTATGCCGAGAGCAACAGGCAAAACACGGGCAGGCACGGGGAGAAACACAGCCGTGTTTTGTCCCCCTGCTGCTCGTGTTTTTTATGCCGAGCCTGAAATGCAATTTTTTCAATTTTCAATCTCAAACCACCATGATTCATTCGTGTCCCGGCTCTAAAATTTAACCAATCACACATCAAAACGAACCGCCCGAGGCACGAAAAACTTTCCAGACTGACTCCAAACTGACTCAAAGACTCAAAAACCGACAAAGTTGAAATAAATAAATAAAAAACAAAGGTAGAAATGCAAACCGTGGTGGGGTTGCCTCCCCACAAGCGCTTCTTTACCGTCTTTTAGCTGGACGCCAATTGCGGAACTAAGGGTCCGCGAGCTCCACTGCTAACTCCGCACGTTCGACCTCGTCTCCCAGGTAGAGCTTGAGACGATGGCCATTCACTTTAAACGACTCAGTTTGCGGGTTAGCAATCTCAATCGTGCCATACGGGAACACCTGAGTGACCGTGTACGGTCCAGACCACCGGGAACGGAGTTTTCCGGGAAAGAGTTTCAGGCGAGAGTTATAAAGGAGAACTCGATTACCAACCTGGAACTCTTTCGGACCCCGCAACCGTGCATCGTGGAGGCGCTTCATGCGCTCCTTGTACAACTTGGTGTTCTCATAGGCGTGATAACGCCACTCTTCCAGCTCCAACATCTGCATTTTTCGCTCATCTCCTGCAACACTAACATCCAAGTTTAGCAGCTTAAGGGCCCAGAAGGCCTTGTGCTCTAGCTCCACGGGCAAATGGCATGCCTTTCCATAGACAAGCCGGTACGGTGAGGTACCAATGGGCGTCTTGTAGGCAGTGCGATATGCCCACAGAGCATCATCGAGCTTAGTGGACCAATCCTTGAGGGATAGGTTCACCGTCTTCTCCAAGATCCGCTTGAGCTCCCGGTTCGTCAGCTCGGCCTGGCCACTGGTTTGAGGATGATAGGCCACGAGCGCGAGGACTTGGCTCATCTATTTTTGCATGTCGGCTATGACGCTGTTTTGCTTCGCCACCAGCTGCTTCATTTCCTTGGCTGTCAGCTCGGGCTCTTCTTCCTCAACGAGCACCGCGTTAAGGTTGCTGCCTTCGGCGAACGCCCTCGGGGTTGTCATAGCCTTGATGGGTGTCACCTCGTCGGGAAAGTTGGAGTTGGGTTCTGCCATTGGTTGGATTTCTGTTACTTTTTCTACTCAGCCCCACGGTGAGGCGCCAATTGTTTGAAGCTAACTGAGTGTAGGAGTGAGATTCAGGTAAAAAGGGGTCGAGGAGAATGTGTAACAGGAACCGAACGGGGGCTTCAGAAAGAAAGAGGGAAGAGAGGGAGATCAGAGAGTAATTTGTAGAGAGAAGTATGTTCTTTTATTAGAGAGAGAGTTTCCAAAAATCCGATCCCCTCACCCACCGGAGTAAATGCTCTATTTATAGGCTACACGGTGGTGGGTGAGTTACATGGTGACATGACCACTGACATGTCAGAATTCTAGACAATGACTCTACCTAGGACAAGTACATTTAGCCTTTTATTATACCTAGGACTAGGACTAGGACTGTGATGTGACCACTCGATGGGTGAGACGCGGCATCGTTTTCCCACACTCGCTAACTTGGTCAACGCTGGACTCGAACGTCGTCGTTCGGTGCTCGGGCTGTCTTTGGTCGCGTCGGTGCTGGTGCGCGTGACGCTCTTGGTGGTGGAGTTGTCGCGCTTCGCCGGTGCTAGCACGCCCGATCTTCGCGTTGATAGCACTGCCGCGCTTCACTGGTGCTAGCGCGCCCGATCCTGGCGTTGATGGCACTGTCGCGCTTTACTGGCGCTAGCGCGCCCTACTCTCCTGGTTGTGGGACCGGAGTGCTTCCTTGGCGCAGCATGATCCGAGTCACATGCCCAACAGGTTCAATGCACCAGAAGTGTAGTTGAATGTACTCAAAAGTGTAGTCATGAAAAACAACAACGAAATCACAAAATTCTTGTATCTTATACCAATTTCAAGTTTGTTTGATCATAATTGTTTTCAGTGAAGTTTATGATTGAGAGATCGTGCCAATAAATTTGGAGTGTATGATATGATGATGTCCTCTCATGAGTCTCCTCTTTCGAGATTTTTCTATATATAATTATTCAATAAAAATTAACCAGAGAGAAAATGATGACGTTTATACATTTTATTTCTGTATAATTTGTGATCTTTATTAGAATCGAATTTTTCTTACAATTTCAAAGTTTTTTTTTTTTTTTTTTTGCTATTAAGTAGGTAGCTCTATGAAAGTTTGGAAGAGTATAAAGACACAAAACAAACAAAAAGTGCGTAAATAGAAAAAATATCTCCCCTTAAGATAGCCCTACCCTAACTGTAAAGGGTTTTGATAAGCTAGATGTGGAGGGTCAGTTTGCCAAAAGGATTGTCAACTAAGTGTTGGTGGCTGAAGTTTCTCTGTTTCTTCTGTTCTTGTGGCTGTCTTTCAATTTACTTGATGGGAATACAAAATCAATAAAAAGTGAGTCTCATAAAATGATTGATACTATCTTTGATGTGTAAACTCGTCATAAATTAATAAACTAGGTTAAATTTTTTTCGTGTTAATCTCTTTATCTTCCCTGCAATTCTTGGTCGAACAAGAATGCTAGCATCCAAAGAAGAATATCCAAGCAAATATTTTTACCCAATACAACCATATAAGGGTATCTTTCATTCCTCATCACCTCAATATCAGGGGAGGACCCAAGTTAATGAAAAGTTGTGTCCAAATTTGAGGCAAAAAATTGATATAAAATTTTGTTTTAGTGGTACTAGTATTTGGGTTGAACACTGTCTGACAACTCGATAATTTTGATCTATCGTTGAAAAATGGCATGAGGAAAAAAAATCCAAATAGATATAGAAAAATCGCAGGAGGAAATCTACAACAGGATTAAATTCGGAATTTTTCCAGAAATAGCACCTTTTTAAAAAAATTACAAAAATAGCACTCAGCCGAAAATATTTACAAAAATATCACCCTTTTTTATGGACCGCACCTTAGAGGTGCGTTTTATATATAAACCGCACCCTCCTGGTGCGTTTCATATATAAACCGCACCTCTAAGGTGCGGTCCATAATTCTGGGCCAAAACCGCATCTTGGCCAAGCGGTTTCAGGTCTGACCTACAAAAACCGCTTGGCCGAGGTGCGGTTATGGGCTGACCTAGTAAAACCGCACTTTGGAGATGCGGTTTTTTTTCTCCAAAACGAAACCGCATCCCCAAGGTGCGGTTTTGCCACACAAACCGCACCCCCCAAGGGCCTGATGTGGGGGAGTCAGCTAATGCGACATAGTTTGCTGTTTTCATTTGTTGGTACTTGTTATGTATGTTTTCAATTATTGTCAGAGTTAGAGCTATGATGCACTGAACTTTCGTGTTTTCAAATAATCCTCATGAGAACACTCAAGCCTTAAGTTATGTGGCTGCAAAGTAGAGAAAGCCAAGAACTTATAACTAGAATAAATACTAAAACAACACTCAATTAAAGAAACTAAGATAGAAGGGTTTCAAGTACATAAAAATAAAACATAACTAAAACAACACTCAATTAAAGAAACTAAGATAGAAGGGTTTCAAGTACATAAAAATGAAACATAACTAAAGACAACACTTAAAATGATAAAACTAAAGATCCATCTCAAGGAAGTCCCTGGGACTCATGGGGCTGCAAAGTTTTTTGGCTCCTTGTACGACGGCCGACGGGAGTGGCCATCGGTGGTTGCGGTGGCAAATATCGTTGGGTCGTGCTAGGGCGATCATCGGTGCTGTGTCGGCGTCGTTCCGTGGTATAAGGCGCTTCCGGAGTCGAGCGGGGGACATCGACGCTCATTCGGTGAGGGGTAGGAGGCCACTGCTGATTTGGGCGAGGAATGGGATTGAAGTCGTGATGCGCAGTCGTGGAGGAACCATCATGCCAAGTACCCGAGGATGTGGGGGGTTCGTTGAAGAAGTTTGGGCGGGGATCATATGTATGGCGAGGATCATAGTATGATGGGCGGGGATCGTTGTATGAGATCGGGTTGGGATCATATGGAGATTGATGATAGCTCGGAGGGGATTGATGGTAGCTCGGGCGGGGATCATTGTATGAGCTCGGGAATTGTTCATGATGGTAGGTCAGGCGGGGATCTTGGGAGTGGCTTGGACGGGGATCTTGATGTGAGCTCGGACCGCCACCGTGTGACACAACCAAGGGGGTCGGCACACTCCACGCCGGTAACGGCTTTATCTCGGGCTCATGAGGTCTTTCCCGAACCTTCTTGCTTTTCTTTCTCTCGTATGGTGGTGGGGGTGGGGGACATCAACTTGTACCGGAGGTGGCACCGGTGCGGGCATGGGTGGGTATCTACGATGATCACGACCTTGTGCTCTGATACATCCAAGCAGACTGTTTGTCATCCTCCTGATGAAGCTCACATCTTCATGTCCCATTCCCTGTTTCCCATGGGTCAACGCTTTGATCCGCTCGATCCCATCAGCCTAAATCACAAAAAAGGTTAGCAAGATAAGACCAAAAAAGTGACAGAATGAAACAAGCAATAAATTTAATCTTATTAGAAGGAATATACTTACCAATGCACCATCAGCCGCACCCTCCAGAGTCACGTACCGAACCGATGTTTGTCGATATCTATCCATGTATGGGTCATGATACCCCATTCGACCCACACTTGTTGGAGTGACAATATCTTGAAGTTGTCGGTTCTCCCATACCGCGATCAATTCCGCCAACTTCGTGGGCCAATCGTGAGTACCTTGCCGACCATCTCGACCGTGAAACGCCCTTTGACTCTCGGGGACTTCCAACGGAATGCACTGCTCCCGACCAAACTGACGAAGGCATCGATCCGGCAGGTGCCACTCCATGGTCCCTTAACAAATGAGAGGGACCCTCGTGCACCATTGCCCGATATTCTCAGGGAATTGCTGTAAATGCCAATGAACGATGTTCGCCGGGTATGGATCGAATTTGATCTACAAAAAAATATTAGTAACTTAAGTTAAATCTGATTGGAAAAATACATGTACTCCATGAAAAAAAGTTATAGCACTTAGAAGTTTCTAGTTACCTCTCCTTCCCAAAGTCTCTCTAGCCTTCTTCGATACTCTACCAACTTGTGATGGGCAAAATTGTCGCATGTTGAGGCTCCAACCCACCTTATTAATAAGATGATAATTAAAATAAGCTAAAAATTAAGGAAAATTGTGTTATAAAATCATGATGGGGTATGAGAAATTTACCTACAACCATAAGCTTTGAGTCTTAGGGGATGATCGGGAACCCAATTCCTGTCGGGACATTGGAGCGGTGCAATCCATGGCAGATGCTCCCAAGCCCAAAACTGGACGATGAACATTGCGCCGCCGACCTCCCTCACAGCTTTGAGAGATGCGTTGCACAAGTGGTGATAGATATTAGCTAGACAAGCGAATGCCCAGCTCAACTCCCCCATCGAATCCCAACTACCAAGGAGGATCCTAAGCCATCCACAACTAATTAAATTGCTCGATTTTTTGGAGAAGAACACTCCTCCTATCATGCCCATGAGATAGACACGAGCATATTTTTCCTTCTCCAGCTCCAGACTTTCCTCGGTTAGGGGCACCCCATCTTTTTCAGGATCGTGATGGTCCCTAAAATACTTCGTCAACCAAGTGATTGATACTTGGCCTTTCCTCAATGGTGGCAAAAGATCCGTCGCATCAACGCTTCCCTTGGTTGGTACTTTCACCCCCAAAACCCAAAACACTGTGGATGAAATACTGCCAACCGGTCATATCGTCACGATCCTCGGAGGGGAGGGGGGGATCACTCACACACACCGCTTTGCCGTCGATAGGCAGATGAGTTAGGATGGTGACGTCCTTGAGTGTGATGGTGCACTCTCCTTCGCGAAAGTTGAAACAATGTGTCTCCTTTCTCCATCTCTCAACCAATGCGGTAATGAGTTGGCGATCGACTTTTATGCCTAGAAAATGCCTAATCGACTCCAACCGTGCCCTTTTGAGATAGGGCAAGATAACTGGGTTCCATGGGAGCACATTGGTCGTACCCCTGTAGCGGAGTATTTGTTGTGCCTCCTAGCAAAATTTCAACGTTATTTATGATATATTAGTAACAGTTTAGTCTTATAACTAAATAAATTGAAAGTACTGATTTAATTTCAACCATTATTAAAATTATTTATGATATATAAGTAATAGTTTAGTCTTATAACTAAATAAATCAAAATTAATAATTTAATTTCAACCATTATTAAAATTATTTATGATATATAAGTAATAGTTTAGTCTTATAACTAAATTAATTAAAATTGATGATTTAATTTAGAATATAATTCTATTATAATTATATTATTAACAATCAAAATTTAAGTAATTTGCTATTTTCCAAGATATATACATATAGTCATAAAACAAACATACTAAATTAATTGGCATAAATAACATTCTAAATGAATAATAATTTAAGGTGATATATACATATCACTCACACACACCGCTTTGCCGTCGATAGGCAGATGAGTTAGGATGGCGACGTCCTTGAGTGTGATGGTGCACTCTCCTTCGCGAAAGTTGAAACAATGTGTCTCCTTTCTCCATCTCTCAACCAATGCGGTAATGAGTTGGCGATCGACTTTTATGCCTAGAAAATGCCTAATCGACTTCAACCGTGCCCTTTTGAGATAGGGCAAGATAACTGGGTTCCATGGGAGCTCATTGATCGTACCCCTGTAGCGGAGTATTTGTTGTGCCTCCTAGCAAAATTTCAACGTTATTTATTATATATTAGTAACAGTTTAGTCTTATAACTAAATAAATTGAAAGTACTGATTTAATTTCAACCATTATTAAAATTATTTTTTGATATATAAGTAATAGTTTAGTCTTATAACTAAATAAATAAATATTAATGATTTAATTTCAACCATTATTAAAATTATTTATGAGATATAAGTAATAGTTTAGTCTTATAAATAAATTAATTAAAATTAATGATTTAATTTACAATATAATTATATTATAATTATATTATTAACAATCAAAATTTAAGTAATTTGCGGTTTTTCCAAGATATATACATATAGTCATAAAACAAACATACTAAATTAATTGGCATAAATAACATTCTAAATGAATAATAATTTAAGGAGATACATACATATTCAAACATTTGAAATTAATAAATTCATTTAAGTACACATAAACATAAATCGTATTGGTTGTTTTTGGTAAGTAATTTAATCGTATTGATTGTTTTTAAATAATTTAATCGAATACAATGCAACACTCGTTAGACTCTTAGAAGAGGTATAGATCTTCTTAGAAACGCAACCTTTTTGACAGAAAAAGGGGGGATCCGAAGATCTCTTAATACCCGATTTTCCCAGGAAATGGGAGGATCATGATAATCGCTTAAAACCCCATCTCCTTAGACGTGCATCTCTTTATAAAGAGTCGAAGTAAGTGCCGCTATGTATTCGATTAAATTATTGAAAACAACCAATACGATTAAATTATTTCAAATTTATTTTATATTCCACTAAGTACACTAGCAAAATAAAAGAAAGATAAATGATGAAGAATTGTATGTACCGGGTGATCGTTCCAAACATCCCTTGAACGATGGTTGGGTTGGTCATACAAGTCGATCGGATCAATAGGCCCTTGATCCAAATAGTACCGTTGGTTGTATATATTCACGTCGTCCCCAACCTACGAGAGAATAACAACAAGGTTAGTACATATATTAATTAAAAAGCTTATAACAAAAACAAAAATTGACCAAAATAATGATTACGTACCGCTTGAAATTCATCATAATAAACTCCCTCTCCTTGGAACCACTCGTCCATTTTCTCGCAAAAGTCGGACAGAGATTCGGCGGGCGGGTTTTGAGGGAAAAACCAAAGAAATATTTTCTGATGGCAGATCGGACTTAGCCGCAACCAACAGACCACTATTTCCTAGGCTTTTGGGAGGGGAAGGGATGGGTTAGAGAGCTAATTCTAGAGAGAGAGAGTGGAGAATGGTTGTGGTGTGAAAAAATGAGAGGGGGGAGGGGGTATTTATACCCATCAGACCGCACCCTCCAGGGGCGGTCTGGTAATTTTGCCCTACTCAAAACCGCACCTTCCCGGCGCGGTTTACGCTCCCCGAAGGTTGACCGCTCCCTGCCGCTGCGGTCTGCAATCCATGGCGCGGATCGCTGAGGTGGCAAGCGGTCCGTCGCTGGATCGCAGCTGGATCCTGCGCCCTCCAAGGCCGCTCCCGGGGAAATACAGACCGCATCTTCAAGGTGCGGTTCCCAGTCTGACGTGCCGTAAAACGCACCTACAAGGTGCGGTTTACATATAAAACGTACCTTGGAGGTGCGGTCCATAAAAAAGGGTGCTATTAGTGTAAATATTTTCGTCTGGATGCTATTTTTGTAATTTTTTTAAGATGCTATTATTGAAAAAATCCTATTGAATTCATATTCTTTATATCATCTCACCAATCCTCTAAAAGGTCTCTTTAAGCCACTAATGTGCTATGGAAAAAAATTGCTCGCAAACGGGCCTTGTGACTTGTTTTATAATCTCTTGTGGGCTTTTATTTTTTTGTGCTTCTAGTTTTTAAGCCTAATAGGCTCAGCTTGTTGCGAAAGCCCATTCGAAGAAATAAGAGAGACATCCAACTAGTGAATGAATCATTTCCGTCGTCTTCTTCTTTATTCAGCCATCGACCCTTAGATTTATTCAATGAGGAAGGAGGTGATGGACAAGGAACATGGGCAAGAAAGACAAACCTAGCTTAGCTAAGAGGATCATCTTAACCCTCTTTAGGGTACAACCTAAGAATTAATGACAAGATAATGGTGACTAAAGGGCTAGCTACACCATATTGATCCCTATGATCTGTCTTCTCAGCAAGTACTGAAAACCCATCAATTCATCCACTTTCCCCACAAATTGATTTATCATCTATCACACTAAATAACAGCAGACACTATTATTATGATTATTATTGTTATTATCATAAGTTCACTGCCCACATGCTGAGAAAAAGAATAATGGACGTAGATGTGTCGACATTTAGATATTAGCATGGTCACATTCCAACTATTCCATTACCTAGCTAGGTTTCTAGCCACTACTGCTTTCATCTTGTTTAAGGGGTTATAATAATTTCTTTGGGACCAATTTATACACCGTATCCATTATTGAACCACTGCCAACAAGAATCAAATGGTTTTTGACATGGTGTCAGTGCTTTCAGTGTCTGAGAGATATTGTGTTTGTATCTCCACGACCCCGTTTGTTAAGCACATGGTATATTCGGACCTGTGCAAACTTCAAGCCGTTATGCGTGATATTCGTTTGAAGGAGCATTATTAGTATCATAGTATGTAGTATAAGATCCATTATTGACATGCACTCTCCCAATAACTCGAGTTATTGGGATCGAATGTATAGTACTTATGGCGATTGATCGATGATGATGGCAAGTCGACAATCCATGAAACCCATTTGCAGGCACATCATCTCTCTGAAACTTTTCTTGGTGTGATTATATGCATATATATTCAGGAGATTGCTTCCATATATGATTCGACTTTTTACGATCGATATGCTTTTATAGTTAATTGAAGGCAACCAAGCAAAAGGGCAAAGCCCAATTGCACCACTCGATCGATCCCCCTCCATGTTTTCACAGAATATTCACTGCTAAAGTGCCAATTTATATAGCTAGCATGCAGCATGACTATGAGCTAGCTAGCACAATTATAGCACCACAGCAGACCATGAAAAAAAAACCCCATTTTCTTTTGTGAAAAGGCAAGAATCTTTTCTCATGTTCATTGTTCCCCCGACCTCTCACTTTCACTATTAATCACTCAATCTTTCTGAATAATAGATTTGATTATGTTCAGGCCCCACATTCATAATCAATCTTTTATAAGATTGATTCGTATGCATGAATTGTATACCGTCTATTGGTTAAACAGTCACACACACCTGCATCGATACGATCATGTAAAATTACGCGATTCCTAGATATGAGACTGTTTACTGACTATATATATGCCAATTTGTTATATACTTGTGAAAAAGATGTATATTTCAAGCAATGCAACTTGATGAATTAGGTCTGAAACTTGGTTTGTCTTGAACTATAGTTAGTTATCATGGGTAAGTCCAAAGAAGATAAGTCACATGGATGCATGTATGGGAGAAATTAATATACATTCATATATATACCCAAATCTTGCAAAATCTTCCTTTTTATCTTATACATATACTTTAAGCAAACTAATTGTCAAATTCAATTTGCCATATAAGTAGCTTTTTCTTATACATCATAATAATCATCATCCCTCAAGACCTTAATAATATTATTATGATCATTCCTCAAGACCTTAATGTCAAATCCTTTCTAGAACGGATACAAAAGTCTGATCTATAATATGCATTGCTCTTTTCTGCATTTGCATACGCCAAACCCTAATCTCGAAATCATCACGAAATCTCCCCAAATGCGAGGGGTAGGAACAAAGTCGTACACTCTTTCTCATCATCTACAATCGCACCGAACCAAACATATCAAACGATACTCTCATCTAAGCAGGTCTTGCGCCAGAGCTACGGAATAAAGCCTGATTACATCCATACGCAAGAGAAATAAAGCCTAACTTAACCTCCAAAGGTACACAAACACATCAAATGGGGGGCTATAAGAATTGAACGGGTGTAAACAGAAACACGAATCATGGCATGTTTAAAGAAGAAACCGAAACTATTGGGTATATGCATGAATAAATGAGTTCCTTCTCTAGCTAGCTAGGGTTGTGGGGAGAGAGCCGACGACATTGCAATATGGGCGAAGATAAGGACCTAACAATTAACAAACGTCACGATGCATGATGAAGATGGTGATAGTATAAAAAAGCTACAAAGCCAGCCAGCGACATTGAATGCTCACTTTTCATATATTGAGAAATGAGAACATATACCATAACCCTACGCTAAAGATCTTTCCTATTTTCCCCCTCTGCAAACCCATATGCGTGTGCATATATTGTTAAACCCTAGCTGATTAATAACCCTTTTCAAATTATTCTATATCGTATTAAACCAAAAGCAAATCTCTACTCCAAACGACAAGTTCAATAGAATCTTGTCTCATGCACTTGTGAATCATTGTGTAACTAAGACAAAACATTAACAATATACGACGACATACAATGATCATTCAAGAAATCTCGCAAGTTTCGGTCTGGGGGAAAAAAAACCATGTAGTAAGAGCATCTCATTATCCTGGTGAGCTTACTAGTTCACATGATATGAGAGCTTTAATTACCCATTTTCTCTAAATAGTCTGCCTAAAGTGGAGGCTAATTAGGTAGTAAACTCGTAATTAAGTATGAAAAGGGTTGGCTAAGTGGGAAAAGACCAGTTGAAAACAACAACGGTCCACGCACCACCCATATATCTATATAGATACCAATGTCAACAGCAGACCAAGGTCAATATAAATGGCTGTGAAGACTGAATCAATCAAAGCATTAACGAAGTAAAAATCGTACACAATTTCCAGAGAAAAGGATCCATCATTGATAGAAAACAAAAAAAGAAAAGTTTCCAACTTTACACAACCTCAACTTGACAAGTTCATAACCCATCTTTTCAAAACCTAAACAAATGGAATTAACCAGCATGCAATTTAGCTTTTATATGATAGCGAAACCACAGCTGACCCAACGAGAATTTGGGTAAAAGTAAAACCCTAACCCTAGCTAGGTAATTAACTCATAACCATGATAAAATGCAGTAATTAATAAGTACTAAACCCAAATGCAGCTTACAGTGATCAAATAAGGAGAGCAAGTTTACAGCAAAAAGGAGAGATCAATCGAGCAACGAGGAGTAAAGATGTCTAGCAGAAGGTAATTAAGAAACAGTAATTATACAGAATATCAGTACTTATATCCCAAATATAGCCATAGTAATTCATTAACCTGATGATTATATAGTAAATAATATGATAATATCCATACAAAGTCTTGGATACCAAAAAAAAAGTACAGAAAAAAAAGAAGAACATGAACCCAGAAAGAAGAGAAAAGAAGGAAGGAATTAAGGTATAAATATATAGAGCTTTAACTAGCTAACTAATCAAGTTCCCTTCCCCTCTCGATCCCCCCATTAATCATCACCATCAGATGGTTAATTAAAAAAAAGAAGGAGATAATTATAACTAATTAAACCCAAGTCATCACCGCTTAATCACCCAAATGATAATGAGGGGTCCCCCCCGTATCTACACGTACGTCGACCATGATTCAAACACGGTCAAAACGAAAAAAAACCAAGTCAAACGAGAGAGAAAAGCAGAACCTCATCACCGTCATCATCATCCGTTAGCTGTTTCAGAGGCGAGGTGGATATTACATCTCTACCCTCCTCCTCCTCTCCCTCCTCTCAAAATCTCTGCTCCTCCTTCGGCTCCACCACATTCCCCATCATCTGACACGTCACCATGTCCTGCAGCAGCCCATTGTCTCTCAAAAACGACGCCGTTGCGGCCGACTGGATGCTAGCCGTTGTAGCACTTGTGGTGTTGGAGGTGGTGGTGAGAGACGGCGCGGAGTTTAACATGTACGCATTCTGAAGCTGCTGCTGTTGCTGGAAGTGGTGGTGAATATGATGCTGCGGCGGTAGAATGGAAGGATCGGCGGCGGCGAACAAATGCCCGATCCCTCCGACGCCGCCGCCGGCGAGGAGGCTCCCCCTTGGGGTGATGGGGGACGGGTGGATGTGCTGGCCCTCGTACGTCGTCACGACGACGGAAGGGTCGTCGGAGGATCTCTCCACACGCTTCTTCACCCCGCAGCCTGCGCTGGTGCAACGGTAGTAGCTCCTGGGACCAAAAAAGAGAGAGAGAGAGAGAGAGAGAGAGAGAGAGAGAGAGAGGGGAAAGATATTAAATGATGTGTCGAAAAAAGGTGTATGATGATGAGAGGGGATATACAAGTATTTATTGAAGATGATAGGATGCTTGCGACACAAGTAACGGGCAAAAGATCATCATCATTTGCATAACAGAGAAATTCATGATGATGGTGGTGGTGAGCTTGTTGTATAGTAGTACAACAGTGACACTTCTGCTTCTAGGTGAGTTGATCGATGGAGTCGAAGCATGGGATGATCGATCGTGGCGGATCAAATTTGTTTTTTTGAGAAATTTAGATTTCGTCGATATAAAAAAGAAAAAATTTGAATTCGAAACTTTGATAATCATAATAATCTACACTTTCGGCCGACACACCCGTTCAAGAATTTTGGGTTTACTGCTAGCTAGTTAAATTACCTTGGGTAAGGGCTGTTCTTGACGGCTTTCTGGCCGTACTTTCTCCACCGGTAACCGTCGTCTAGGTGATCAACTTCGCTCTTGGTCATGAACGCGAATCTGGGCTCCCTTTGCTTCTTCTGAGCCTTCGTCTTCTTCGGCTTCAACCTACCCACACGAAAAGTAAACAGCAACGGCCATGAATGATAGCTTAGCTTCCACGAACGTGAGAAAAAGACACAGGAACAGTAATAACGGCATAAGCAGCATGAGCAGAATATAAGCAAAAAAAAAAAGGCTCTTTTTTTTTCCATAGGATATATAGATTTATTTTCGTAAAAACTCTTGATTACTGTGAGAGAAACTTCAACTTCAACGGAAGCTTCTGGGATGAATTAGTATTTCAACTAGAAAAAAGGAGAGACGGGTTTGGTTTAGTAAAATTCACATGACTTACTTTTTTTTTGAGCCGCTGTTGTTTTTCTCTTGATCCTGCTCTTCCTCGGCGTCTTCGTCTTCTTCGTCTCCTCCTCCGGCTTCGGATTTGAGGCGATTTCCGTCTTTGCTACTGTTCTTGCTGTTCCCGCCTTCATTCGACGAGGAAGAGATAGACGAATTCGGCGTCGCCGGATTGTTGACGACCTCCGACGACTCCGCCGCCGCCGGCGACGACGACATCGGCAGATCCAGCTGCTGCACCGTCGAGTTCGCCGCCGCCGGGAACGGGCTCTGGAACAGATCGAACAGAGAAGAAGGAGCGGAGTATCCTCCGAAATCGGCACCGCATCCGCCGCCGCCGCCGCTGGCGTCGAGCAGCTCCATGAATCCGCCGCCGCCGAATCCGCTCTGCGGCGGCGGCGGCATCATCATCATCTGCTGCATATCGTAGTAGATCCCTCCTCCGCCCGCCGAGAATCCGGTCCCGGGGAGCATAATCTCATCTAGCTCTCCGCCGCCCGACATCGTGAATGCTGAAGAATTATTCGCCCTCTCGCCGCCGCTCCTCGCCATCGATCGATCGCCGGACCGGCAAACGCAAACTCTAGCTAGGATTCTTCTGATGTTCTTCAAATTGCTACGGGACAAGGAGCATATTAGTACGAATTCGAATTCGGGTGAGATGGAGCGTATAGAGAAAGGAAGGAAGGAAGGAGAGCAGAGAGTGTGAAAAGGGGAGGTGAGTTTGGACAACAGCTTGGAATGCGGAGGTTTCCCATTTGGTTTTATGGAGAGAGAATAGGGGAGAGAGAAAGGAGATGGTGGGGGTAAAATTACAAACTGGCCACTATTTTTTCAGCTTATTCATAAACGGGTTATTTTATGGTAACATTACAAAATGGCCACTACATTTTCAGCTTATTCATAACGGATTATTTTACCGTTGAATTTTAGCAAATTTGTCACTAAAGCTAGGATAACAAACGGAACAGTCAAGCTGATAATTCTTCGTCGACTTCTTTCATTCAAAATTGCATAAATTAGCATATATTAGCCCAAACAATAAAGCGGTCACCGTATAATCTCGTATTAGCAAATACAGTTAGCTTTTTTTTTCTCAATATGATGTGATATGATCCAAATCAAACACGTCGCTTTATTTGATTCAACCCAAATCAATCGACAACTCAGTTGATTCCTCCCTCGTTTCTTTGGAGAGCTAATTCTAAAGCTAGTATGACCTATTTTTATCATGAATTCGAACTACTGGACACATTGATTTAGAAGAAAGAATAAATAAATTATTACATCAGTTATCTCGTACTTTATCGATAACTTCATCTCTAATGATGGTTTGGAAATCAGTTTGTCCATTATTTCAAAGTACAGGACCATTTTGTAAATGTGCGAGAGAGATATGTATGCAATTGTGCATAGAAGGTAGCGACTGGCATTTGCCGGTCACCTACCCGTACGGAAAAGGGCAGTGGATTAGGGCCGGTGTTGTGCATTAATTGCACTGGGACCCACAAAAGGGGTTGGGTCCAGTCGCCCTGAGTGAGTCTGCCTCTCCTCCCCACTTTACGCGGATGTTTCCACAGGTTGAACCGGTTGCGTGTAAACTTGGGCCTTTATTGGGCGTACACGTGGACTACTCCTCCCCATTCCATATAGTCGGAATTTGCCGTTATTTTGGGATAGGTCGACGTTACTTAATTTGTGTTAGTAAACCCCCCCCCCCCCCCCCCCCAATTATTTGGTTAGTTGCATTTACGTAGTATAAATTATGTAGACAATGTATTGTGTACGTATAAGATTTGGATGGCAAACTAATAAGATTAGGCCCTTGGTTCGAAACTAAAAATCTCTACCGATTCTGATCTTATACCGAAAAATATGTATACATGTGAGTTCTATGCAATTGATGTACACTTGTATTTAAATTTAAATGAGCGATGAGTCTAATGTAATTACACTTTTTTTTGTCAATAAATTACACATTCTAATTGTTAATAGTATTTTTTGGAAAGGTCAATTATAGTACTAGTGATATTCTATTAAGTACAATTTTTTTGACAGATGTATACCTAGCAAGCATTATTAATTTGGATCAACCAAAACACCCACACATTATAAAAATATCCTCTACTCTTAGTCGTAATATTCAAATTGAAAACTTCCCCCTTTTTTGTCATTCAAATCTAAAATGTGAGTTCCCACCACCATAGAATTGAATTGAGCCGAACAGATAGTTGGCTATGGTTTTTGTAAGACTAATATATCTTAGCTAAACCATACAACCGTATAGATTTCTTAAGAAACTATATACACCCATCAATAATTTTCCCATATAATTTCTCTCATTTTGTTTGATCATATAATTTTCCCATAGATTTCTTAAGAAACTATATACACCCTCAACTATCAAAAACATATAATATATCATACAACTCTCTAAAAAACTGTTACACATCATATCCGCATTTTAACCTATTTTAAAATTTTCAATTAGATATCGACAAAATAGCAGAGTTTTGAACAGAATTTTCTGTAAAACAAGAAAATGTCAGATCAAAATCATCTTATGGTTAAATTCTCACTCTGCTCAATCTTACCATGAGTGGATTTCACCGGGAAATATGACAAATTGCCAAAATACCGATTTCAAATCCTGAAATTTACATTCATACGAGAATACATATAACGAAAATGCGATTAGATTACATTAATACATCATATCCGACGATTATCTAAAAGCGAAAAAACTCTTATCCAACAATAATTAGCACCCTTCACTTTGCACTTTACCGACACATCCATATCTTATTTTCACTAATTCGCTTGGCTTTATCTTAACCCCTTCTTCTGGTGAGCATGTGATGATCGCCGACCGATCGTCCCACTCCCACTTTTATCATTTCTTTTTTGTGTTCACTTCGCCGGGCGCGCGGCTCATCGCTAATTATCCCTTTTCAGCAGCGGAATAATCTTTTTGTTTCTACGTGATTACGACGGCAACCAGTTTTTTTTTATAAAAAAAAAACATGTCACCCCGTAATGACCGATCTAACCCTGCAGATCCCCGGAAAAAGCTAGCCCAGCCGGTGGCATTCTCGTCCGGAGCCACTTTCCACCGGCAGCGGGGGATAGAAAAAAAAGAAAAGAAGGGGGGAAAAGAACAAAAAGGAAAAGTGGGGAAATTACGATCTGCATGCTTTAGATCGGGAAAGTGTCACTAAAAAACATAAAAAGCGGTAACACGAAGAGAGATTAGTGAATAGTGATTTCTTTCCTTATTAATTAAAAGGCTAAATTACATGTTTGGTCACTCAAATTATACAAATCTTTCACGTTTGCCACCCGAATTACTTTTCTTTCTTATTCGCCACTAACTTTACGAATCATTTCACGGTTGGTCACCGACCGTTACACTCCGTTAAGTTTGTCCTACGTGGCAGTCAACTATAAAGTTTGACAGTTAAATAGATGACGTGGAAATTAAAAAAATTAAAAAAAAAAATTTCTTTCCACCTCATCATTACACTTATTTTGTCTATATAATTTATCATATTTATAATTTAATAAAATACAAAAATGGGCACTTATTTTGTCTTCTGGAGCAGAGAAAGGATCGAAGGAAAAATTCCCGATTGCGAACACAAATTGAATTCCCAATTCCGTTCGTGTTCCTCCCTCTCTAGGGTTTCCTCGAGCTACTTTCCCAGTCATGGATTCCAATCTCACGATCTCAAGCTTCTGCTAGGATCCTCAACCGGATGCGAGTCTCCCACTCGCGAGCGACGAATCGTCTCCCGTATCTGAAATTGGATCAGCGCCGAAGAGGCAGAAGATCGAGGAAGCCGCCGGCGACAAAAGCACCGACGTCGAGGTCGCGGACGATGATTCCGGCGAAAGCAAGGAAGACGGAGAGGAGGAGTGGAGTCAGGTGATTTTGGAGCCCAAAGTCTTGTGGCCTAAAGACAAAGAGGGAGTGGAGAAGTACCGCCGCTTCTACGAGCAGGTCCAGGAAAGCGAGGTATGTAGCAGCAGCTGCTTTATTAGGGATTTGATTTCGCCGACATACCGATTTTCGTTTGCTTCTCCGCCGAACCAAAAACCAGAAACCATCTGGTTTCTAGGCTAGAACCGCCGCACCTCCTTTTCTCCTCGCTCTCGGTTTCACCTGCCTCTCTATCTTTCGTTCTTTTCTGGTAAAAACGACTCCGCTCCTCAAGCCGCCACCAGAAAAACGACCCGATACCAGAAGAAACTCCCTCGGAGCTTCTCCTTTGGCTCATCGCCGGCCTCGAAACGCGACCTAAGAGCCCCGAATTGAACGGAGTCGTGTCTATTGAGGTATGATTTGGCTTGCATGTGCGTTTATTTGACGATTTTTGGTTTGAATTCGTTTCCGACCTTCTCGTTTTGGTTTTATTTTTATGGTTATCTTTTGGACTCGAGGAGGGGAGAGTGAGGGCACCTTCCGCGGCTAGGGTCTCCGACGGCATGGCTCCAGAAGACAAAATAAGTGCCCATTTTTGTAATTTATTAACTTTTATTAAATTATTAATATTATAAATTATATAGACAAAATAAGTGCAATGATGAGGTGGAAAGAAAATTTTATTTATTTTTATTTTTTGTTAATTTCCACGTCATCTAGTTAACAGTCAAACTTTATAGTTGACTGCCACGTAGGACAAACTTAACGGAGTGTAACGGCGGGTGACCAACCGTGAAACGATTCGTAAAGTTAGTGGCGAATAAGAAAGAAAAGTAATTCGGGTGGCAAATGTGAAAGATTTGTATAATTTGAGTGACCAAACGTGTAATTTAGCCTTAATTAAAATTTAAAAAAGCGGTGAAAAAACAACCGCGTTGTGAGCGTGCCAGGGAAGCTTCTCGCACGTGTAACAAACCAGAGGCAGAAGAAAGAAAGAAAAAAAAAAGACAGGAAAATTATGAAGATGCGGGCATGCTGACACGATGTCCACGTCACCTGCTCTTCCACGACAAGCCACCGTCAACGTCGCCACCGTACGTCGGCGACCGTTCACACAGCGGCGTTTTATTCATTCCAGCTACCTTGTTAGCGACACATTGTATATATTAATACACTAATTACGTAGTTAAAAGCGGTATTTATTAGCTGTCTTGTTTGTTTATTGTTTATATTTTGTTTTCATCCATGTACGTTGATCTGTAATTTCCTTTCAACCTTGATTTACGTATCTATATGACATCTTTGTAGTTAGGATTTCATTTAAGGGAGCCCATTAAAAAAGATTATCATAAAATATTTTTGTAACAATGTATGTGATTTTGTATTGTGAAAATTTTTTTAGGACTATATTGATTGTTGGAAATATCCAATGTCACTTTCAAAATCTAATATCTCCCATAAAATAAGAATTCACAATTTTTTTTACATTCAAATTGGTCATTCATTATATTGCTAAAAATGTTCGCTCGGCACTTGCTTTGTACTATTAACCATCGATAGCAAAAAAACCTAGTTTCAAAAGCAAATACCCTAATGGAAATTAGGAGGGGCTGGATAACAATGCCAGTATCTTTCTTTTATCTGAATACTGTAACGATCACTAATAATCCCACAATCAAAGTGTCCATTATTTTAATTAATTATCAGTTTAAAACTAACCCACTCGATGGTGAAACTTCCTTTCTCCTTCAATGAACCTAGCTGTTCCTCGAGCAGGAAAAGAACACAACAGCAACAACAACAACAAAAGTGAAAGCGCACTTTGTTGGTCATGTGTTCCCTTGGTTGCAATATATTCACGAATCATTGCCATGGGATCCTTTTTTACTGTAAAAATGAAGAAGACAAAATCTGATTTCAGCATTTCACACGGCATTTGGTCCCCAATATACAAAGCACGATGTCGTACATTCAATCTTTGTTTGTCCAAACAGCGAAACACCCCTTTGAATCAATCAATGCCGAACATTCATCTATTCATTATATATATCAAGAACAGATCGAGATAATCAACAACATAATGTTAACAATAAAGTAAAGAACACACAAATGGTTCACTAACACAATGTTAGAAAGCTCATTGGGTAGAGAGAGAGCCAACTTCGCTATACTTGAAGAGATTACATGTTACAGAGGAGTATGAGAATTATATATAGTACTTCTCCAACGACGACCTAACCCTAATCCAGTATGGTAAAAATAAGGTTACAAACCAGACCCATAACAGAAGCCCAAATGTGTCAAGCGAGACCCTCGTGATTTTCAGTCAACGACAGATAATCTTATTCAACATGTATATAAGAACGGTAACAAACGGGAGTGATGAGAATGGTAACGCCCGGTATAGTGGCGGAGCAAAAATTTGAACGGGGTGGGCTAAATAAGCTAAATTTGAGAACTTTGAATTGAGGAGGGGATTAAAGCCTTACGAATTATTTTCTACATTTGTTACAAATATTACATATACTTTTAACACATTTGAAACTAAATGATGTCTTATGAATGAGTTCAAATCTACATCTAATATTTCATTTGATGTAAGACTTAAAATGTATAGGCGGACAAGGAGTTGATCTGGAGGTTATACCATTAGTCTTGAACATGAAGATTCTAAGTTTGAATCGCTTAAATAACAACTAACAAGATAAAATAATCTATTTTGCCCTTATAAAAAATACTTAGCATACAATATCTTTTATATATTATTAAGAAGAGTTATATATATACTTAAATTGCAGCTAATGTTAAATGGATGAAACGGGGGTTTGCTATGGTAAAAGAAACGGGGGTTTACTATGGTAAAAAAAAAGTTTAGTTGCTATTAACTTGCTTTTATTTAAATTTCCATGCAAAAGGAGACCATAGGCC